TGATGTGTGCCTGTAGCCTCAGCTCCTGATGCAGGGGTAGGAGTCAGGGGGAAGGATTGCTTGGGTTCAGGAGTTTGAAGCTGCAGTGAACTATGATTGCACCTCTGCACTATAGCCTGGATGACAAAGCAAGACCCCGTCTTGAAAAAAAGAAAAAGAAAAAATAAGATCATTAGTAATCCTATCTCAGAAATAACTACTTTCAGCTTTTTTGTTTGTTTGTTATTTTGAGGCAGAGTCTTGCTCTCTTCCCCAATCTGGAGTGCAGTGGTGTAATTTCAACTCACTACCACCTCCACCTCCCGGTTTCCAGTGATTCTCCTGCCTCAGCCTCCCGAGTAGCTGGGATTACAGGCATCTGCCACCATGCCTGCCTAGTTTTTTTGTTTTTAGTAGAGATGGAGTTTCACCATGTTGGTAAGGCTGGTCTCGAACTCCTGACCTCAGGTGATCTAACTGCCTCAGCTTCCTGAAGTGCTGGGATTACAGTCATCATGCCTGGCCAACTCTTAGCTTTTTTGGATATATGTTTATTAACTAAAATTACATGAAGATTACATATTATAAAATGTATAAAAAGACTGTAATGGCCAGGTGTGTGGCTCATGCTTATAATCCTAGCCTTTTGGGAGGCCGAGGTGGATGGATCGCTTGAGGTCAGCAGTTTGAGACCAGCCTGACCAATATGGTGAAACCCCATCTCCACTAAAAAGTACAAAAATTAGCTAGGCATGGTGGCAGGTGCCTATCATCCCAGTTACTACAGAGGCTGAGGCAGGAAAATAATTTGAACCTGGGAGGTGGAAGTTGCGGTGAGCAGAGATGGTGTCACTGCAGTTCAGCCTAGTGACAGAACGAGACTCTGTCTCAAAAAAAAAAAGGCTATAATATATACCTGCATAATATTTTACTAAAATAGAAACTTCTTGCTATAGCCTGAATGTTTTTTGATCTTTTAGTATTCTTCTGCAGTATAGGTTTATGTAGACACAAAATATTCTATCATGTGATATAATACAATTTAAAAATGATTATCCTGGCTGGATGAGGTAGCTCATGCCTGTAATCCCAGTGCTCTGGGAGTTGGAGGTGGGCAGATCACTTGAACCCAGGAGTTTGAGATCAGCCTGGGAAACATGACAAAACCTCATCTCTACAAAAAGTACTAAAAAATTAGGTGAGGTGGTGTGTGCCTGTAGTCCCAACTACTCAGGAGGCTGAGGTAGGAGAATCACTTGAGCCTAGGAGGTCAAGACTGCAATGAGCCATGATGGCACCACTGCACTCCAGCCAGCCTGGGCAACAGAACAAGGCCCTGTCTCAAAAAAAAAAAAAAAAAAAAAAATATATATATATATATATATATATCCATAACAATTTCAGATATTTCATATTGTTTTCTAAGTTATAATAAAACAGTGAACTACTTTGTAGCTAAATATCAGTGTGCTTTTATTGATTAATTTCACAGAAATGGAATTATTGGGTTATGGGGTATATAGGATTTCAGGGCTGTTGTGTTTTGCTAAATTGCCATTTAGAAATGTTGAACCGTTTTTGTTTTTTTTTTTTTACCTTTTGAGACAGAGTCTCACTTTGTTGTACAGGCTGGAGTACAGTGGCATAATCGCTACTCAGTGCAGCCGCAGCCTTCCAGGCTCCCAAGTAGTGTGACTACCACACTCAGCTAATTTTTTTTTTTTTGATAGAGACAGGGTCTTACTTTGTTGCCGAGGCTTGTCTCAAACTCCTCAGCTCAAGTAATCCTCCTGTCTCAGCCTTCCAAAGTGTTTGAATTATAAATTTGAGCCACTGCACCTGGCCTGAAGCAATTTATACTGAGTCATATCTGACAGTATATGAACAGATTTAAACAATCTGATAGGATAAACAGTAGTACCAGACATTGAAATACCAGAAGTTAAGGAATATATAGAATGCTTGTCTACCCATTTGATTCCTCATTCCCTTAAAAATCATAGGAAAAAAACCTGGGCATGATAGCTCATGCCTGTAATTCTAGCACTTTGGGAAGCTAAGGCACTTTGGGCAGATTGCTTGAGCCCAGGATTTTGAAACAAGTGTGGGCAACAAAGTGAGACCCACTCTGCAAAAAATACAAAAATTAGCTGGCTCTGGTGGTGTGCACCTGTAGTTCCAGCTACTTGGGAGGCTGAGGTGAGAGGATTAATTGAGTCCAAGATGTCAAGGCTGCAGTGAGCTGTGATCAAGTCACTGTACTCCATCCTGGGTGAAAGAGCAAGATCCTGTCTCAAAACAAAACATAGGAAATGAATACCTAACCATCTGTGTCTGGAGTTTTACATCATTTTCATTAGACAAAATGACACACTAAATGTAAGTTCTTATTAAAAACAACTAAGTTTTGTATTAATTTTTTTAAAAAATTGAAATATTGGTTGCATAAAATAAAATTGCCATTTTACATGTATGATTTGATGAAATTTGGCCATTGTATACAGCTGTGTAACCACCACCACCATCAAAGTAGAGAACAGTTCCATCACCCTAAAAAGTTTCCATAAGAAAACCACCTTTTGTGGTTGATCTCCCTGCTGGCCCAGTATACTCCCCTCTCCTGCCCTAAGCAACCACATGTCATCTTTCTGTGAGTATAGTTTTGGTATTTCAATAATTTCAAGTCTGGGCAATATAGCAAATCCCATTTCTAAAAGTCATTTTAAAAATTAGCTGTGTGTGGTGGTGCCCACCTGTATTCCAGCTGCTTGGGAGACTGAGGTGGGAGATTGCTTGAGCCCAGGAAATTGAGGCTGCAGTGAGCTATGATCTCACCACTGCACTCCAGAGCCTGGGCGACAGAATGAAACCTTGTTGTTAAAAAAAAAAAAAAAAGAAATTTAATGTAATTGTAAGTATGTATATGGTCTTTATATTTGAGCTCTGTTACTTAGCATATTTTTGAGATTTGCTTGTATTGTACTTAGTAATATTTTATTCCATTTATATTGTTGGATAGTTTTCCATAATATGTGTATCTACAATTTGTTTATTCATTCACCAATTGATAGACATTTGGTTCTAGTTTTTGGTTATTTTGAATAATCTATTTAATTATAACTAATATATGATATATTAGTGAATATATGAATAATTTCCCATGAATTTATGAATAATAATCCTATGATCATTTGCATGCACATCTTTTTTTTTTTGGAGACAGAATCTTGCTCTGTTGCCCAGGTAGGAGTGCAGTGGCGTGATTTTGCCTCTCTGCAACCTTTTCCTCCTGGGTTCAAGCAATTCTCATGCCTCAGCCTCTGGGTAGCTAGGATCACAGTATAATGTGCACCACCACATCCAGCTAATTTTTGTATTTTTAGTCAGAACAGCGTTTCACCATGTTGGTTAGGCTGGCCTCGAGCTCCTAGGCTTAAGAGATCTGCCTACTTTGGCCTCCCAAAGTGCTGAGAATACAAATGTGAGCCACTGTGCCTGGTCAGCATGCGCATGTTATAAATAATAACTATGATCATTTGCATGCACATCTTTTTGTGGGCACAAATTTTTATTTTTCTTAAATAAATGCCTACAAATGGGAATGCCTAGGTTATATAGTAATGAATGTTTAACTTTATAAGATACTGCCATACTGTTTTTCCAAAGTGAGTGTAACGTTTTGCATTCCCAGCAGCAATGTATAAGAGTTGCAGGTGTTCCACATCCTTGCTAATCCTTGGTTTTGTGAGCCTGTTGTTTTCTCTTTTTTTGGGACAGAGCCTTGTCCTGTCACTCAGGCTAGTATGCAGTGGCACAATCATAGCTCGCTGCAGTCTCAAACTCCTGGGGCTCAAGTGATCCTTCTGCCTCAGCCTCTCGAGTAGCTGGGACTGTAGGGGCACAACAACATGCCTGGTTAATTCTTAAAAGTTTCTGTAGACATGGAGTCTAGCCATGTTGCCCAGGCTGGTCTTGAACTCCTGGGCTCAAGTAGGTTTCCCACCTTAGCCTCCCAAAGTGCTGGGATTACTGGCATGAGCCAGCACGCCTGGCTGTTTTGTGAAGTTAGTTTGCTTTTTTTTTTTTTTTTTTTTGAGACAGAATCTTGCTGTATCACACAGGCTGGATTGCAGTGTCATAATCTCGGCTTACTGCAGTCTCTGCCTCCTGGGTTCAAGTGATTCTCCTGCTTTAGCCTCCTGAGTAGCTGGGACTGCAGGCTTGCACCACCATGTCTGGCTAATTTTTATATTTTTAGTAGATATGAGGTTTCGCCATGTTGGCCAAGCTGGTCTGGAACTCCTGACCTCAGGTGATCCACCCACCTTTGCCTTCCAAAATGCTAAGATTACATGCGGGAGCCACTGCGCCCGGCCTATGTTAGTTGCTTTTGTTTCATATAGTGGCATTTCATTGTTATTTTAATTTGTATTTCTCTGTTGACTATTGATATTGTAAGCTTTGGATTTTATTTATTTATTTATTATTAGTTTTTGAGATGGAGTCTCACTACGTTATCTACGCTGGAGTGCAATGATACTAACTTGGCTCATTGAAACCTCCGCCTCTGTGGTTCAAGCCATTCTCCTGCCTCAGTCTCCTGAGTAGCTGGCATTACAGGCACGTGCCACCCCACCTGGCTAATTCTTGTATATTTAGTAGAGACAAGGTTTTGCTGGGTTGGCCAGGCTGGTCTCAAACTCCTGACTTCAGGTGATCCACCTGCCTTGGCCTCCCAAAATGCTAGGATAATAGGCATGAGCTACTGTGCCCAGCCACTGGGTTTTAATATCTGCTTTATGAATGCTAGCATATTTTGAAATAATGAAGTAAAACGAGTACATATTTCCACCTTGTGAGAACTGAAGTGGGCTGGAGCATGTGCCACTGCTCCTGGCGATCCTGGAGTTCTTTAATTCTTGAATATTTGATTTTAGAAATTTTATATGAATCCAGGGATTAGCTATAAAAGATATAGATCATGAACAAATTATGATTTATTTCTTTTTATTCTTCCTTAGGACATTTTTATTCCCTCCCCAAGTCTAGAAGAACAGTCAAACAATGGGAAGAAAGATGGAGATTTGCATAGTTCATCTTTGACAGTTGAGTGTTCTAAAACTTCAGAGATTGAACCAAAGAATTCTCCTGGGGATCTTGGGCTATCTTTGACAGGGGATTCCTGCAAGTTGATGCTTTCTACAAGTGAGTATAGTCAGTCCCCAAAGGTGGAGAGCCTGAGTTCTCACAGGATTGATGAAGTTGGAGAAAACACACAGATTGAGGATGTTGAACCCATGTCTCCAGTTCTCAATTCTAAATTTGTTCCTGCTGAAAATGATAGTATCCTAGTGAATCCAGCACAGGATGATGAAGTACGACTGAGTCAGAATGATGACAAAACAAAGGGAGATGACACAGACACAAGGGATGACATTAGCATTTTAGCCACTGGTTGCAAGGGCAGAGAAGAAAGTGTAGCAGAAGATGTTTGTATTGATCTCACTTGTGATTCGGGGAGTCAGGCAGTTCCTTCACCAGCTACCCGATCTGAGGCACTCTCTAGTGTGTTAGATCAGGAGGAAGCTATGGAAATTAAAGAACACCATCCAGAGGAGGGGTCTTCAGGGTCTGAGGTGGAGGAAATCTCTGAGACACCTTGTGAAAGTCAAGGAGAGGAACTCAAAGAAGAAAATATGGAGAGTGTCCCATTGCACCTTTCTCTGACTGAAACTCAGTCCCAAGGGTTGTGTCTTCAAAAGGAAATCCCAAAAAACGAATGCTCAGAAGCTATGGAAATTGAAACCAGTGTGATTAGTATTGATTCTCCTCAAAAGTTGGCAATACTTGACCAAGAATTGGAACATAAGGATCAGGAAGCTTGGGAAGAAGCTACTTCAGAGGACTCCAGTGTTGTGATTGTAGATGTGAAAGAGCCATCTCCCAGAGTTGATGTTTCTTGTGAACCTTTAGAGGGAGTGGAGAAGTGCTCAGATTCCCAGTCTTGGGAGGATGTTGCTCCAGAAATAGAACCATGTACTGAGAAAAGATTAGATACCAAGGAAGAAAAGAGTGTAGAGTATGAAGGAGATCTGAAATCAGGGACTGCAGAAACAGAACCTGTAGAGGAAGACTCTTCACAGCCTCCCTTACCTTTGGTGAGAGCAGATGATCCTCTGAGACTTGACCAGGAGATGGAGCAGACTGAAACTCAGGAGAAAAAAGATAATTCATTAACAGAAGACTCAAAAATGGCTAATACAAAGCAGCTAAGCTCAGATGCAGAGGCCCAGAAGCTGGAGAAGCCATCTGCCCATGCCTCACAAAGCTTCTGTGAAAGTTCTAGTGGTGAGTGTGATTGTAGATTATTCTGTCTCCACCTAAATTATAATTTGGAATGGAAGGTTGGCGAGAACTGCATGCTTATGTCAGGGGTGAACATTAACTTTGGTTTATGTTTATGAACAACCAATAGTAATTGGAAAATTAAATTTTCTGGATTGCTTTTTTTTTTCTTTAAGACAGAGTCTCGCTTTCTTGCCCAGGCTAGAGTACAGTGGTGTGTTCTCAGCTCACTGCATCTTCCACCTCCCAGTTTCAAGTGAATTCTTGTGCCTTAGCCTCCCAAGTAGCTGGGATTACAGGCATGTGTCACTGCCCGGCTAATTTTTGTGTATTTTTAGTAGAGATGGGGTTTTGCCATGTTAGCCAGGTTAGTCTTGAACTTCTGACCTCAAGTGATCCGCCTGCCATGGGATCCCAAAGTTCTGGGATTGCAAGCATGAGCCACCACCCCCGCCTGGGTTGCATTTTTTAATAGTTACAGTTATTTGTGTGATTAGAGATATTTGAGTATTCAGCTTTATAACTCAGGAGTAGTTGATAAAAAATATTTAGAAATTGTAACAATCTGTTTTTTTCTACTTAGATTGCATTGTTGCTCTGTGTATATAGATTTTGAAGTCGCCTTGAAGTAGAAGGATCTTTTTTGATTAACTCTACATGATAAAATCACATGTATTTCCTTTTTATGGGCATTAAGTAAAGTTTCTAAAGTTGGTTCAAAAAATATATGGCTCTTAAACCTGAAACTGGACAATGTATTAGTTCTTGTTCTTTATTTTATGAAATTCAGCTTGAAAACAGATTACTTTCTATTTGTAGGCTGGGCACAGTTGCTCACACCTGTAATCCTAACACTTTGGGAGGCTTAGGTGGGTGGATTGCCTGAGCTCAGGAGTTTGAGACCAGTCTCCGCAACATGGTGAAACCCATCTCTACTAAAATACAAAAAATTAGCTCGGCATGGTGTTACGTGCACCTTTAGTCCCAGCTACTTGGGAGGCTGAGGCATGAGAATCACTTGAACCTGAGAGGCAGTGAGCTGAGATCGTGCCACTGGACTGCAGCCTGGGTGACAGAGTGAGACTCTTTCTGCAAAAAATAATTTTATGACATTAGCTGAAATAATTTAATCTTTGTGAATCCTTAGAGTTAGTATAATGTAAAATCAAAACAAACTCTTAAGATCAAGACACAAACTTAAGAAAACAAGTTTCTAGGATGAAATGAAAAAAACAGTATTTGACAAGTTTACATAAAATAGCATGAGTGACTGTATATTTTATTTTGGTTTGTCTAGAACAGTTCCTTCTTTTTTTTTTTTGAGACAGAGTCTCTTTCTGTTGCCAAACTGGAATGCAGTGGAGTAATCTCGGCTCACCTCAACCTTAGCTTCCCAGCTTCAAGCGATTCTCTTGCCTCAGCCTCCTGAGTAGCTGGGACTACAGACATGTGCCCCAACACCCAGCTAATTTTTATATTTTTAGTAGAGATGTGGTTTAACTATGTTGGCCAGGATGGTCTTGATCTCCCGATTTCATGATATACCCACCTTGACCTCCCAAAGTGCTGGGATTACAGGCATGTGCTACTGTGCCTGGCCTAGAACAGTCCCATTTTATACTCATTGTCTATGTGTGGTTATTAATAGTATTTTTTTTTTTTTTAGTCTTTAAATTGTCCCTATTGCTGGGTGCAGTGGCTCACGCCTGTAATCCCAGCACTTTGGGAGGCCAAGGTGGGTGGATCACGTGAGATCAGGAGTTTGAGACCAGCCTGGCCAACATGGTGAAACCCTGTCTCTACTAAAAATACAAAAATTAAATCCCAGCACTTTGGGATGCTGAGGTGGGTGGATCATAAGGTCAAGAGATCAAGACCATCCAGGCCAACATGGTGAAGCCCCATCTACACTAAAAGTACAAAAATTAGCGGGGTGTGGTGGCACACGCCTGTAGTCCAGCTACTCAGGAGGCTGAGGCAGGAGAATCGCTTGAACCCGACAGGCGGAGGTTGCAGTGAGCCGAGATTGCGCCAGTGCACTCTAGCTTGGTGACACAGTGAGACTCTTGTCTCAAAAAACAAAACAAAAGAAAAATAGAAAAATTAGCCCAGCATGATGATGGTTGCCTATAATCCCAACTACTTGGGAGGTTGAGGCACGAGAAGCTGAGATTCTCCCATTCTACTCCAGCCTAGGCCGCAGAGTGCAACTCTGCCTCAAACAAAAACAAATGTCCCTGTTTATTAGCTTTTATGTTTAATACTTTTTTTCTGTTGAGAACAAGGAATGTTAGAGCTAAAAAAGAAGTGAAGGGTTATTGGATTTAGTCTCTTCTTAACGTCTTGTGGCTCGTTAATGATAGAGGTGGGACTAGAACCTAGGTCTCCTAATCCTGGCTGTGCTTTTTCTTCATGTAAAAAAACAAAAAACTACTTAATACAGTTTCTTTGATTCTGAAAATCTGTAGTGAGGAACAATGTGAATTGTTTTGTTTACTGTTTTAGTGCTTTTATTTTGGAGTACTTTTATTTTATTTATTTATTTTTTTGAGACAAGAGTCTTGGCCCCATTGCCAGGCACCAGGCTGGAGTGCAGTGGCGCATTCTCAGCTCACTTCAACCTCCACCTCCTAGGTTTAAGCAATTCTCCTGCCTCAGCCTCCTGAGTAGCTGGGACTACAGGCACGTGCTACCATGCCCAGCTAATTATTGTATTTTTGGTAGAGACTGGGTTTCACCATGTTGGCCAGGATGGTCTTGATCTCTTGATCTCGTGATCCGCCCACCTCAGCCTCCCAAAGAGTGAGCCACCACGCCCAGCCTCGAGTGCTTTTAAATTATATGCAAAAGAAGCTTCTAAAACTTTGAGATATTAATTCTATTATTTTACTAATATTCTTCATGAATTCTTGTTTACAGTGTTAATTGGCAGAGTCAGCTTGTTTTGGTCATAAACACTGCCATAGTCAAACTTACTATTTTATTAATATTATTATTATCCAGATTATTGAAAATGCTAGTGATTGTGTGTTTACTTCCTGATTTTAATTCTTGAGCAAACAATGAAAAGCAATAAAGACAGTGGTTGGAAAGATAGTATTTATGAGGAGAATTAAATAAAATAATTTTAATTGTAAATTAGAACATGAAGGGAGAATAGTTTTTTGTCTTTTGGTTTTTTTGTTTGTTTGTTGGTTTGTTTATTTTCAAGCCGGGGTCTCGCTGTGTCACCCAGGCTGGAGTGCAGTGGCACCATCATTGGTTACCTCAACCTTGACTTCCCAGGCTCAGGTGATCCTCCCACCTCAGCCCCCACTTCCCACCAAGAAGCTGGAACTACAGGCATGTACCACCATGCTTGGCTAATTTTTTGTAGAGACAGGGTTTTGCTATGTTACCCAGGCTGGTCTTGAACTCTTGGGTTCAGGCAATCCACCCACCTTGGCCTCCCAGAGTGCTGGAATTATAGCCATGAGCCACTGTGCTCAGCTTAGAATAATAGTTTTTAACTTAGAGAATTGTATAAAATAAAGTCATTCAGAAGAGCATTGGAAAAAGAACACAAAAATAGTAGTTTGTACTTTTAAAAATATAGTTGTTTAGTTGCTAAACGTTGAGAGACTAACGTATTTTTACTTTTTTGAAACAAAGTCTTGTTCTGGCACCCAGGCTGGAACGCAGTGGGGTGATCTCAACTCACTGCAGCCTCCACCTCCCAGGTCCAAGTGATTCTTATGTCTCAGCTGCCTGAATAGCTGGAATTACAGGCGCGTGCCGCCATGCCTGGTTAATTTTTGTATTTTTAGTAGAGTTAGGGTTTTGCCCTGTTGAACAGGCTGGTCTCGAACTCCTGGCCTCAAGTGATCTGACCACCTTGGCCTCCCAAAGTGCTGGGATTACAGGTATGATCCACTGGGCCCGGCCAAATTTAATAGTATTTTGATATGTAACTTAAATGATAGTAACCTAAAAAATAATAGTTCTTCAATCTGAAAAGACAGAGGAAAGGTATGAATTGGGTGGGCTTTACATTTACTCATCTGCTAAAGTTAGAAGAGCACTTTTTTGTTGTTAATAGAGTTATTAATTTTCTTAAAAAGATAGAGGCCAGGCATGGTGGCGTGCACCTGTAATTCCAGCTACTCAGGAGGCTGAGGCACAAGAATCACTTGAACCTGGGAGTCGGGGGTTGGAGTGAGCTGAGATCGCACCACTGCACTCCAGCCTGCTTGACAGAGCAAGATCATTATCTCAAATAAATACATAAATAAAGCATGCTTAATTTTGAAAAACATTGAAGCAATACAAGAAAGTAGAGATTGTGAGTGGGGAGGATGTGGGGAGAGAGGGCGTTGGGAGGAAAAGAGAGTGAGTACAGAGAAGGAGAGAGAGAATTGTTCTAAGTGTCTCCATTTATAGATAACTTATCACTGTTAACAGTTTGGAAGCCTCTTCAAATATATGTCTATGGAGAGCTCCTCACAAACCTGAAAAAAAAGTAGCAAGATGGTACTTGGAAGCCCAGTGGGATTTAACATAGAACAAATATGTGGTGGGTTGATGATGTGAAAAACTGTAATGAGTGCAGTAAGTCTTTAATTAAATCCATAAGTAATAGTCTGTAATAGTTAATAATGATCAGGAAAGCTAAATGTGTTTTAGGCTCTAACTATAACCTTTATTGGCTTACTTGAGAGAATGTCATCTTAATTGGCTATTAATGTCAGAGGCAGACTTGTAGAGTAGACTGTTCATGCATTATCTCACCTGATATGTAAATTGTTACATTTTTAACTAGATGGCTTTTAATCAGTTCTTAGGGGTAACCAGTTCTTTTAAGAATAAAGAAAAAAATGGGTTTAAAACTATAACAGAAAGTTAGGAGAGACCTTCTTAACCTTTACAGTTTTAAATATTGCTTTGGAGTTATTCTCTAAAGTCCTTAAAGGACATACTCCCATTCAGGTGGTTGCAAAATTGATACTGAGTTTCCTTTTGTTTCCTCATTCACATCTTCCTTCATTGTTTGGTATGCCTACATACAACATGATAGCCCATGATTATCTGGAAAAACAAGAAGGCATTTGATAATTTCAATAATGTAGGAGTGCTGAATGTTAGAGAAATAATGGAATATGTGGAAAATTTCATAAATTTAAAAGGATAACATGTGCCAGCAAATGTATTTTTAAAGATTTGGCAATAATTTGAGTAGATTGATTCATTTTTCAGTTGAGGCAACAAAAGCATAAAAATGGGAAACATTTGGAGAACATTGAAAAGAAGCTTTATGAACATGAATAATTAAAGAAAGACTGGAAACATAGGCTACTACTAGTCGGTTGAATGCTGACTAAAGAGTTAGGAATTTGTTTTCTGGTAAAAACTAAGTCTTTTGACCTGGAGCTAACAAAGCCATGTTTTCTAGGAAGGCAGCTTTGGTTACAGTGTTGAGAAAGAATTGGGGGTTGGGGAGAGTGAGAGACTTAGGTAGAGGAAGTGATTGATGGATTATGGTAACCCAGGAATGAGGCATTGGAGACTAGAGGAGAGTAGTGGCAGTGCTTTCCCTAGGGCTTATAAAAGTCTTAATTTTCCATTAGGTTATAGTAATGCAGTTAGATAAATGGTGCTAAAATTACTTTTCATAAGTTTTATGTAATACTGTGCAAAGGAAACCTTATTACAGGGATAAGCATTCAGCAGTTAATGCTTGCATATTGTATTTGCATAATATAGTATGTCACATAGGTCTGATAAAAGATTTATACACATTTTCAGAAATCTGGAATGTATGAGGCTTTGCAAGGTGTTTTTTCAGTTTCTGTATCTCTCCTAAGTTCTTTTTTTTTTTTTGAGACAGAGTTTTGTTCTTGTTACCCAGGCTGGAGTGCAATGGCACGATCTTGGCTCACCGCTACCTCCGCCTCCTGGGTTCAGGCAATTCTCCTGCCTCAGCCTCCTGAGTAGCTGGGATTACAGGCACGTGCCACCACGCCTAGCTAATTTTTTTGTATTTTTGGTAGAGACGGGGTTTCACCATGTTGACCAGGATGGCCTCGATCTCTTGACCGCCTCGGCCTCCCAAAGTGCTGGGATTACAGGCGTGAGCCAGCGCGCCCGTCCCTCTCCTAAGTTCTTCATTAGAGCAAGTTGCTTTATAAGGGGCTAGCACAGAATGAATGCTTATCTACTTGACCCATTTCTTTTTTGTAACTATGGTGGATGTCTTTGCCAGTTAGATGTAATGTTGAGGTTCTTCACTTTATACTGTTTACAGTTTTGGTTTTTTTTTGAGACAGTCTCACTCTGTCACCCAGGCTGTAGTGTGGTGGCACTATATTGGCTCACTGCAACATCTATCTGCCTCCCAGGTTCAAGCGATTCTCTTGCCTTAGCCTCCTGAGTAGCTGGGATTACAGGTGCCTGCTACCATGCCCAGCTAATTTTTTATTTTTAGTGGAGACAGGGTTTCATCATGTTGGCCAGGCTGATCTTGAACTCCTGACCTCAAGTGATCTGTCTGCCTCTGCCTCCCGAAGTGCCAGGATTACAGGAGTGAGTCATGGTACCTGGCCTCTCTTTACAGTTTCTTTAGCTGAGCATATGCACTTTCATCCTTTATTTCTAAAGACCTTTTTTCTCTTTTCATCTCCTCAGGTTACTAATTCATTATATCTTACATGTAGATCTAAGAGATTTTTTGTTTTGTTATTTTAAAGGAAAAAATTGTCATGATGCTTGCTATTAAAGATAGAAGAGGAGTGGAAAAAGATGAAAGAAGAAAACTATTTTCATGAGTAGTAGTTGTCTGAGTATGCCAGATTATTTTGAGCTATCCCAGGAAAGTAAGAAGAAATTTTCATGTATTACTTTTAAGAGGGCAATCTGGCACAATTCTTATTTTCACCCAAATGTATCATTTGATTAAAGAGATAAATTAGGAAATTAGAAAATGTAATTTTTGATAGTTTTCTAGTTCTGATTAGCAAAAATTTGGAACTGAGTCCTAGGTAAAAAGTAGCTTTATGGCTTGACAAATATTTTCTATTTATAATAATTTAACAATTAACTAAAACACTGGTGATGCTTATATATGAGGGATTTACTGTTTTGCAGAGATCTAGGTATGAAGATTACACTTAGTCCTAGAATGAATGCTGGTCAGTACTGCCAAACCCTGAAACCCTTGGATTTCTGTGCTAGAACCAGTCGGTATCTTGAAGTCCTTTGACCCATGAGATCCTTTGTCATCTCTTTGATTAGATTATTAATTATAAGTATTAACTTCAGACTTTGCTTTGGAGAATCCTACAGACGATTAAGGCATAAACAAACTCCTTAGGGTAGCATTGCATAAAATTACATTGTCTAGGTTTGAAACAGTCCAAATTTGTATTGCTAAATATCCCCTGATGTGTACTGTCTTGGAGCTCAGATGTTTGTGTTCTTTTTGACTCCATGTTCCTCAGGTCCTGCAGATTTTTGGCTTTCTCTGTTTGCTCATCCTCTAGTTGTCTACTTCGTGTCAATACTATAGTTGGCTGTGAGGAGAGCAGACACAATAGAAGGGAGTTGGTCGGGAGCCTGGTGAGGGTGGTAGGAATGAGACAGAATTTGGGAGCAAAGGAAAAGAGTAATTGAAATATTTCTTAGAGTTCTCATTGTTTTTGTTTATTTTATACTTCTGTTTTGGTTTGTTTTTTATCATATTTTCTTTCTTTCTTTTTTTTTTTTTTCAGAAACCCCATTTCATTTCACTTTGCCTAAAGAAGGTGATATCATCCCACCATTGACTGGGGCAACCCCACCTCTTATTGGGCACCTAAAATTGGAGCCCAAGAGACACAGTACTCCTATTGGTGAGTGAATAAAAAGTAATGATGTTTAAGCCAGAATTTCCGAGATGTCATTCTTTACCCAAGTGATATTTTAGATCTGAGGAGTTGGGCCTGGCTTGTAAGGTTGATTTTTGTCTTAGGGAAAATAGGGCTATGAAGTCTGGTTCTGTGATTTTACTTCTAGGAGATGAGGGGTAAAGAGAGGAAGGAAAGAAAGGATGGAGAGAAGTAAGAAAGAAAGAGAATACTTAAAAGGATTTTATCTTATTATTTGCAAGACAGTAGAATCTGAGTGCTAAGTAGTGATATAGAGCTGTTTTATAAGGAAGGAGTAGGAAGTAGGGTAGAAGTACTATTTATTCAGTACTTTGGCTAATTAATCAGTTTGCTGCTTGACAGGGCAAGAAAACTTAGATCCTCCTTCCCTGAAGCAGCCAGTAGTCTTCTACATTAACCTATTTGTTTTCTCTAGTCAGTGCTGGGAGGTAACAGTCATGCCGTCTGGAGTCTCCTGCTACCTATGCCTGATGCTGGCAGATGTGGGTTGGCTGAGGGCTCATGCAGCATCCTTTGTCCAGATGCAGAAGTGGAACTGAATCCTGTTGCTCCTCTTAAGACCAGGTGTCAATACTAGTTCGTAGTTGTTGATACTTATGACAGGGATCTATCCTAGGAACCTCCTCCAATCTTGCAGAGCTCTGGAGCCAAACAGGCAAATTGATGACTTGAATTACTGTTTTTTTTTGTGTGTGTTTGTATTTTAGTGTTCTTTTTTTCTTCCTCCCTCCCTCACTTCTTTCAGGTATTAGCAACTATCCAGAAAGCACCATAGCAACCAGTGATGTCATGTCTGAAAGCATGGTGGAGACTCATGATCCCATACTTGGAAGTGAAAAAGGGGATTCTGGGGCTGCCCCAGAAATGGATGATAAATTGTGTCTAAGAATGAAACTGGTTAGTCCTGAGACTGAGGCGAGTGAAGAGTCTTTGCAGTTCAACCTGGAAAGTAAGTTTATGTTAATCTTGGATAATTAGTAGCTGCAGGTCATCTGGGGAGTACTGATTATAATCTAGTTATAATAATTGATATTTTATATTTATGAGTATATTTGTACAGTCTTACACTCATAGATTTAATTATTTGCTTTCAGCCAGCTGTCATGTTACTAAAGATACTCTGTTTTATAATCTCAAAGTTACAGCTTGTTTCTCTGTATTAAGCCTATTTCTATATAATTGGTTTTCCTATTCAGAAAGACTTCAGAATAGGGTAGAAAATTTTAGGACTGTGGATTCACATTGCAGATTAATGTTGATTCTTTCTCACATGAATTACAAGTTGTTTGGTAGGGCTAGAATAAAGAGAAGTTACAAGGGAGGGATTCAAAGTAGGGACCAGATGCTGAAAGACTTTTTACATCATGCTGAGAAGCTCAAGAGTTTTACCCAAGGGAGTAGTAATATCAGATTTGCCTTTCAAAAAAGGATCAGCTGAGTTTTTCAAAACCTTGTGTGTTTGTGCTTGATGGTTCCTTTCCTTGCCTTTCCCATATTCTGTTCTCCTGCCTGGTAAATTCTACCCAGTCTTTAACCAGAAAGTGAGGTCATTGGCAGCAGGGCTGTAGATGAGGGATGAATTTGAGGGGTGAATAGACAGAAGCATGGGGCCAGTTGAATATGGAAGTAAGGGGGAGGAAAAAAATAGAGAATGACTCTATGTGTCATCTCATTTTTATAATAGTACTGCCAGGTAGGTATCTGCATTTTTCATTTTATTGATGAGAAAACACAGTAAGAGAGGTTTTTTTGGTTTGTTTTATTTTATTTTTTAAATTTTACTTTACGTGTATACTATATCCAGCATTTCTCCCCATGTTATACCCCCTACCCTCCCCACCCTCTACTATCCCTCCCCTACCCCCCCACAACTGCCCCCAGTGTGTGATGCTGTTCTCCCTGAGTCCATGTGTTGTAATTGTTTAACACCCACCTATGAGTGAGAACATGGTGGTGTTTGGTTTTCTGTTCTTGTGTCAGTTTGCTGAGAATGATGGCTTCCAGATTCATCCAAATCCCTACAAAGGACACGAACTTACCGTTTTTTATGGCTGCATAGTGTTCCATGGTGTATATGTACCACATTTTCTTTGTCCAGTCTATCATTGATGGGCATTTGGGTTGACTGCAGGTTGTTGCTATTGTATACAGGGCTGCAGTGAACATACGTGTGCATGTGTCTTTATAGTAGAACGATTTATAGTTCTTTGGGTATATACCCAGTAATGGGATTCCTGGGTCAAATGGAATTTCTATTTCTAGATCCTTGAGAAATCATCACACTGTCTTCCACAATGGTTGAACTAATTTATACTCCCACCAACTGTGTAGGAGGGTTCCTATTTCTCAGCATCCCCTCCAGCATCTGTTGTCTCCAGACTTTTTAATGATCGCCATTCTAACTGGCGTGAGATGGTATCTCAGTGTGGTTTTGATTTGCATTTCTCTAATGACCAGTGATGATGAGCATTTTTTCATATGTTTGTTGGCCTCATATATGTCTTCTTTTGAAATGTGTCTGTTCATATCCTTTGCCCACTGTTGAGAGGTTTTTAAGTTATATGCCTAAGGTCACAATAATTGGTGCTAGGTAGAGTTGGAATTTGAGTCAGACCCAACTCTGAAGCTTATACTTTTTTCATTTCCGGTAGTTTATAAAAGCTGTTTAAGGGAGATTAGAAGAGGAAGAAATCTCATAAGTGAGATTGTAAAGGAACATTCAGAGAGAAGGAGAACTAGGAGGGTATATGAAGCCATGGAAGTCTATGGAGAGGAGAGTTACAAGAAGATAATGTCAGGCACAGGAGCAAGTTTGGTAAGATTGTCTGAAAATATACATTGACTTTGGCAATTAGGATCCATTTGGTGACTCTAGCAAGAGCTATTTCAGAGCAGTTGGGGTGGGAGCTATATTAAAGTCACTGAGGAAGGATGAAGAAGAGGAGATGAGGCCACAAATGTACTGTCGACTTTTGAGAATTGCTTGTGAGAGGAGAAGAGAAAATATGGTGAGTTAGAGGGAAATACAGGGTTGAAAGAGGATTTGTTATTTTTGGCTGGGAGAGGCCTGAGCAAGTTTATAGAGTTTAATTTATGCCTAGTGTTCCACTGTTGGAACACTAAGCTTGTGGGAGTTATTTATATCCTGCTCATGGTCATTGCCAAGGTCTGATTTTTCACAAAAAAAATTTGCAACCTCCAGCATAAATGGGTTAAGGAAGGGTCCAAAAGAGGGAGGCATAGATTAAAGATGAGGGAATTGGGGAAACAGTTGATGAATCAAGGCCCTGAAGAAGTTGGGAGGGAAAGCTATTGAAGACTACACCAGAATAGATTGGATAAGCAAGACTTCTCCTTTGAGACCAGAGAAGAGAAAAGTAATTTTAACCTAATATATTTTTAGCTGTTACTGTATGCCAGGCACTTCACATGTATAGCTCATTAAATCTCATAACAAGCCTATGAACTAGATCTTATTATTATCCTTCTTTTACAGATGAGGAAACTGAGGCACAGGAAGGTTGAGCACTTTCCCTAGATAAAGCTAGCAAATGGAGTAGCTGGACACAAATCCAGGAAGTCTGATTCCAAAACTTTAGTGCTATGGTACTTATTGATTTGAATCTTAGCAGCTCAGTAGACATTAAAGTATTACATGGTTCCATCCTTACTGTCATCTTCTCTGGAATAAATAAGGCCTTATTGCCACGCATGGTGGTTGGTGCACTCCTATAATCCCAGCAATTCCAGAGGCCGATGTGGGAGGTATGCTTAAACCCAGAAGTACAAGATCAGTTTGGGCAACATAGTGAGATCTCATCTCAGAAAAACAAAAATTTAAAAAAGGCTTATTGAGAGAAAGTATATGATAACCTTGAATCTTACTTTACCTTTGGACCTGAAGTTACAACTAGCTAAGTGTTAAGGATGATTACATCAGTAAATTTTACTACCTTTCCTAATACTAGGAGCATAGTATTAGGGACTATATTCAGTGTTACTTACATCATTTCATCCTTACAACAAACTTTTGAGGTTTGTTGTGTTTTTATCTTACAGAGGATGAAACTGAGACTCAAAATGACAAAGTAGTTTACTCCTAGGTTGGACTATTAAGTGCAATAGCCAGGGCGTGAACCAGGTTTCTGCTTCAGAGCCAGGGCTCTAACCAAACTTAAGCTGCCTTCCTCATGGACTGTTTAGATTATATTGGGTCATGAATATTTTAGAAATATTTAAAAACATTTAAGGGTTGTTTTCTCTAAGTCTGGTATAAATTGTAAATGAAAAATTTTAATCCCGTGAAATTAGTGACGTTGCTCTGAGAATATGGGACTCTTTTCAGTATAACCTTTAATTCGTTGCTGCATGTTCTTGAAAACATCCTTTTTTCTTTTCTTTTCTTTTTTTTGAGACAGGGTCTCGCTCTGTCACCCAGGCTGGAGTGCAGTGGGGTGATCTTGGCTCACTGCAACATCTGCCTCCCAGGTTCAAGCGATCCTTCCACTTTAGCCTCCTTAGTACCTGGGACTGCTGACATGCCACTACCCTTGCCTGGTTAATGTTTTGTATTTTTTGTATTATTGTAACATGTTTCACCATGTTAGTCCGGCTGGTATTGAACTCCTGGGCTCAAGTGATCCTGCCAAAGTATTGGGACTGCATGCCTGAGCCACTGTGCCTGGCCACCCTTTATTTTTCAAGTGTCTGTCCCAAAGCACTTTGGGGAGAACTTTGGTACCTTCTATTTCTAGGTGCTTTAAAAACTATTTAAAATTAGTTCATCAACCTAAAATATTTTTTACATATTTTATTGGTTTTTCATTTTTAATTTGTTTAAAAAATTTTTATGATACAAATTAAATTGTTTTAAAGTTTGTATTATTACATAATTTTTTAATTTCTTATATGGGAAGAGATGAATTGGGATTCAGGAGAAGTTTAATTTTCATTTAAGAATGTTACTGCTAGCCAGAGCAATCAGGCAAGAGAAAGAAATAAAGGGTATTGAAATAGGAAAGGAGGAAGTCAAATTGTCTCTATTTGCAGACAACATGATTGTATATCTAGAAGACCCCATCCTCTCAGCCCAAAATCTCCTGAAACTGATAAGCAACTTCAGCAAAATCTCAGGATACAAAATCAGTGTGCAAAAATCACAAGCATTCCTATACACCAATAACAGACTTAAAGAGAGCCAAATCAAGAACGAACTGCCATTCACAATTGCTACAAAGAGATTAAAATACCTAGGTATACAACTAACAAGGAACGTAAAGGACCTCTTCGAGGAGAACTACAAACCACTGCTCAATGAAATAAGAGAGGACACAAACAGATGGAGAAACATTTCATGTTCGTGGTTAGGAAGAATCAATATCATGAAAATGGCCCTACTGCCCAAAGTAATTTACAGATTCAATGCTATCCCCATCAAGCTACCAATGACCTTCTTCACAAAACTGGAAAAAACCACCTTAAACTTCATATGGAACCAAAAGAGAACCTGCATAGCCAAGTCAATTCTAAGCAAAAAGAAAAAACGGGAGGCATCACACTACCAGGCTTCAAACTATACTACAAGGCTACAGTAATCAAAACAGCATGGTAGTGGTACCAAAACAGAGATATAGACCAATGGAACAAAACAGAGGCATCAGAGGCAACACAACATATCTACAACCATCCGATCTTTGACAAACCTGACAAAAATAAGCAATGGGGGAAAGGATTCCCTGTTTGATAAATGGTGTTGGGAAAACTGGCTAGCCATGTGCAGAAAGCAGAAACTGGACCCCTTCCTGACATCTTACACCAAAATTAACTCCAGAAGGATTAAAGACTTAAACATAAGACCTAACACCATAAAAACCCTAGAAGAAAATCTAGGCAAAACCATTCAGGACATAGGAGTAGGCAAGGACTTCATGACCAAAACACCAAAAGCATTGGCAACAAAAGCCAAAATAGACAAATGGGACCTAATCAAACTCCACAGCTTCTGCACAGCAAAAGAAACAGTCATTAGAGTGAATCGGCAACCAACAGAATGGGAAAAAATTTTTGCAGTTTACCCATCTGACAAAGGGCTGATATTCAGAATTTACAAAGAACTAAAACAGATTTACAAGAAAAAAACAAACACGCCCATTCAAAAGTGGGCGAAGGATATGAACGGACACTTTACAAAAGAAGACATATACATGAGGCCAACAAACATGAAAAAATGCTCATCATCACTGGTCATTAGAGAAATGCAAATCAAAACTACATTGAGATACCATCTCACGCCGGTTAGAATGGCGATCATTAAAAAATCTGGAGACCACAGATGCTAGAGAGGATGTGGAGAAATAGGAACACTTTTACACTGTTGGTGGGAGTGTGAATTAGTTCAACCATTATGGAAGACAGTGTGGTGATTCCTCAAGGACCTAGAAATAGAAATTCCATTTGACCCAGCAATCCCATTACTGGGTATACATCCAAAGGATTATAAATCGTTCTACTATAAGGACACATGCACACGAATTTTCATTGCAGCATGGTTTACAATAGCAAAGACCTGGAACCAACCCAAATGCCCATCGATGATAGACTGGACAGGGAAAATGTGGCACATATACACCCTGGAATATTATGCATCCATCAAAAACGATGAATTCGTGTCATTTGTAGGGACCTGGATGAACTTGGAAAGCATCATTCTCAGCAAACTGACCCAAGTATGGAAAATCAAACACCGCATGTTCTCACTCATAGGCGGGTGTTGAACAATGAGAACACATGGACACAGGGAGGGGAGCATCACACACTGGGGTCCGTTGAGGGCAAATAGGGGAAGGACAGTGCGGGTTGGGGAGTTGGGGAGAGAGAGCATTGGGAGAAATGCCAGATATAGGTGAAGGGGAGGAAGGCAGCAAATCACACTGCCATGTGTGTACCTATGCAACAATCTTGCATGTTCTTCACATGTACCCCAAAACCTAAAATGCAGTTTAAAAAAAAAATTAAAAAAAAAAAGAATGTTACTGCTGGCCGGGTGTGGTGGCTCACCCCTATAATCCCAGCACTTTGTGAGGCTGAGTGGGGTGGATTACCTGAGGTCAAGAGTTCAAGACCAGCCTAGCCAACATGGTGAAACTCCATTTCTACTAAAAATGCAAAAATTAGCTGGGCATGATGGCAGCCACATGTAATTCCAGCTACACAGGAGGCCGAGGAGGAGAATTGCTTAAACCTGGGAGGTTGCAGTGAGCCGAGATCATACCACTACACTCCAGACTAAGTGAGTGAGACTCTGTCTCAAAAAAAAAAAAAAAAAAAAAAGAATGTTACTGCTTAGGGCTGAGCGTGGTAGCTCACGGGTATAATCCCCAGTACTTTTGGAGCCTGAGGGAGGTGGATCACCTAAGGTCAGAAGTTTGAGCCAGCCTGGCCAACATGGTGAAACCCTGTCCTTACTGAAAATACAAAACTTAGCTGGGTGTGGTGGTGCATGTCTGTAATCCCAACTACTCGGGAGGGTGAGGCATGACAATCACTTGAACCTAGGAGGTGGAGGTTGCAGCAAGTTGAGATTATGCTACTGCACTCCAGCCTAGGCAACAGAGTGAGACTGTTAAAAAAAAAAAAAAGAATGTTACTGCTTAGTAATTCATTATATTGTATTTCTTGCCAAACTTATTAGTATCTTATAGGAAGTTTGAAAGAAAATTGATTGGTGGAAGCGAGAAAAACTTGTACCATTAAATTACAAGAAATCTGGCCCAGCCTGGGCAAAAGAGTGAGACGCCATCTCAAAACAAATAAAAACAAGAAATCTGGAGGATCACTTGATTTCAGGAATTTAAGACCAGCCTGGGCAACATGGCAAAACTCTGTGTTTGCTAAAAAGTACAAAAAATTAGCTGGATGTGGTGGTGCATGCCTGTAGTCCCAGCTACTCGGGAGGCTGAGGCATGAGAATCGCTTGAACCTGGAGGCAGAGGTTGCAGTGAGCTGAGCTCACACCACTGCACTCCAGCCTGTGTGCCACAGTGAGAATCTGTCTCAAAAAAAAAAAAAAAAATTACAAGAAATGTTTGTATGTTTACTTATTAGTTTTACTTATTTCTATTTCTTTTTGTTACTTGTTACAAATACTAGTAGAGCAGAGTGAAGGTTTTAGGTGTGATACTAACTAAATTCTGTTTCCTTTCTCTCGTTGGTTTTGTTTTTATTCAGAGCCTGCAACTGGTGAAAGAAAAAATGGATCTACTGCTGTTGCTGAGTCTGTTGCCAGGTAACCAAAGCTGGATGCTATTTAGAGTTTAATACGTAGCTACTGGTAATGAGGGTAGATGGTTTATCAACAGAGGAAAAAAGTTAAAATGAGAGTCTTCCATAAAGGATTTAGCAATGTATTGAATTGATCACACACTTCTAAATTAATACTTTTTTAAGTGCAGTGAAGCTTTTTTCTATATATACCTAGAAAGGTATTAAATGTCTTTCTTTTTGTTCATGTGAGAGTTCCTCTCCCCACTTATTTCTGTTGTTCAGACAAGAGTCTCCACAATCTCAGGATTGTTGTTCCGATTGATAAGAAAAGGAAGGCTTAACAAGAGATAGTTACAGATCTTGTTTATTTTGCAATCCTGTATTCAGCCGCAGACTTCAGGTCATTTTCTCTTCTGCCTGTCAAATTAACTACTATGTTGAGCTGTTATTTTTGCTTTGTCATGAATGTCGTAATGCTTTGAGGATGAATATGACCCCATACTGAGGTTTTGGTTGTTAAGCTTTGCCATCTGGTGGCTGTGAGAGTACAGTTGTTTCATTTGTGTTTGGCATGAGTCATCCAGCATGAAAATGCTAATAGCAGTTGGTGAAATATAGGTAAGAATTCTTTTTTTTTCCTTTTTTGAGACAGAATCTTGCTCTGTTGCCCAGGCTGGAGTGCAGTGGTGTGATCATGGCTCACTGTGACCTCAACATCCTGAGCTCCAGCAATCTTCCTGCTTCAGCCACCCAAGTAGCTGGGTCTCTAGGCGTGCACCACCTCACCTGGCTAATATTTGTATTTTTTGTAGAGATGGGGATCTCATTATGTTGCCCAGGCTGGTCTTGAACTCCTGGGTTCAAGCAGTCTGCCTGCCTTGACCTCCCAAAGTGCTAGGATTACAGGCGTGAGCCACCATGCCTCACCAAGAATTCTTAAATTAGAGGCTAGGCAAGTACTGTAAATAAAACTAAAGTTATTTACAGTATAAATAACTGTTTATACAGAGGGTTGAGGACAATGGCAAACTGAATGTATGGTCCATGTGAAAGGGTGTGCCCCATTCAACTCCAGCCAGTGGTTGTCATGCAAGATTGCAAACTTACGGTTGCCATATCTTTGTTTTTAAAAAGAAATCCTGGATTTTTAAAAATAAAATATCAAAAGAGGCCTATGGACTAAATGTAACTTCTTTCTTATGAGTTTCTGACCTTTTTCAAAGTCTTTTGATCTGTTCTTAGCTGTGTCTTAGAGAGATTAGTTGCTCTCTGGGCTATTGTATATTTAATCTGAAAGATAAGTACCTTAGGGTCCTTACTCATTTGAAGATCCTTTAATGATACATTGTTGAAGTATCATTAAAGTTGAAGAACTTGAGAAGGTCTTTAGAAGTTGGAGAACTTAAAAGGGGAAGAAAGTAGAGTGTGTATCTGATCTATTTCGCATTAACAGAATTTTTGGCCAGGAACAAGTTGTTCTAGTTTGTACATATGCATATTCAGAAGGAACAGAGTATGTTACTGAAGCTTCTAGAACCCTTAGGGTAGAAAGTAGAGAGGAGAAAATAAGGAAAAACTTTGAGCAGAGGGTTGGAATGGTAGATCATAGAATGAGATGAAATTTTTTGATACTGTTTTGAAGAAAATTTTCCAAATTAAAATTAAAATTAAAAAAATTTTTACTTGTTTTCCATTGGGTTCACTATAACAAATCATCTAAAGTAAGCCCTGTCACAATATTGGAAGTGGTCCTAGCTTAAGCTGCATTTAAGTAGAGCTTTTTTGTTTGTTTCTTTGAGACAGAGTCTCACTTTGTCACCCAGGTTGCAGTGCACTGGTGCAATCATAGTTCACTGCAACCTTGACCTCCTGGGCTCATGTGATTCTGCTTCAACCCCACAAGGAGCAGGAACTACAGGTGCCTGCCGCTAAGCCTGGCTAATTTTTGTATTTTTAGTAGAGGTAGGGTTTCATCATGTTGCTCCGGCTAGTCTCTAACTCCTGAGCTCAAGTGATCCACCTGCCTTGGCATTCCAGAGTGGTACGATTACAGGCATAAGGCACCATGCTCAGCCTAGGTGAAGCTTTTATTTTACTATAGAGGGTTTCAAGCATATAGGAAAGTAGAGAGAGCAGTATACTGCCATGTACTCATCACCCAGTTCCAAGAATTACCTGTGGCCAGTCTTAATTCATTTATAGATATTTCCAGCACCCACTCCCTACTGAATAATTTTGAAGATAATTTTAGCATTATATAATTTTATGTGAAATACTTCAATGCTGTCTCCAAAAGATAAGGATTCTTCATTTAAATCTTAACCATATTACTATTATCATACTTTAAAAAATTGACAATTTTTCCTTAATACCTAAAATACTCAGTGTTCAAATTTCTCTGATTGTCTCATAAATGGTGTTTTACAGTTTGTTTGACTCAAGACCTGAGGTTCACATATTGCATTTGATGATGTCTCCTTAAGTCTTTTAAAATGTATAAACTGCCCCTCTAATTTTTTGTTTTTTTGCCTCTTGCAAATTATTTGTTGAAGTTACAGATTGTTATATATTTTTCTACATTCTGGATTTTGCTGATTGCATCTTTATGGTACTTAATACAGTCCTCTGTCCACCTTATTTCCAGTAAGTCTTGTTTGAAAATTTTAAATTATACTAATTCAAAACAAGTATGAAGAATGCATTTTGGTGTAAGGTGGTTTGGAGCATGGTGTGCAGAGAAAGCATTTTGTTTCCTCTTTGTATACAAAGATAATCTCCAAAGGTACTTTTCTTTTCCAAACTAACAATTATATTGCTTTAATATATTATCTTAGTCCCCAGAAGACCATGTCTGTCTTCTGGAAAGAGAATGAGGCTCGAAGCGAGGATACTCCCACCACACCCATCAGGTAAGCATTATTTTCATAGAATCTTTTGGGCTACATTGGTTCACAGAATGGTTGGTGCCAAAATCCTAGTATGTACTGTGCTATGGTTTGACTGTGGCATGTGTTGGACACTTAACCCCCAGTGCAAGTGTTGACAGATAATTAGTGGTATTGGTATAAAGCTACAGAAGTTGAACACACACACACACAAGGTAATCATGGGAGCACTGCCCATATGAATGCATTAAGGCTGTTACAGTGAGCATGGGTTAATTATAAAGGGTTAAGGGTCAGTTTGGCCCCCTTTCCACCCTCTTGCATTTACCCTCACCATATGATGCCTTCTGCCATGTTATGATGCAGCTAGAAGGCCCGCACCAGCTGGCCATCTAGATGCTGGTGCCATGCTCTTGGTCGTTCCAGCCTTCAGAACCATGAGCCAAATCCTGTGAATCTTTTCTTTATAAATTTCCCAGTCTGGTGGGAATTCTTTTATAGCAGCAGAAAACAGAGTAGGATGTACTGCTACTATTTTGTGAGCTTGAGCTTACCTATTTTTTTTTTTTAATCTTAAGGGACTATAATGTATTCTGGATAGATTCATGAGCTATCATGAGAAATTTTATTAAATGTTTTATAGCTACACATTTTTGTCTTTATCTGCCAGTTGTATAAATTTAAAATGACTGTCTTCATAAATAAATAAATTGTGAGATAGGGTCTCACACTGTCACCCAGGCTGGAGTGAAGTGGTGTGAATGAACATGGCGCACGGAAGCCTTTACCTCCGGGGCTTCAGCCTCCCCAGTTGCGAGGACCATAGGCATGTGCCACCATACTGGCTAAGTTTTCTGTTCTTTGTAGAGATGGCTTTTCACTATGTTGTCCAGTCTGGTTCCAAATTCGTGGGATCAAGCAGTCCTCCCACCTTGACATCCAAAAGTGTTGGGAATACAAATGGAAGCCGCCATGCCCTGCCTATGAAAATAATTGATGTAATTCTGTATTTCTCGGATTAGTTTTTATTTTGGAAATCATGTTGACTTTTAACAGACTTTTTATTTCCCTTTAGCTTCTCACAGAGCAAAATATGAGATATTTAGCTTCCCAAATTTAAAGGTTTTAAGACTTAATGGAAGTAATTTTTCTGTAATTTCTTTTTCTTTTTAGAGACAGAGTCTCACTCTGTAACCCAGGCTGAAGTGCAATGGTGTAGTAGTAGCTCACTGCAGCCTCAAATGCCTAGGCTCAAGCAGTCCTGCCTCAGCCCCCTGAGTAGCTAGGACTACAGGCATGTGCCACCATGTCTGGCAAATTTTTTTTTTTTTAAACTTTTTGTAATCCCAGCACTTACTGTGTTGCCCAGGCTGGTCTCAAACTCCTGGGCTCAAGTGATCCTCCTGCCTTGTTTTCTCGAAGTGCTGGGATTACAAGTGTGAGCCACCGTGCTTAGCCCCATAATTTCTTTACTCCATAATCTCTTAAAACAGTTCTGAGGCAGGAAAAAAGTTTTGAGTTACAGGTTTTTTTTCTCTGTTTAAGTAATTAAGGAGGTGACGGGTCACAGTGGCTCATGCCTATAATCCCAGCACTTGGAGGCCAAAGCACGAGGATTCCTTGAGGCTAGGAGTTTGAGATGAACCTGGGTGACATAGTAAGACCCTGTTTCTTTTCTTTTTTTTTTTTTAATTAGCATTTTGGTCACAGATGTGCAGAGAAAGTGAGACCCTGTTTCTGCCGAAGGAAAAAAAAAAGCTGGATGTGGTGACATGCGCTTGTGGTCCCAGCTACTTGGAAGACTGAAGTGGGTTGATCGTTTGAACCTGGGAGGTCGAGGCTGCAGTGAGCTGTGGTTGCGCCACTGCACTTCAGCCTGGGGGACAGAGTGAGACCCTGTCTCAAAAAAATAAAGAATAAAGAGTATCTTATATGGAATACATGATTCTTACGTTTAGTGTAGAGAGATAAGTAATGGCAGTGGAAGTGAACCTGTATTTTCATTTCTAAGTGAAGTATCTTTTTCCTCTAAAATTCAGTGATTTCAAAATTAGGCAGTGTGATAATGTTTTGTCAGTAGGTATATAACTAATAGTGATATAAGTAGTATGATTTGGCCAGGTGTGGTGGCTTACACCTATAATCCCAGCACTTTGGTAGAATGAGGTGGGTGGATTGCCTGAGCTCAGGAGTTCGAGACCAGCCTGGGCATCATGGCAAAACCTCATCTCTACAAAAAGTACAAAAATTGGCCGGGCACGGTGGCTCATGCCTGTAATCCCAGCACTTTGGGAGGCCGAGATGGGAGGATCACCTGAGGTCAGGAGTTCAAGACCAACCTGGCCAACATGGTGAAACACCATCTCTACAAAAATATAAAAAATTAGATGGACGTGGTGGCAGGTCCCCATAATCCCAGCTGCTTGGGAGGCTGAGGCAGGAGAATCACTCGAACCCAGGAGGTGGAGGTTGCAGTGAGCTAAGATCACATCATTACGCTCCAGCCCGGGCAACAGAGCGAAACTCCTTATCAAAAAAAAAAAAAAAAAGTACAAAAATTAGCCAGGTGTGGCAGTGCAATGCCTGTAGTCCCAGCTACTTGGGATGCTGAGGTGAGAGGATGGCTTGAGCCCAGGAGATGGAGGATACGGTGAGCCGAGATCATGCCACTGCATTCCAGCCTGGGCAACAGAGCCAGACCTTGTTTGTTTGTTTGTTTTTTAAAAAAAGGCTGGGCACGGTGGCTTACATCTGTAATCCCAGCACTTTGGGAGGCTGAGGTGGGTGGATCACCTGAGGTTGGGAGTTCGAGACCAGCCTGACCAACATGGAGAAATGCTGTCTCTACTAAAAATACAAAATTAGCCAGGCGTGGTGATGCATGCCTTTAATCCCAGCTACTCAGGAGGCTAAAGCAGGAGAATCACTTGAACCTGGGAGGCAGAGGTTGCGATGAACTGAGATTGTGCCATTGCACTCCAGTCTGGGCAACTCTGTCTCAAAAGAAAAGGATGGACAGGGTGGCTCACACCTGTAATCCCAGCATTTTGGGAGGCTGAGGCAGGAGGATCACTTCAGTCCAAGAGTTAGTGACCAGCCTTGCCAACAAGGTGAAACCCTGTCTCTACTAAAAATACAAAAATTATCTAGCTGGGGTGGTCCTTGCTTGTAGTCCCCAGCTACTCTGGAGGCTGAGGTATGAGAATCACTTGAACCCTGGAGGTGGCGGTGGTAGTGAGCCAAGATGGTGCTACTACACTACAGTCAGGGCAGCAGAGCGAGACTGTCTCAAAAAAATAATAATAATAATAACAGCATAATTTCTATGTTTCTATGTTCATTATTGAAGCAAGTATTTAAAAGAAAGATGTCCACTTTAAATGGGCATTCTGAGTAAGTGTGTGCTTGTTGATATTCTTGGATATCAGATGATCCTGATGGTAAAGAAAATCATGTGATTTAAAAAGTGGTGTAGTAATGGCCCAGCTATTAGTAAATTTATTGATGTCATTGTATTGCCTTGCTTTTTTTTTTTTTTAAACATTTTAAAATAGAGATGCCAAAATGTTGGTGATATTGTTTAACTTTGGTGGAGCAAAGACGTGGGATTTTAGCTGGATTTGATTCCAGATGTTTCATAAACAGAGCTACACTCAAAATAGAATAGTTAGACATTTGTTAAATATGGAGATTTATTCTTCTCTATTTCAGTTCAGATTAATTTTTTTTTGAGATTGAATCTTGCTCTGTCATGCAGGCTGGAAGTACAGTGGGGTGATCTTGGCTCACTGCAACTTCTCCTCCCTGGATTTAAGGGATTCTTCTGCCTCAGCCTCCCAAGTAGCTGGGACTACAGGAATATGCCACCACACCTGGCTAATTTTTTTGTATTTTTAGTAGAGACAGTTTTGCCATGTTGTCCAGGCAGGTCTTGAACTACTGACCTCCAATGATCCAACCGTCTTGGCTTCTCAAAGTGCTGCCACTGGTATGAGCCACTGTGCCTGGCCTCAGTTTAGATTAACTTTATCCATGCTTTTTTCTGCTAAAATTTGCTTTTCAGGATTTTTTTTTTAAACGGATTCTCGCTCTGTTGCCCAGGCTGGAGTGCAGTGGGTTGATCTCAGCTCACTGCAACCTCTGCCTCTTGGTTCAAGCGATTCTTGTGCCTCAGCCTCCAGAGTAGCTAAAAGTATAGGCATGTGCCACCATGCCCAGCTAATTTTTGCATTTTTAGTAGATATAGGGTTTCACCATGTTGGCCAGCCTGGTCTTAAACTTCTGGTCTCAGGTGATCCACCTGCCTCAGCCTCCCAAAGTGCTGGGTTTACAGGCATGAGCCACTGTGCCCAGCCTAAAATCTACTGTCTTCGTATTAGTTTCTAAGTCTGGCATATAGTGACTAGAGTAGAATTGCACAGCTGGAACTAATGGAGAAGGAGAGGTAGGGAACTTCTTATAATTTAGTGGATTACTGTAGAAATAAAATTCCATTCAGATACTCTAACCTGAATAAACAGCTTCTGAGGTGTCTTAGTCTTTTTTGGGCTGCTACAACAATTTCTCACATTTCTGAAGGCTGAGAAGTTCTAGATCAAAGCACTGGCAGATTTGGTGTCTGGTGAGGGCTTGATTCCCGGTTCGTAGACAGCTGTTCTCACATGGCAGTTGGGGGCAAGGGAGTTCTCTGAAGTTTCTTTTATAAGGGCACTGACCCTATTCATGAGGGCTCTTCCTCTTAATACCATCACCTTGGGGGTTAGGATTTAATATATGAGTCTTGGGTTGAAGGGGACATAGATATTTAGTCTGTAGCATGAGATAAAATTTATAAGCTTGTTTAGGATGGGAAGCAACAATAATTGAATTCCTAAAATCCAGTCCTGGCTCTTCTGGCTTTTGAATCCTTTCCTTCTTGCTCAGCCACTGATATGTTAGATGTCTTAAAGATTCAAATTTGAATATTCAGTTGTTATTGAAGGTGAACTGAGTCTCTTTAATTGCTTTGTCTTATGCATCTAATATTGATTGAGCAGCTGCTGTGCTCAATATCTTACATATATGACCATTTATAAACCTCACAGGAGGTAACTGCTACACATGGTAGATGTCTCCGGGTGGTCATGTTCTTACTTCTTCATTGAACCATATATTCTCATTCAGTTGAGGTTCCTGAGCGATAGGACATTAACTGTAACAACCAAATGTATGCTAAGCTCTTCTTGGCTAGAAATCTATTCTAAATCCCTCTGTGAGGTCCTGTTCTGGTAGTTGAGCTAAACAGTATAGAAACCTCAGAAACTTCTTTTTTCCTTTTCCTTCAAGATCTAGAGCAGAGCAATCCCTAAAGAGCACTTCCCGTTTCCTTTACTCTGTTGACCTAAGCAAGCTGAGATCCTAAGGATAAGAGCTTCTCTCAAGTAGGAGATAGCCCCTATCTTTTTCTGACCACATACTTAAATCAACATATGACATGGTTTCTAGGCCCCTTAGCATCCTACATGTTACCTTCTGTGTGTTTATCTACAGTTTATGCCTTGTAAACTGTCATGCCTAGAACTGAAACAGATATTCCATATGTGGTCTTAGCATGGTCAGTTCAGAACGTATTCCTTTGGTCTTTATTCTGGCTGTTGTACATGTAATGGAGCCTAAAATTGCATTATGTTGATTTCATCTGAGTAGGTTTTGCAATTGATTGATTCAGAGAACATTCATTCTTCTGTTCAAAGTACGTGTATTTAGCATCTATTTTATATTAAGCTGTGAGTTAGGTGTTTTACATATAAAGATGGTTAAGACATTAGTGTCAAATTTCTGTTGACTTGCAGTTAGCCTGGACCTTTTTATTCTGGAGGATTGTTAGGGACATTTAAGAAAGCTCCTAGTCACTTCAGAAGTCATGGTATGTGGTTTGTAGAAGACATTCAACAAATGCTTGTGGAATAAAGGAACAAATCACTGATACCCAAGTGGGATGACTTATGAAAAGAAATGGGTTATATCTTGAATAACTGTCTTTGAGAAACCAGTTCATTCTGAGATGTTTAGTTGTAGATACATCAGTATAGCTGACAAAACTAGAATCTACCTACAACTTTATTCTTTATAAATCAGATTTCCTTTCCTAGAAATATTGGTCAGGAGGGGATAAAAAATATCTAGAACGCTAGGAATCAGTTAAGGAATGTTAAAACCGTTCATAAAGCCAGATGAGACAACTTGACTTAATCTGTTGTCAAAATAGATCCCTAAGTTGTCCTTCATTGTCTGACTTAAGTAATTGGTTTACATCTTTTTGTTTACTTCATTTTCCTGCATCAAGTTTCAGAGTTCATAGCTAGTAATGGGAAGAAATTTTATGACTATTTTATCATCATGTGGGAATTTTTCTATTTACCGTTATATTTCTTACAGGGGTGAAATTATGAGAGGCCTCCCAAGGTGATAATGCTTGACTACCTTAATTTCTCCCTTCTTTACATTTTTCATATTGTCAAAATATGGCTCCTCCTTTCCACTACACACACACACACACACACACACACACACACACACGTTCACACATGCACTTGCTTAATTGACATGGCTTCTTTCTGTGTTGCATTTTCAGGGGGAACTTGCTCCACTTTCCAAGTTCTCAAGGAGAAGAGGAAAAAGAAAAATTGGAGAGTGACCATACAATGGGGCAGAGTCAACAGCCTATGAAGCCCATTAGTCCTGTCAAGAACCTTGTTTCTCCTGCTTCCCAGAAGGTGGTCATACAAGGGCCATCCAGTCCTCAAGGAGAAGCAATGGTGACGGATGTGCTAGAAGACCAGAAAGAAGGATGGAATACTAATCAGGAAAATCCTAGTAAGGCCTTGATTGAAAGGCCCAGCCAAAATAACATAGGAATCCAAACCATGGAGTGTTCCCTGAGGGTCCCAGAAACTGTTTCAGCAGCAACCCAGACTATAAAGATTGTGTGTGAGCAGGGGACCAGTACAGTGGACCAGAACTTCGGAAAGCAAGATGCCACAGTTCAGACTGAGAGGGGGAGTGGTGAGAAACCAGTCAGTGCTCCTGGGGATGATACAGAGTCGCTCCATAGCCAGGTGAGAGAACTTATATACTAGGGTGCATCCAAGGCCCTGTTGTTGACTTTCAGGATTCTCAGAGAATTTAAGTTGTGGCATGTCTACCTAATGACAGTTCTTGACAGTTTTGTATAGAACAATGGTTAAAAGACAAAAACAACTACCAAGATACAGATATGGTAGTGATATTGTGGGTAGCTATAGCCAGTAGTCTTTGAGGGAAAATGTAATATTGCTAGTTTTTCAGGTAGTTCTTTAGTGGAGAAAAAAGCCAGAGATCAGCTTGGGTCCTGTAATATTCTTCTACATTCACTCTTTTCCTTCTCCATCATTTTTTATCTTCCCCTCTAACCATCAGATCTAATTTTCTCTCCCTTAAGTCTATTTATTTCATCATGGTTCTCGGAATTTAGAGAGTAGAAAGTAATGGGGAAAGAAGCAGCACCAAGAATAGTGTATTTCAGTATTTGAAACAGAAAGAACAGTAACAGGAATAGAGAGAGAGAGGGAAAAGTCCCCAGGTGACTGGGAACTGCAGAAGAGAGGCTAGACTGGAAGCTAATGGGAGGAAAAGGATTAGGGCTGATGAAAGTGAGGCTGGAAGAATATCAGGTTCCAGGGAACAGAGTAGGGAAGTATGAGTACTAGTAGAAATTAAGTAGGTGGCTGTGCGTGGTGGCACACACCTGTAATCCCCGCACTTTCAGAGGCCCAGGTGGGAGGAGTACTTGAGCCCAGGAGTTTGAGACTATCTTGGGCAATATAGTGAGATTTTGTCTCTTAAAAAAAAATTGAGTAGATAAAAATAAGTGGCAGAAATGTATGTGTTAACAAATATGTAAAAGTTCACAACATTTCATTGAGTGGCAGAGTAGGATCTATGGCAGAGAAAATTTGAAAGTTACTAGTTAACAGTAGTCTCCACTTATCACTGGTTTCTTTTTCTGTGGTTTTAGTTGCCCATGGTCAGCTGCAGTCCAAAAATATTAAATGGAAAATTATAGAAATAATAAGTTTTAAATTGTGTGCTGTTCTGAGTGATGTGTTAAAATCAAGTGCTGTCCCTCTTAGTTCTGGCGAGGATATAAATGCTCCCTTTTTCCAGCATATCCATGCTGTATATGTTCCCTGCCTGTTAATGACTTAGTAGGCATTGTGGTTATCAGATCAACTATCATGCTATTGTGGTGCTTGCCTTCAAGTAACCCTTGTTTTACTTTTGCCCCAAAGTTTGAGAGTAGTGATGCTGACAATCTGAATATGCCAGAAAAGTCGTAAAGTGCTTCCTCTAAGTGAAAAGGTAAAAGGTCTTAATAAGGAAAGAAAAAAAAATCATATGCTGAAGTTATCTTATGTATGGTAAGAACATATCTATCCATGAAATTATGAACAGTGTATTGTTAAAGTTTCATTATTAGTTATTAATCTCTTTCTGTGCTTGATTTATAAATATGTCTGTATAGGAAGAAACAGTGTATAGGGTTCGGTATTATCTGCAGTTTCAGGCATCCACTGGGGGTCAAAATGTGCCAAACACATTTCTCCCTCAGATAAAGGAGATACTGTAGTGGTCAAATTGCCTTTTCAGTTTCTGTGGTAGATTATCTTCATTTGGGATCTACTTAGGAAATCTTCACTATCGATGTACCACTCATTCTGATTGTCCAAGTTGTTTGTTTTAGAAAAACAAAATACAGTTTTTATGTATTGAATACCTGTGGCATGTGAGCATTGTGCTCAAGACAATGGCAAATTTTATGTTATATAGATTTACCGTAATAAAAATATGGATGATGTATGGAATAACAGAAATTGAAATTGGTATGTCATCTTTTGAAGAGAGAGTAGCAAATAAGAAAGGCTGTATGCAAGTTTTCCAGGTGTCAGTGCTTCCCCCCCCCCCGAGACAGAGTTTCGCTCTTGTTACCCAGGCTGGAGTGCAATGGCACGATCTCGGCTCACCGCAACCTCCACCTCCTCGGTTCAGGCAATTCTCCTGCCTCAGCCTCCTGAGTAGCTGGGATTACAGGCACGCGCCACCATGCCCAGCTAATTTTTTGTATTTTTAGTAGAGACGGGGTTTCAACATGTTGACCGGGATGGTCTTGATCTCTTGACCTCGTGATCCACCTGCCTCGGCCTCCCAAAGTGCTGGGATTACAGGCTTGAGCCACCGCGCCCAGCCCAGTGCTTTTTAAAAATCCCCTTCAGTGTAGGCAAGACATAGGCCAGTGCTAGTAGAAAAGCATAAGCAGCCTACTTTGACACTCCTGAAATTTTCATTTGTATGTCAAAATGGACATGAAACCAGGTTTCCTATGAAGGGAAAGTGTGGTTTTATTTTCATTTTGTTTCTTTCCCTTAATGGTGATATGATCATCAATTTATTTATTTTATAGACACCTCTTTTCAGAAGACTATTTGAAGAGAGGAAGCATAGCTTTCTTTTTATCTGCCCCCTTTACCTTTGCATTTTATTCTCTCAGACATGCTTAAGTCTCTCTCTTGAAGTGATCATTCATGTGGCTGTTGTAATTGGAAGAATGCAGGGTAGCTTCTTGGCTGCATTTCAAGGGATATGTAAAGCACTGAAACCTTTTAGACTGACTTTCTCTTTAGTGGGGGGAATAGTCATATCGTGTGTGTAGGAAGGAAGTCCAGGCTGTCATAGTTCTCATGGGTGGGCGTCCTGGTGATTGAGGTGGGACAGACCTGTGCTTTAACCATTCTTAAGACACAGTTGTGTATGTAGAAGTATTTTTTTTTTTTAGACAGTCTCACCCTGTTGCCCAGGCTGGAGTGCAGTGGCACGACCTCGGCTCACTGCAGCCTCCACCTCCCAGGTTCAGGTGATTCTCCTGCCTCAGCCCCCTGAGTAGCTGGGATTACAGGTGTATCTTTAGTGGAGACGGGGTTTCACCATGTTGGCCAGGTTGGCCTCAAAAGCCTGACCTTGCGATCTGCCCACCTGGGCCTCCCAAAGTGGTGGGATTACAGGTATGGGCCACCACACCCAGCCGTATGTAGAAGTATTTTAAAGAATAGGATGAGTAGCGTTCCATGACTTTGATATTATTTATAACTATTCACATAATTTTCATATCTCCATTTTAGTAAATATTTCACCTCTGCCTGTTTCCAAGTTGAGATTGGAGTGGGGATTATTCAGATCAATTATTGAAAGCTTTTGGTAAATTACTACCACATGTCAGAAAAAAATGCAGAATTACCATTATTGCATTTTTGGCTACTTTGATACTGAAAAGTAAAATCATCCTACCATAGGGGAGATAAGGTGAGAGACAGAAGTGTGCATTTTCTTTTCAGAATTACAGAGCCAATGGGATGTAAGAGGGAGGGGAAAAATGTGATATAGTTGTTATTAGAAAACATTTATTTTTTTCAGAAATACAAGACTGAAATTCTAGCACTTTTTATCAGCCACGGGAAGGTCCTGGGTCATAAAGGCTGAAAGCCCCAAACTAACTAATGATTTGAGGTGGTAAATATGGCTTCAAGATTTAATTTGCTAAGAAGTTATCTTTTAAAAATTACCAAGATCTGACTAAAGCATGAACTCAGGCTGCCTGTAAATAGAAAATTATGAACGAGAAATAATGAATCTGGATGCTATGTTAGTTAAATCAGTTGTTCTTTTGAATAGCAGTAGTTATTAGTTTGTTGTGTTTTGTAAATCAGAAATAGGGCATTTGAAGTTCTTCAGAAGTATTGAATCAATTATACCTGTCCTGAACTTCCCAGCAGTGATTTGTCTACTATAGTACCTGGCACCCTTAAGTTATACGATAAATATTTGCTTAATGTGTTTTGAGTGAAAGAAGCACTGTCCCACTAAATAATATTATTTAATAGTTATAATAAAAACATAGGGTCTTATTTAGCCCTACGTTATTCTTATAGTAGAACTGGATATAAAATCTTAATTTGCAATTTTTTCCATTTCTGGACACTAGCTCAACTTTTTAGCCATAATCTGTTCCTTGGAGTAGATGAAATATTTTATATTTAATTCTTTTTGTTTGTTTGTTTTTGAAATGGAGTCTTGCTCTGTCGTCTAGGCTGGAGTGCAGTGGTACGATCTTGGCTCATTGCAACCTCCGCCTCCTGGGTTCAAGCGATTCTCCTGCCTCAGCCTCCCAAGTAGCTGGGATTACAGGCACCTGCCACCACACCCAGCTAATTTTTTGCATTTTTAGTAGAGACGGGGTTTCACCATATTGGCCAGGCTGGTCTTGAACTCCTGACGTTGTGATCCGCCCACCTTGGCCTCCCAAAGTGCTGGGATCAGAGGCATGAGCCACTACGCCCAGCCAAAATATTTATATTTAATTCTAGGAGAGAACAGTGTATATTGTTTTAGGTAATAAACTGTGGTTTTCACTTTAATACAGGAAAAACGGATAAACTGAGATTAACAGATAAATCATTATGGTTTTATGTGAAGGACTATAGAGTGCCTACCTTTTCTCTAAACAGCTATCGCAAATGTAAACTGTAAACTTGTTTGCTAATTTGCAAGGTAGCATCAAAAGTAGAAGAAATATAGTTTAATTAAAAATAATGAACTTTTAGGGCTCAAAAGTTCACGTAAATGTTTGTAGATATAAGTACTAGATGTAATGAGTTTGATTTAGACAGAAATAGGTCATTTTAGGTGATGCTCATACAAATTTTTCTTAGCCTCTGGCTATACAGCTGATCCATCCCTGGTCTTATTTATAGGTGGTTAAAACAAAACTGTTGGAAGATTCTGTCACACTGGATTCGTTGACCCTCGAAACAATTTTCATCATAAAGCATTCGGTTGTGATTTTGACAGCTTGCTCTGAGACCTGTGCTTATGTTCTGTGTCTTCTGTCACAGGGAGAAGAAGAGTTTGATATGCCTCAGCCTCCACATGGCCATGTCTTGCATCGTCACATGCGAACAATCCGGGAAGTACGCACACTTGTCACTCGTGTCATTACAGATGTGTATTATGTGGATGGAACAGAAGTAGAAAGAAAAGTAACTGAGGTAATATATACTCTGAGTCTGTGTGGCAAATTAATCCCTTCCTTCCTCCCTCCCTCCTTCCTTCCTTCAGTCTCACTTTGTCACCTAGACTAAAGTGCAGTGGCATGATTTTGTCTCACTGCAGGCTGTGCCCCTCTAGCTCAAGTGATCCTCCTGCCTCAGCTTCCCTGTAGTTGGTTCTACAGGCACAAACCATCATGCCTGACTAGTTTTGTTTATTTTTTGGAGGGACAAGGTCTCACTGTGTTGCCCAGGCTGGTCTTGTACTCCTATGCTCAAGCGACCCTTCAGCTTTGGCTTCCCAGAATGCTAGGATTTTAGGCTTGAGCCACTGCCCCTGGCCCCACATTTCTTTCTACTGAAAAATTATCTTAGCAGAGATAGAGAAACAGGGTTAGAAATTAGAGTTCCTGCTTTCTAAAGCTTTCTCCAACTGTGGGTTTGCTGTTTGACCATTGGTTAGTTATTTGACGAGTCCCATCATGCTTTCCTTTTCTGTAAAGAATAGATCTTAATCTCTGTAAATCTCTCTCATATATAAAGATTGTATGTATTTAAATCCTTAGAAACTCAAATGAAGTTTAGAACACTCTGTTTATCTACCTGTGTTTCCTCACGTATTTTCATGTCTACTCATTCTGTTCTTTCTTTGTCACTGTCTGTGTTCATAGACCTGTTGGTAAGAAATGCACCTTTATTTTTTAGTGGGATTCATTATAGACTCATTACAAATGTCAACACAGTATTGGCATTTAGTGACTATTTGTTATATTGAATGGCATAATATGCTGACTTTGTTTACATCTAATAGAGGGAGATTAGGCAGATTTTTCTAGGATTAAAGATCTGGTACCTTTGTTGGTATACGTTAAGATCTGGAACCATTTTACTAATTGGTAAGAGGAGGCACAGCTATTTTCTTTCTTCTTTTGAGACAGAGGCTCACTTTGTTGCCAGGCTGGAGTGCGATGGTGCAATTTTGGCTCACTGCAACCTCTGCCTCCAAGGTTCAAGCAATTCTCCACCTTAGCCTGCCGAGTAGCTGGGATCACAGGCACACACCACCACGCTCAGCTAATTGTATTTTTGGTAGACATGGGGTTTCACCCTGTTGGCCAGGATGGTCTCGATCTCCTAACCTTGTGATCCGCCTACCTTGGCCTTCCAAAGTGCTGTGATTACAGGTGTGAGCTACCGCACCTGGCCTTTTTTTTCTTTTTTTGAGATGGAGTCTTACTCTGTCACCCAGGCTAGAGTACAGTGGTGCAGTCTCAGCTCATTGCAACTTCTGCCTCCTGGGTTTAAGCGATTTTCCTGCCTCAACCTCCTGAGTATCTGGGATTACAGGCACCTGCCATTGCACCTGGCTATTTTTTTTTTTTTTTTTTTTTGAGTCAGGGTCTTGCTCTGTCACAAGGTGCCAGCTGGAGTGCAGTGGCGTGATCTTGGCTCACTGCAACCTCCGTCTCCTGGGTTCAAGCAATTCTCCTGCCTCAGCCTCCCAAGTAGCTGGGACTACAGGTGCACGCCACCATGCCAAGCTAATTTTTGTATTTTAGTAGAGACAGGGTTTCGCCATGTTGGCCAGGATGGTGTCGATCTCTTGACCTTGTGATCTGCCCACCTTGGCTTCCAAAGTGCTGGGATTACAGGTGTGAGCCACCATGCCTGGCCATTTTTGTATTTTTAGTAGAGACGGGTTTCACCATATTGGCTGGGCTGGTCCTGAACTCCTGACTTCATGATCCACCCGCCTCACCTCCCAAAGTGTTGGGATTACAGGTATGAGCCACTGCACCTGGCAAGGCACAGATATTCTTCCTTTACCCAGATACTTTACTTTAATTCTGTCTGCTGCCCATGTAGGAGGTTGTACTCAGGGAGAGTTAAACTCTAGTATATAGTTGTATTAAATAGAATGTATAATTGCTGTTATTCAGCGGACTCTTGTGGCCCTCATGTCGGATAACATTTGAGGTTAGTTTGAGGAACTGTTTGTTGTTTGTTTTACTATACAGAGATTATTCAGATTCCATTGGTTTTATAGACACTCATTTGAGAAATTGTTTTTTATTCCTTTTTTTTTGAGACAGAGTCTTGCTCTGTTGCCCAGTGGCCTAATCTTGGCCGACTGCACCCTCCGTCTCCTGAGTTCAAGTGATTGTCCTGCCTTAGCCTCCTGAGTAGCTGGGATTATAGGCATATGCCACCACGCCCAGGTAATTTTTGTGTTTGTAGTAGAAACGGTATTTCACCATGTTGGCCAGGCTGGTCTTGAACTCCTGACCTCAAGTGATCTGCCTCAGCCTCCTAAAGTGCTGGGATTAGAGGCTTGAGCCACTGCGCCCAGCCTGTTTTTTTTTCTTTATTTGTGTATTCCAAATCCCAGAACTATTTCTTTTAAAATACTGCTTTATTTTCATTTTTACAATGTTTTAAAAACATTTTTGTTTATGTTATTACTATTTTGGAGACATTATGAAAAGCAATTTGTTTTTCATGAAAATTTTGTAACTTTTATAGTCCATATTAAATCTGTATCTAGCACACTACATTTAGTTGTTTTGTTTTGTTTTGTTTTGTTTTTTTAAAGAAAGAAAGAAAGAGAAAGAGAAAAGGGGGAGAGAGAACAGGAGTCTTGCTCTATTGCCCAGGCTGGAATGTAATCTAGAAGTAGGTATTAAAAACCTCTTTTATGCTGATGATTGTGCTTAACAGCAGAGACAGGAAGGAATAAGGAAAGAAAATAACAAACAAACAGCCAACCAATATTTTGTTTAAATCTGTGAAATGCTGTGCAAGTGCTGAAGAGTGATTTGCTTCCATTTATGTGGTCACTTTCAAAATAGGTGTAATGTGATACTAAAAAAAAATGTATGTTCTGTGGACCTGGGGTGAAGAATTCTATAAATATTCACTGAGTTTACTTGTTCCAGGTCTGAGTTCAAATCATAAATGTCTCTGCTAATTTTCTATCTTGTTGATCTGTCGAATATTAACAATGTGGTGTTAAACATATTACTTTATTTCTTAAAATGTATTTTTTTTTTTATGTTTGGAGACAGGGTCTTGCTCTTCTGCCCAGGCTGGAGTGCAGTGGTGCTATCACGGCTCACTGTAGCCTTGACCTCCTGGGCTCAAGGGAGTCTCCCACCTCAGCCTTCTGAGTAGCTGGGACCATAGGTACACACCACCACACCTGCCAATTTTTGTGGAGATGGGGTTTCACTATATTGCCCAGTCTGATCTTGAACTCTTTGTTCAAATGATCTTCCGACCTTGGCCTTCCAAAGTGATGGGATTACAGTCATGAGCTACTGTGCCAGGCTCATTTAATATTTTATATGGTGCTTTCTAAAGTATATTTCTGGAAACAGCAGGCCTCTTAGTTTGATGGAGGGAAAAGGTTCCATGGTCATGAATAAGTTTGAGAAACACCAAATGCTCTCAGTCTGTCTTCTGTTGCTATAACTAAACACCTGAGACTGGATAGTTTATAAATAAAAGAAATTTATTTATTTTTATGTTTTTGTATATTTTAAAATTAATTTATTTACTTTAGGTGCATACTATATCTGGCATTTCTCCCCATGTTATCCCTCCCCACCCCCAGCTGTCTCTCCCTACCCCCCTCAACTGCCCCCAGTGTGTGATGCTCCTCTCCCTGAGTCCACGTGTTCTCGTTGTTCAACACCCACCTATGAGTGAGAACATACGGTGTTTGGCTTTCTGTTCTTGTGTTAGTTTGCCGAGAATGATGGTTTCCAGATTCATCCAAGTCCCTACAAAGGACACAAACTCGTTTTTTTATGGCTGCGTAGTATTCCATGGTGTATATGTACCACATTTTCTTTGTCCAGTCTATCATTGATGGGCATTTGGGTTGATTCTATGGAAGTCTAGTATTTCTTTTTTTTGAGACAGAGTTTCCAGTCAACACTCAGAAACAGGTTGTTCAGTTTCCCAGTGGTTGTGTGGGTTTGTATGTGTTTCTTGATCCTGAGTCCTAGTCTGACTGTGCTGTGGTCTGATAGCCTGTTTGTTATGATTTCTGTTCTTTTGCATTTGCTGAGGAGTGATTTGCTTCCAATGATGTGGTCAATTTTTAGAGTATGTGCAATGTGGTACTGAGAAAAATGTATATTCTGTGGATTTGGGGTGGAGCATTCTGTATATGTGTATTAGGTCCTCTTGGTCCAGCTCTTCATTCAAGTCCTGGATATCCTTGTTAATTTTCTGTCTCATTGATCTAATATTGACAGTGGAGTGTTGAAGTCTCCCACTATTATTGTGTGGGAGTCTAAATCTCATTTTAGGTCATTAAGAACTTGCTTTATGTATCTGGGTGCTCCTGTGTTGGGGGCGTATGTATTTAGGATACTTAGCTCCTCCTGTTGGATTGATCCTTTTACCATTATGTAGTGTGTCCTTCTTTGTCTCTTTTGATCTTTGTTGGTTTGAAGTCCATTTTATCAGAGACTAGGATTGCAACCCCTGCTTTTTTTTGGTTCTCCATTTGCTTGGTACATCTTCTTCCATCCCTTTATTTTGAGTCTATGTGTGTCTTTGTATGTGAGATGGGTTTCCTGAATACAGCACACTGATGGGTTCTGATTTTTATCCAGTTTGCCAGTCTGTGTCTTTTGATTGTGGTGTTTAGGCCATTTACATTCAATGTTAATATTGTTATGTGTGGATTCGATTCTGCCATTTTGTTACTGACTGATTTTCTTTCCCATTAGTTGCCTCATTTTTTTCATTGCATTTTTGGTCTTTGCCAACTGGTTTGCTTTTGCAGTGACTGGTACTTGTTCCTTTCCATGCTTAGTGTTTCTTTAAGGAGCTCTTGTAAGGCAGGTCTGGTGGTGACAAAATCTCTCAGTAATTGCTTGTCTGTAAAGGATTTTATTTCTCCTTCACTTTCAAAGCTTAGTTTGGCTGGATATGAGATTCTGGGTTGAAAGTTCTTTTATTTGAGGATGTTGAATATTGCCCCCCACGCTCTTCTGGCTTGTAGGGTTTCTGCAGAGAGATCTGCTGTGAGTCTGATTGGCTTCCCTCTGTGGGTAACCTAGCCTTTCTCTCTGGCTGCCCTTAGTATTTTTTCCTTCATTTCAACCCTGGTGAATCTGACAATTATGTGCCTTGGGGTTGCTCTTCTTGAGGAATATCTCTGGGGATTTCTCTGTATTTCTTGAATTTGAAATTTGGACTGCCTTGCTAGGCTTGGGAAGTTCTCCTGAATAATATCCTGGAATATGTTTTCCAGCTTGGATTCATTCTCCCTATCATATTCAGATACACCGATCAAGCGTAGATTAGGTCTTTTCATATAATCCCGTATTTCTTGGAGGCTCTGTTTATTTCTTTTCACTCTTTTTTCTCTTTTCTTGCCTTCTCTTTTTATTTCATTGAGTTGATCTTCAATCTCTGATATCCTTTCTTCTCCTTGATCGATCTGGCTATTAAAACTTGTGTTTCAAGAACAGAAAATGAAATACCACATATTCTCACTCATAGGCAGGTGATGAACAATGAGAACACATGGACACAGGGAAGGGAGCATTACACAGTGGGGTCTATTAGAGGGAATAGGGGAGGGACAGCAGGGGGGGAGCTGGGGAGGGATAGCATGGGGAGAAATGCCAAATGTGGGTGAAGGGGAGGAAGGCAGTTGCCACGTGTGTACCTATGCAACTATCTTGTATCTTGCAGAACTGCACATGTACCCCAAAACCTAAAATGCAATAAAAAAAGAAAAAATAATTAATATTAAAAAAAAAACCTTGTGTTTGCTTCATATAGTTCTTATGCTGTGTTTTTCAACTCCATCAAGTCGTTTATGTTCTTCTTTATCCTGGTTATTCCACTTAGCATTTTGTCTAACTTTTTTTCAAGGTTTTTGGTTACTTTGCATTGAGTTAGAACATGTTCCTTTAGCTCAGAAATGTTTGTTATTAGCCACCTTCTGAAGCCTGCATCTGTCAATTCGTCACACTCCTTGGTCAAGTTGTGATCCTGTGTTGTTGAGAAGTTGTGATGCCTTGAAGGAGAAGAGGTGTTCTGGTCTTTGATGGTTTCATCTTTTTTGCGCTGTTTTTTTCCCATCTTTGTGGATTTACCTGGCTGTGGTGTCAGGGAGCTGCTTGATGAGGTTGCTTGTCTGCCCAGGAAGGCCAGGTTTCTGTAGTTCTCTAACATCACATTCCTATATAAATTCTGCTGTGCAGTGTCCAGGCATTGCCACTCCTCCAGAGAGAATTCTATGGCCACATCCCTAAATGTCAACTGTTCCAGTAATGTCAATATTTTGGACCCAAATGAATATTTTGTCAAACACCCAGTAAGTGGAATAGCCTGTTTTTTTTTTTCCAGTTTCTCTGGCCATTTCTAGGCTTCCAGAGGATCCTGGCCTCTTAGCTGTGGATCTCCAATACCTGCAGGTCACAGGGCCACACAAGGTAGGCGTCTAGGAGAACAGGACACAGAGAAGTGAAGATGAGACCCAGACCTGTGGCTTCAGGGAAAGACAAAGGCCCCGCCATCAAGAAATTTATTTTTTAATAGTATAGGAGGCTGGGAAGTCCAAGGTCAAAGGACTACATCTGGTGAGGGCTTTCGGGAGGGACTCTGAAGAGTCCCGAGGCAACACAGGGTATCACATTGCCAGGAGGCTTACAAAAGAGAACCAAAATAGTTTTTATAACAGACCCACTCTCATGATCACTAACCCACTCCTGTGATAACTCATTAATCCATTAGCTCATAATTCATAGTTCATGAATGGACTAATCCATTCATGAGGGCAGAGCCCTTATGACTCAGTCACTTCTTAAAGGTCCTACTTCTTGATACTGTTACATTGGGTATTAAGTTTTAACATGTGTTTTGGAGAGGACAGATATTCAAACCATAGCATGCCATTAATCCCTGTCCCCACTAACATGGAAATTCACATGTTACCATATTAAAGGTTCCAAGAAGTCCTCTAGTAAGGATACTTATTTTATGCTGTTTAACCCAGCACTTCCCAAACTTATATGACCATTAGCATTTTTTAAAGTAATACCTGTTATTTCCCTATGGAAGATAGTTAGGGAAACACTACCATAATTAAATAAAATAATGATAGTGACTTAACATTTATTGAGCACATACTATGTACCAGGCATTATTCTAAGTACTTCATTAAATTAACATATTTAATCCTTACACCTATGCTATGAAGTAGATGCAGTTATTATTCTCATTTTGCAGATGTGGAAACAGAAGTATATCAAGTTAAAATAGGCCACTGAGAATGATGACAAAAGTAGGAATGGGGAAGGTAGAGAGGCCATGAAGCTAAGGTCTTCATGCTTGAGAGAGGGTGATAAAACTAGGGAAGGGGTGAGGATAGTTTTAAGAAAATGGCAAATAGTGGTTTTGAAGGAGAGGAGGTGGGGAAATAGAAATGATATGTAAATGGCAGTGGGGAGCAAGGAGGTATCTCATCTCAGAATTCTTGAATGGAGGTTTGGCTGAAAGAAACCAGCCTCTGCTAGAAAGAGCTTTAGGAAATGTGAGATGTACTGGGGATATCTAGGATTCATTCACTGAAGGCAGAGAAGTGGAGAGAGGATCATAGATTGTATTGGAACTGTTGAATTTCAGGCGTTTATGGTAAATCCAAGGGGAAGGCTTTAGTAGAAATTTGTATGAGCCTAATCATCATTGTATTCTTGGTAGATAGGTAAGGATGAGTGTGGTGAGACTGACCAGGGAAAGCATGTGAGAGTGAGAAAAGGAATAAAATCAGAGTCCTGGGAAATACTGATTTTAAAGGAACACGCAGAGAAGGAGGAACTCAAAGAAGCATAAGTAGAAGTAGACAAAGAGGTAGACCAAAAGAAAGAAACAATTTTATGGATTTTAAAGGAGGAGAGATTTTTGTGAAGAGGGGGATCAGAGATAATTATTTAATCATTTTACAGTATTATCTAAATGTGTATGTATGTGTGTCATTATATTCTCTCTCTCCATGGGGATTCTTTTTTTTTTTTGAGATGGAATCTTGTCAGTTGTCTAGGCTGGATTGCAGTGGCATGATCTTAGCTCACTGCAAACTCCACCTCCCAGGTTCACAAGTGACTTTCTTGCCTCAGCCTCTCAGAGTAGCTGGGACCACAGGAGTGCGCCACCATGCCTGTTTTTTTTTTTTTTGTTGTTGTTGTTGTTTGTTTTTTTTTTAATTTTTTAGTAGATATGTGGTTTTACCATGATGGCCAGACGGGTCTTGAACTCCTGACCTCAAGTGATCCACCTGCCTCTGCTTCCCAAAGTGCTGGGATTACAGGTGTGAGCCTCTGTGCCTGGCCTCCCAAAAGGGATTCTAAAACACTGTGAGGGAAGGGTCTATCTTACATGTCTCCATATTCTCTCTGGCAATTAACATAATATTGCATGAACATTCTAGACTAGGAAGGCAGATGTGTCACACTCATGCTATAATTTCTGTATGCTGTGTCCATAGTGAATATTGCTGATTGGTCTTAGAGTCTGGGATTTAGCCTCAGAAGGCTTATTAAAACTGAGCACCAGGCAGCTACTACCAATTCGTTAAAGTAAGCATCTGAGATAAAGCCAGTTTGACTTTCTTGTGGTCTGTAGATACTTGTAACCTTTTTGGCCTTCATTTTTCCAAATAGTAATACTATTATTATAGCCTTTTTTTTTTTTTGAGACAGTCTCATACTATTGCCTAGGCTGGAGTGCAGTGGCATGATCACGGTTCACTGCAGCCTTGACTTCCAAGCTCAAGTGATCCTCCCACCTCAGCCTCCCAGTAGCGGGGACTACAGGCGTGCACTCCAACACTTGGCTGATATTTTTATTTTTTATAGAGATTGGTTCTCACTGTGTTGCCTAGGGTGGTCTCAAACTCCTGGACTCGAGCATTCCTTCCGCCTTGGCCTCCCAAAGTGCTGGGATTACAGGCGTGAGCCACCACACATGACCCCTTTTGGCCTATTTTTGCATATCTTTTTTATTGCCTTGATCAATTACTGAAAGGTACTGTCAAATAACTAATGTCAAAACATGTAATGCTGTCCACTGTTAATGAAGTACCTAGCAGGGCTCCTGACCATCATTTTCTCCTCTCACCTGTCTACTTCCCCACCCTGTCTTCTCACAGACAAGACATTACTTCTGTCTTCTGGGTTAGAATCCTTGCTGGTAGCCAGAGGTTGTGATCTTGGTTGTGAACTTATCCAATAAAAAGATAAACTCTTTCTTACCAATATAGTGCCATCTTTATTTTATATTTTATTGAGATACAATATAGTCCCATTAGAATGAACAATTCTTACCAGAATCACCTGGGGGAGGGAGAAAAAAAGAACAGATCCTAAATGTTCAGTTCAGTGGCTTTTGAAAATTTTATCTAACTGCTACTCAAAACAGATACAGAACGTTCCCATTATTCCAGAAAGTCTCCTCCTGATTCTCAACCTTTTTGAATTATAATTTTGTGCCATTTGTAGTATTTTCCAACTATTGTATTAGCATTGTGTTACTGTCGCTCGCATCTTTTAGCTTCTGTATCTATTTTTTCCTTGCAGGAGACTGAAGAGCCAATTGTAGAGTGTCAGGAGTGTGAAACTGAAGTTTCCCCTTCACAGACTGGGGGCTCCTCAGGTGACCTGGGGGATATCAGCTCCTTCTCCTCCAAGGCATCCAGCTTACACCGCACGTCAAGTGGGACAAGTCTCTCAGCTATGCACAGCAGTGGCAGCTCAGGGAGAGGAGCCGGACCACTCAAAGGGAAAACCAGCGGGACAGAACCCGCAGATTTTGCCTTACCCAGCTCCCGAGGAGGCCCAGGAAAACTGAGGTGCAGACAGGGTCTCCAGAGAGAGCCACAGCAGGGGCAGGGTTGCTGACATTTTAATATCACAGGAAAAGGGGAGTAATGGGATATCCCCCATCCTCCATTCAAGATAAATCAAGTCCCCCACCTCACTATTTGTCCCCTTCCTGTCTTGGGTTTGCATGGAAGTAGGAGCCCTGTGGGAGGTAGATTTCATTGGCTAAGAAGCCCCTGAGAAAAGGTAGATAACAGGGGAGGGGACTTCGGGAATGCTGGGCACGTTTCCACCACAGCCTTTACAAGATTTACTTGGGAGTACAGGAGGTTTGGGATAGTAGCCCCAACTTAATGCGTTCCCTAGCTTTTTGTTAGTCTTTGCAGTTGTCCAGAGCCTAAAGTAGAGGAGAAGGCGTAGCAGAAATGGGCGTGCTGTTATTGCAGCAGTAGGAAACTTTGTCAGAGGGAATAGACTTACATGGAGGTGAATGTTCTTTACCTGTTATCCCACACTCCCCACTCCCTGGCTGAGATTTTGGTGGTGGGTGTGTGAACCAGCTTCCTGCTGCCCCAAAGGCTTAGCACATGTAGGCCTGTCATGTAGTCTAAGGGCCAAGGGGAGACTTTGTGAAGAAAAGATTCAGTAGCAGGTGCTGTCAGACTAACTTGTCTTCATTCTCTAGTCCTAGAAAAGGGGTCAGTCAGACAGGGACGCCAGTATGTGAGGAGGATGGTGATGCAGGCCTTGGCATCAGACAGGGAGGGAAGGCTCCAGTCACGCCTCGTGGGCGCGGGCGAAGGGGCCGCCCACCTTCTCGGACCACTGGATCCAGGTACCTGGGTAGTGTGAGAATTACTTATTCTATTACTTGTTCAGAAAAAAAGGGAATAGAGAGAAGAGAGGGGAGTAGAGAGTTTGTGGGGTGTCAGGAGGGAGAAGGGCTTATACTGACTGGGGAGTCGCCAGGGATCAGAATGAGGCCACAGAGAGACCAGGCTCACGCCTGTGATGGGGTTTTCAAAGAATGGGCTGAAGAGACTGATGGACAAAGGAGTGGGAAAATTCGTAGATGTGTACTTCTGTGTTCTTGTTCTCACTGGCTTCTCCTATCCCTTATCTCTCTTTAGAGAAACAGCTGTGCCTGGCCCCATGGGCATAGAGGACATTTCACCTAACTTGTCACCAGATGATAAATCCTTCAGCCGTGTCACATCCCGAGTGCCAGACTCCACCAGACGAACAGACATGGGTGCTGGTGCTTTGCGTCGTAGCGAGTCTCCAGAAATTCCCTTCCAGGCTGCTGCTGGCCCTTCTGATGGCTTAGATGCCTCTTCTCCAGGGAACAGCTTTGTAGGGCTCCGTGTTGTAGCCAAGTGGTCCTCCAATGGCTATTTTTACTCTGGGAAAATCACACGAGATGTCGGAGCTGGGAAGTATAAATTGCTCTTTGATGATGGGTACGAGTGTGATGTGTTGGGCAAGGACATTCTCTTATGTGACCCCATCCCGGTGGACACTGAAGTCACAGCCCTCTCAGAGGATGAGTATTTCAGTGCAGGTAATGAGAGAAGCAGAGTTTGTAGAGATTGTTTTGTGCCTTGGGGCAATACTCTGTTATGTTAGTAATTATCAAGACATTACTTCATACTTTTCTGGGGTCCCCAAAGTCAGAAATTTTATTCATACAAGACTGGTCACTCTTGCCACTGGCTTTTTGATTTGTTCATTTGTTTTTGGTAAACTTATTTTGGAATCTTTTAGATGATTTATAGAAAGTTTACAAAGTACACAGTACTGCTAGTACAGAGAGTTCCTGTATACCCCTCATCCAGTTTTCCCTATTGTTGACATCTGATGTTAGCATGGAACATTTGTCAAAACTAAAAAATCAACCTTGGTTCATTACTGTTAACACAACTTTAGACTTTATTTGGATTTTACTAGCTTTTCCTTAATGTCCTTTTTCTCTTCCAGCATCCAGCACTGCATTTAGTCATCACATATTCTTTGGTCTTCTCTGATTTGTGGCAGTTTCTCAGTATTTTATTTTTCATGACCTTGACAATTTTGGGGCGTCCTGGGCAGGTATTTTATAGAATTGCCCCTCAATTCGGATTTGTCTAATGTTTTCTCATTAGATTGGAGTTACGGGATATTTTAAAAAAAAGAATGCCACAGAGATGGCGGCTTGGTGTGATAGCTCACGCGTGTACTTCCAGCACTTGAGGCCAGGAGTTGGAGACCAGCCTGAAAGATAGTGAGACCTTGTCCCTCCAGAAAAAAAGGAAGGAACATAAATTAGCTGGGCATGGAGGTAAATGCCTGTAGTCCTAGCTACTCAGAAGGATGAGGCAGGTGGATTGCTTAAGCTCAGGAGTTCAAGGCTACAGTGATCATGCCACTGTACTCCAGCCTGGACAACAGACTGAGAACCCGTCTCTTAAAAAGATATGCCACGGAGTGAAATGCCCTTCTTTTGTTATTATATAAGGACCTGGGAAGGTTTATGATGATGATGATATATCGACATGACATCACTGATGCTGTTAACCTTCACCACTGGTTAAGGTTGTATTTGCCAGATTTCTCCACTCTTTTTTTGCAACAGTGTCACTCACTCTGTTGCCCAGGCTAGAGTGCAGTGGTGCAATCTTGGCTCACTGCAACTTCCACCTTTCCAGTACATGTGATTCTCCTGCCTCAGCCTCCCAAGTAGCTGGGATTACAGGTGTGCCCCACCATACCTGGCTAATTTTGGTATTTTTAGTAGAGATAGGGCTTTGCCATATTGGCAAGGCTGGTCTTGAACTTCTGATCTCAGGGGATCTGCCCGCCTTGGCCTCCCAAAGTGCTGGGATTGCAGGTGTGAGCCACCATACCCGGTGTTCACCACTTTAAAGTTAGTGTTTTTCCATACTCTCTTCTTTTTTAAAACTTAACTACCTGCTTTGATTGGAACCCAGTAGGTGAGGATGGCAGATATATTGAGATACTTTTGTTTAGGGGGAAGTTTTCAGTGCTGTGTCTATATGCCTGCATATCTGCCACTTATTCTCTGGTTTGAAGAACGGTGCCTTTTCATTTTTGAAGTAGGTAGTATTGGTGATGGTGAGAGGTTTGTTGTTTATTGCTTCATGTGCTGGTTCTTTGAATATGTTGTCTCCTTTCTGTGAAATAATTTGAAGATACCTATTTGTGTTGAGTCTGTCATTTAAAAACATCCTTCTGAGGACTTTTTGAACATGGATTAGGATATAAGGGGAAATCTTTTGTGTTGTTGTTGTTCCAAGACACAGTTTTACTTTGCCTGCCAGCCTAGAGTGCAGTGGCACGATCTCAGCTCACTGCAACCTCTGCCAACCAGGTTCAAGTGATTCTTCTTTTTTTTTTTGAGATGGAGTTTCACTCTTGTTACCCAGGCTGGAGTGCAATGGTGCGATCTCGGCTCACTGCAACCTCCGCCTCCTAGATTCAGGCAATTCTCCTGCCTCAGCCTCCCGAGTAGCCGGGATTACAGGCACGTGCCACCACGCCCAGCTAATTTTTTTTTTTGTATTTTTAGTAGAGATGGGGTTTCGCCATGTTGACCGGGATGGTCTCAATCTCTTGACCTTGTGATCCACCCACCTCGGCCTCCCAAAGTGCTGGGATTACAGGCTTGAGCCACCGCGCCTGGCCCGGTTCAAGTGATTCTTCTGCCTCAACCTCCCAAGTAGCTGGGACTATAGATACGAGCCACCATGCCTAGCTAATTTTTTTGTATTTTTAGTAGAGATGGGGTTTTGCCATATTGGCCAGGCTGGTCTCCAACTCCCAACCTCAACTTATCTGCCTGCCTTGGCCTCCCAGAGTGCTGAGATTACAGATGTGAGCCACTGTGCCTGGCAAAAAATGGCTTGCTTTTTCTTTTTTAAAAGACAGAGCCTTGCTCGGTTGTGCAGGTTGGATGGAGTGCAATGGCACAATCTGGGCTCACTGCAACTTCTGCCTCTGGAGTTCAAGTGTTTCTCCTGCCTTAGCCTCCCAAGTAGCTGGGATTACAGGTGCCCACCAGTATGCCTGGCTAATTTTTGTATTTTTAGTAGAGACAGGATTTCCCCATGTTGGTCAGGCTGGTCTTGAACTCCTGACCTCAAGCAATCCACCTGCCTCAGCCTCCTAAAGTGCTGGGATTACAGGCATGAGCCACCATGCCTGGCTGAAAAATGGCTTTCTATTGGAGTCCCTCCAGGCTTTCTTGTATTTGGAATCCTCTGAGTAGTTGCTGTTTGCTCCTTTGTTGATTACTAAATGGGCCACTTTACCTTCTAGTTCTGGATAACACTGTTAGCTGTATGTGGAATCAGTTAGGAGTAGCACATGGATTTGGGTATTTTACTGTGACTCATAGTTTGAATGTATCAGATACATTCATTCATTCTTCCAGGTGTAAAGCTACTCTTAGGGGTTCATATTTGCCCTTTTAAAGACAGAGTTCTGTAACAGGAGTGAACTGTGGCAACAAGGTTTGGGGATTCTGTGTCCCATTTCTTGAGGCTGTTTGCTAATGTCAACACTAGACTGCTTCTAGTTCTAGTAGTTCTTCAGTAGTATGAAGTATTTTGTTGGCCTTGGGCTTCTTTGTGATTTTGAGGGAGTCTTTGTGATTTAGTTTGGTGATAGACATTTAAGCTAGGAGATGAAAAAATAAGGGAAAAGGGAGTGATTCCACAGGCTGGACAGAGAACCAAGGCTTGCTTTCTCTGTATTCTTTTCCTTGGGTGGGATAGGCTCTGGGTTTCTTTTAGCTCTTCATTCAAGCACAGGCTAATGGGTGAGAATAAATTGGACACTTCTGTTTATAGGAATGAAAAAATATTCATAGTAATGCCTTGTTTTTGTATAGTATATGTGTGTGGGGATGGGAGTATGTGTGTGTATCTATAGCTATAATATGTGTGTGTGTTTTAAATTGTTTATTCATTGATAGAGAGGAAGAAGTGTTCTTTTTCACAGGATTAGTAATAGGTCCTGACCAAGATCACACAGCTTGGTGGCAGCAGAATTAGGGCTATGCTCAGGTCTCCTGAATTCTAGCTTAGTTTCCTTTTATATCCCACATTTTGTTCCTTCTAACATAAAGGGCTTATTGTCAGGTTCTGAATCAGAGCAAGAGCATGAAAGTAGATAATAGGAAGATTAGGTAGGAGAGGCAGGATCTGTTTTTTTTTTTTTTTTTCTTTTCTTTGCTGTCTCTAATTTTGCTACATACACAGACAAAAAAACACACACATACCGTCTCTCTTAGAATGATGCCATTTTTCACCTACAGCTTAAGACTTACAACTCAGCCTCCCAGGGAACCAAGAAGGAAAGGTTTAGAAGTTATAATGGAATTAGGAAACCATATGCCATTTTTACTTCATGGAAATCATTTGAACCACCAGCAATCCATAATGGCTGTCTTTGGGAAGCTTTATTTCATAACTAAAGGCTACCTTCTGTCAAGAAACTTGCCTTGTCCTAATCCCAGTGTAGTAGCTACATATATCCTAAGTGTTGCTATTGTTTGGGATTGACAGCTGAAATTTCTTTAAGTCCTAACTTCAGTCCACTGTTGGATCTCTAAATTCCCTAATTCAGGCCTGCTTTGCAGAACCCTTGTGAGAGGGTGCTAAGTAGCCTAAGACCACAGCAAGCTGCTTTTATGTTTTCTGCCCTCCCCCCTCCAGGAGTGGTGAAAGGACATAGGAAAGAATCTGGGGAATTGTACTACAGCATTGAAAAAGAAGGCCAAAGAAAGTGGTATAAGCGAATGGCTGTCATCCTGTCCTTGGAGCAAGGAAACAGACTGAGAGAGCAGTATGGGCTTGGCCCCTATGAGGCAGTAACACCTCTCACAAAGGCAGCAGATATCAGCTTAGGTAAGACCTTTGTTTCCTGAACAGCTGCTTTTGGGCTTCTATTCTGCTTACAGAGAGAGGAGAGTTTCTGGACTGGTCAGTAATGTTTCCCTAACTTATATTATTCTTATGTGTGGCTTATCAGATGGTGATGAGCTGTCATTTTCTAGAGCTACTGCTTTATCTGTTTCTTAGTACCACACAGAAAGTCTTTGGGGTTTTGCTGGCCTCCTCAGTTCTTAGGGGACTAAACACATTAATTCATGGCAAAGACTGAAAAATATTATGGCCTTAAAAAGAAGCTTCTTGGCCTCATGGGAAGTGGGGGAAAAGAACACTGTGGTGTCTGAATCAGGGTCTGCCCAGCTTCTTGGAGTTCTAGGTCTCATACCATAGAATTTGACTAACCTTTGGCTTATCCTGCCATAGACAATTTGGTGGAAGGGAAGCGGAAACGGCGCAGTAACATCGGCTCCCCAGCCACCCCTACTGCCTCCAGTAGCAGCAGCACAACCCCTACCCGAAAGATCACAGAAAGTCCCCGTGCCTCCATGGGAGTTCTCTCAGGCAAAAGAAAACTTACCACTTGTGAAGAGGAACGGTCCCCTGCCAAGAGAGGTCGCAAGTCTGCCACTGTAAAACCTGGTAAGTGCTCCTTTTTGCCTTATTCTCCATCAGACCATGGCAGAATACAGGGTCAGCTGCTGGAAAGATGGAGCTTAATATTTGACAATGGCCCTTCTGTCCTGTTACAAAGTTAGGGTCCTGCCCAAGCCCACAGGTGATACTCAGGGACAGCTCACTGCATACCTCCTCCCCATCCTCTGCAGACTCCAGTGCAGGTAGATAGAAGACTAGAATTAGCTGAGCATGGTGGTAGGCGCCTGTAATCCCAGCTTCTGGGGAGGCTGAGGGGGGAGAATCGCTTGAACCCCGTAGGCAGAGGTTGCGATGAGCTGAGATTGCACCATTATACTCCAGCCTGGGCAACAAGAGTGAAACTCTGTCTCAAAAAAAAAGCAAGGCCAGGACTTGATTACAACCATTCTTTAACTACTTTGTGGGTTCTAGGAAGGAAAGCAGAAGTATTGAAATTAAAGCAGATTCAAAATAGGTATAATATCTCTTTGCCTGCACCATCTTCTTCCTGGAAATTCTGCTACCCTCTCTCTTATGCTTGAGCCCTCTAGCTTTCTCAGACTATTGAAAGGTAGCGGCTGGGCATGGGGGCTCACACCTGTAGTCCCAGCACTTTGGGAGGCCAAGGTTGGGGGATCACTTGAGGTCAGGAGTTCAAGACAAGACTGACCAATATGGCAAAACCCCATCTCTACTAAAAATACAAAAAAATCAGCTGGGCATGGTGGGGCATGCCTGTAGTCCCAGCTGCTTGGGAGGTTGAGGCAGGAGAATCACTTGAACCTGGGAGGCAGAGGTTGCAGTCAGCTGAGATTATGCCACGGCACTCCATTCCATTCTGGGTGGCAGAGTGAGACTGTCAAAAAAAGAGAAAAAAGTCCTATCTCAGTGTGCTCTCCCCTCTCCCCATTATCCCTGAAACAACCCCTTTTCAGTCCCTAGTGTTCAATAATTAAGAAAGGAGTTAATTCCATCTGTTGTTCATTGAGTCCCTACTGTGACTCACGTCCAGCTGCTATGAGGTTCAGGATATTACAAAGGTAAAATCAGTCTGTTCCCTTTTGGAACTTCCTCAGGCTAGCAAACTGATGAAAATCCATTGATTGTTACATTGTCCTGGCACCAGAGCTCCTTTTGTTTCCTATGTATTGAATTGTGTCATCGCCTTATCTACTCAACTGCTCCTGTGTTTCGGGGTATTTAAAAACAACAATAGTTAATCTTTATTGAATATTTACTGTATGAAGAATAGTAATAAGTGCTTCACACATAATTCATATATAATCCCTGTGAAGTATAGGTGCTAGAATGAGTTTTTCCAGTTGAAGAATCTGAGGCACAGAAAAGTTGGCTAACTTTCTCAAGGTGACAAAGTAAGCCAGTATTCAAACTTTGGTGGTCTTCCCTTCTGTTTCTAGTCTTGTTCATATATAACATACTGCCTCTGAGACTGTTTTCTTGCTACTGGTTTTATTTTAGGGAGGCATGCATGACCTGTCTGTCATCTTAGCCTCCTAATGAACCTACGATTCAGCTTCTCCAGGTCAGGTATCTGTTTTTTTTTTCTCAAAGACTTATCGGGGCACTCTTGGCATGGGTGTTCTGGCTGGCTGGGTCACTTACCTACCCAGGTGTTGAAAACTAAGTCAGTTGAGGCAGGCTATTTAGATGTGGCACAATCTATGTATAAAAACACTTTGTTACCAAGTATTCTCTGCACCATTCTGGTAAAGGTCAGCAATGGGGTGGGAGCATCTATCTACAAGGGGCATTTCTTGGTAATAAAAAAGTGTTTTTCTTTTTTTTTTTTTTCCAAAGGCTGCCTCAAAATATATCATATCCTGGGGAAATCAGAGCATGGGGCAGAGAAAGTTGGCTGAAGATTTCCAAACATTTTTCTCTCTCACCTCCTCTTTCTATTAGAACCACTTCTTTCTTCAGATGTCCTCAGAAGTATTTGGTGTGGCTGTATGATAAAACGTTGTTAATTTTCATTTATGAAAACACTGCATATACATTATTACAACTGTGTAAAATTTAAGTATGTAAATTTCTCTGTTGTAAATTTCATCCTAGGTTGTCGGCCATTTAGAATGGTTGGCCATTGGAATGGTCTTTGGTTTCTGGCTCAGATAAGTTCATCAGTACATTGCCTACCCATCAGGTCATACTTGGTGCTGGGTCTTTTGGTGCTAAGTCTTTTTCTCAGGCAGTGGTGTGTATCCTTTTAGTAACTGTGCCCCTGTCCTTCCCAGGTGCAGTGGGGGCAGGAGAGTTTGTGAGCCCCTGTGAGAGTGGAGACAACACCGGTGAACCCTCTGCCCTGGAAGAGCAGAGAGGGCCTTTGCCTCTTAACAAGACCTTGTTTCTGGGCTATGCATTTCTCCTTACCATGGCCACAACCAGTGACAAGTTGGCCAGCCGCTCCAAACTGCCAGATGGTCCTACAGGAAGCAGTGAGGAAGAGGAGGGTAAGGCCTTGGGAAGCCCTGGGAGCTGTGACACATGCACACTTCTTTCTTTTCCAGTCACTTAAGAGTTGGTGGTCCTCTTGCCATATGTAGAAGGCAAGGCAAGTAGCATCTTAGTCATAGAAATGACTCTATATGCTGCTTTTTAACAGATTATAGACTGTTTTCACAAAATTCCTCTCAGTGAGTGGTTCCTGAAAACAATCCTGTGAGGCAGATGAGAGATGGATCTTACCTATATTATGGATGAGGAAATAAATTTGGACAAGTTAAATAATTGGTTTCTTTTGTCCACAATAATGACAAACTTGGGACTAGAGCTGTCATTTTAGCCTGTTACAGCCAACCAAGTCAGTCAGGTCTGAATGCCCTGCAGTCTTCCCCATTTGTGTTCTGTGGCCATTTGCTAGAGCAAACCCATGTGGAGGGTAAAGTTCATTCTCCTGAAGTCTGAGTGGAAGACTGGCACTATGGGGTGCCTGGTTCCTCAGGGTGATTGCAAAGAAACAGCTCTCTTTAACCTTAAATTAACTCTGTACATTGCATTTATTTCTGTGTTGTCTTTTCCTTAGTTTTTGAGTGTAAGCTGCAGTGGGGAGAGGTCTGAAAAATGTGTGATATAGGAGAGGGGATGAGGAGATACAAATGTATACTCTATAAATAAGTGACTGACAGCAGTATCTAAATGTCTGTCAAAGCTAAAGGTCCAGATGGAATGATATTATACAAGTTAGAGGTCTGACTAATGTCTTGCAAGAGGGAATTGAAGTAGGCAACATGGTTGCCATAAAATAGCACCACTGGAGATCTGAGGGTTGGCATTTCAGGTGTGTGGATGACTCTTGCCTAATTAACCAAAACTGTATCTCACTGACTGCAGCCACAAGTAGATATGTACAAGGACATGGAAACAATGATCAGGGCCTTACAATTCAGGTGTATGCTACTGGGAAGGTGCAGAGAGTTGTGAGTAGACAGGCTCTGCTGTGGGAGAGTTGGGCTGTGGGAATGAGTAGATGTGGTGTGGTACGATTTCCAGGGTTAAGCATGTGCAACGCCTAGCTTGTCAAACAATCAGATAGGCACAGTGGTTATTTGAGGAATTTCCTGGACAGAAATAATTGGGAGTCTTTTGAGGATTCTGCATAGAGAGGTGTGTCATGGCATTAAAACAGTGGTCATGGGTTGTTTTCCCCCCCCCTGTTTTATAATATTGCTGGACTCTAAACCAGGACTTCACAAGGCAGCTCTATACATGTTTTGTTTGTTGCTTGGTTTAGCATAGTCAAGAAAGCTGACTGGTATTGAGATGCATGCTGTCCAGTTTCATTAAAATCCATGTGCCTGTGTGAAACATAACATAAACTCTACTTGTAAAAATAAAATGAGGCATCTGGACAGTGTTTTTGAAGAAATCTCCAGGTTTCTGGTATAAATTATGGTTATGGTGAATGTGTCTTTATGTTGGTATCTTCTTCCTTGGACACTGCCCAACAGTACCAGAATCCTTGATATTTTCAGTGTATAAGAATGCTTAGGGGTTTCTCAATCTCAAGAAGGTGGAAGATACTTAATACTAAAACAATTCTCTGTAGAATTACAGTTTTAAAGAAACTATTTGATGGATGTTACAGATAAGTGGGACTCCTTAGACACCATCTTTGTAACAGGAGCTCAGTAAAATATTTAAATCCATCTGATGAGATATATTTATTAATGAGTTTGGTACCTAACCTTGTTGGGTGGCACCACCATCGGAGATGCTTTAGACACAGGGACTGACTCTGGAGTTGGGTTTATTTAGTACCTTCATACTTGATTTAGATGGTGGGATTAACAGTGTATTCATATTAGCATCTGGCTGGGCAGGGCACTCATACCTCAAAAATGAAGAAACTGGACTACTGAAGAAAAATTAGAGAAACACACTGCCTAGACAGGGTAATACTTCACTAGACAAATGCAAGGAAATATAATTAGGGATTAAAATCTAAACAGATCAGTCCTGAATTAAGCAGACATAAAGTAGAAGTCTTGAGAAAATACAGGACTGTGAGGGGTGTCAGCAGTGACTCAGCAATAGAATCTTCGTGCTGAAGATTGTGGCATGCTATATTGAGATAGCAAAAGGATGCCGTGACAAAGCTGAGAAACAGCCCTGCTATACTGAGTTTCTTATAGCCATTAAGAGTTTCTGTCTTGAGATTTCAATTTGGGAAGAATGTGGAGAATGCTGAATCAAGAAAAGAGCAATAAAAGTGAATAGGCTGGCTAGTCAGAACTAAGCAGAGATGTTGAGCCCTGGCATGGGGCCTCAGCACTGCCTGGGCTGCTTCAGCAGGCAAGGAGGGCACTGAAGGGGGGAGCTTTCTCTGCAAGAGATCTGCTCTAGTAGGTTTTATCGCTGGGTGTGAAGGGGAAGGGGAGTGGTGCTAGCATTGAACCTTATGCACTGGATTGGGTTGGATTTTAAAATTTGTGATAAAAATTTCAGTTAATTAGAACTTAATTTCCCAAAACTCCTAATTAACTAAAATCTCTAATGTCTTGCTTTTTTCTTTTTTTTTTTTAATGTGTTATTTATATATGAGAGGAGCAGATGACAAGAAAACAAGCTCAAATTAGATATTTGGTCAAAAGAGGCAATTTCTAATTGCCTAGGGTCATTACAGCTTCAGCCTCATCTCTCATATCTTCTACTTCACCCTCAAGACTATAGAGCAGTCATTGATGTTCAGTGTCCTGAGGTACTTCAAGATCATCAAAGGTAGATAGTTTTCAATAAAAAGGTTGAAACAGGATTTTCTAACCTTCACTTAATCTTAAGTTAAAATTTTAAAACTATACTTTGATTGAGCATTCTGGTTTATCAAAGTTTTAGTGTGCAAGGGGGTAAAAAGGCTGATGAAGTGGGAATATGAAAGCTTTATTATAAAAAGTGTTTATCAACTATACATTTCCGCAGAAGGTAGAACTAGAGGAAATGAGGTTTAATTTGCAACAGGAAAGATTTAGGATAGATACAATGGGAACTTCCTGATGGTAAGGGTTATTCAAGTTGGAATATGTCACTGTGGGAAATGATTATGTGCCCATCCCTATGAACAGTCTGGTATAGGAACCATTGATGTTTTTAGGTCTAGGACCTACCTCTAGTCCTCATCTTCCCATTCCCTCCTACTCTTGTCCCTTCTTTTGGCAGCATTGTAAAGGCCTCAAGACAGAGCTCTTTCTGACCCATGGGGAAGCCCTTGGCTTATCTTTGGGGACACACTGCTGTGGAGATAGCTGGGGAGTAGAAAAGAGGGCAGTAAGAAGCAGGTATAAGGTAGCAAATAAGAAAACAACCACTCAGTAATTATTTTCTTTTTGTTTTAATATAGAATTTTTAGAAATTCCTCCTTTCAACAAGCAGTACACAGAATCCCAGCTTCGAGCAGGAGCTGGCTATATTCTTGAAGATTTCAATGAAGCCCAGGTGAGGAGTTTCTTTGTGTAACCTAACACAGTGGCAATGATAAGAGCCAACTTACTGTATGAGAAGAGGCCTGAAAGTGGTTGGGGGATTTGGATAAAGTAGCCAGAGATTGTAGGAACTGAGACAATGCCAAAATGTTGTTGCATGAAACAGATTTTTCGTTGTGTATAGGGAAGAGAAGTTAGGACCTTGGGTTAGTTACTGGCTGTGGTGGTTCTGTTGCTGGGACAAAAGTAGATTGAAATTTGTTTTTAGTGGTGGAAACCCCTATAGTGTTGCTGATTGTTAGCCTGAAAGGCTGAGTTTATGGATCTTGGTCGTCCCTTGAGGATTTAGGTCCTCAGAATGCTGCAGGTGAGGCAGAGAGAACATCTTTTGAAATCGATTGGGCCTTCCCGTGAGAAAAGTGGCCTTGGGCAGACAGACTAAATCACATTTTGTGTAGTAGCTGGAAGTCTTCAGATCTGCTTTTCATGGCTCATTATGAATGCTACTTAGGAGCTTTCCACATAAGTCACCAAACCCACTGGCTCTGCTGCTTTTCTTCCAGTGTAACACAGCTTACCAGTGTCTTCTAATTGCGGATCAGCACTGTCGAACCCGGAAGTACTTCCTGTGCCTTGCCAGTGGGATTCCTTGTGTGTCTCATGTCTGGGTCCATGATAGTTGCCATGCCAACCAGCTCCAGAACTACCGTAATTATCTGTTGCCAGCTGGGTACAGCCTTGAGGAGCAAAGAATTCTGGACTGGTAGGTATTTGAGAGCCCATCCAGAATTGTATTGACAGGAAGGCAGCAGACTTTGGAGGGAAGAGAATCTAGGTAAGAGTAAAGCTTTCTAGAAACTGGAATATATGTAGGATAAATCTGAGTAGGTTTGAAATGACTTTAGCAGTTTATCTAGTTTATTTTCATAGGTTACATTGGCTAGGAACCTTTTGAAAATGTGTGAAGATTTGTACATAGGCTCAGTATTCTCAAACTGTAAGGTTAGAGAATGAAGTTTTAAGCAGTCATTAAAAATATATAGGCTCAGAGAATGATTTGGATTATTCTCAGCCCCAGAACACACAAGGAAATCAGAAAGCCAGGATCACAAAGAATACAGGTCATTCACAGAGAGAAGGAAGAGAAGGGGGACCCTGATACAGGCCTTAGTTTTTTGAAATGAAGTCTTGCTTTGTCACCAAGGCTGGAGTACAGTGATGTAGTGACAACTTACTGCAGCCTCAACCTCCCAGGCTCAAGTGATCCTCCTACCTTAGCCCCTCAAGCTGCTGGAACTATAGGCAGTCGCCACCATACCCAGCAAATTTGTTATTTTTTTGTAGAATTGGTGTCTTGCCATATTGCCTGGGCTGCTCTCGAACTCCCGGGATTACAGGCATGACACACCATGCCTGATGGGGCACTTAGTTTTGAAAGCATTCAGATGTACGAGTGCATTTGCAGAAAGGCAGTTTGTTGGTATTACTTGTCATGCTAAGCCCCTCTCCAGTGGCTGTCTCTCTGTCTCTTTCATAGGCAACCCCGTGAAAATCCTTTCCAGAATCTGAAGGTACTCTTGGTGTCAGACCAACAGCAGAACTTCCTGGAGCTCTGGTCTGAGATCCTCATGACTGGTGGTGCAGCCTCTGTGAAGCAGCACCATTCAAGTGCCCATAACAAAGGTACATGAAAGAGTGTGTGTGTATGTCTTTGTTTTTGTTCCAGGGATTTCCTTAGACCTGTAGGTGTCAGGCCTTGTGGTCCAAGGCTCAGTCCTAATAGGTTGACTGTATCCATGTTTCTAAGAGAAGAAAAGTACCACCTTCAAGAGGGGAGTCAACGTAAGTGAAGCACTGGGTGTATATTAAAATATTTTTACAAGGTCAGCACATAGTGATTATAACTCTATTTTTGGTCATGATCAGTAGCAGTGTGTTTGACATAATGTTTGGTTTGTGCAGAGTGGGATGTATTGGCTAGAATCACATCTCTCTTTGTAACGGAGAGCTAAATTGAGTGTCTTTTCCTTGTTCACTTTCCCTTGCTTCTGGCAGATATTGCTTTAGGGGTATTTGATGTGGTGGTGACGGACCCTTCGTGCCCAGCCTCAGTGCTGAAATGTGCTGAAGCATTGCAGCTGCCTGTGGTGTCACAAGAGTGGGTGATCCAGTGCCTCATTGTTGGGGAGAGAATTGGATTCAAGCAGCATCCAAAATATAAACACGATTATGTTTCTCACTAAAGATATTTGGTCTTACTGGTTGTATTCCCTGCTATTGTGGAGATTGTGTTTTAACCAGGTTTTAAATGTGTCTTGCGTGTAACTGGATTCCTTGCATGGATCTTGTATATAGTTTTATTTGCTGAACTTTTATGATAAAATAAATGTTGAATCTCTTTGGTTGTAGTAACTGGGATTTCTTCATCTGTTTCTTTGAGCTTAATCTGAGAACAAATGTCAAGACAAACAGTACTGTCTGAGGTTTTCAATAGGCTTATTCACTTTAGGGGGTCAGCTAGCCAAGGAAATTGAAAAGTTAGAGTAAACTCTATTCTGTGGCATCATTGCCAAAATTTGGTTATTCTAGGTAATGTCTAAAATGCTATGCTTATAAAAACTCAGTTTAAAGTAGGTGATGGCCCAGATTAATAAATAGTTGTGCCAAAAATTGAGTGGAATTGGGCACAGCTCTTGTTTCCTAACAGTAAAAAAAAAAGATCTCATTCTCTTTCTCTCTTGAGAGCTGAGATCACTAACAGCTGACCTGTGGGTATTCCCCCCACTCTTAGAGCTAAAGGGAGAATGACAGCACCAACTGCCATGAAAGGACAGTGAACATAAGCTGGATGCTATGACCTTCCATAAGATAAACATGAGAAGCACAACTGAGAACACTTGGAAATGTTAAAAGTGCTAGTCAGAGGCCCAGTATTATTATTGTTGTCACAATGGCTGGAAGCTATTCCTTCCCTTCCTCTAGCATCATCCCTGTTTATGTCTTCTCATTCTCTAAAGCAGGGGTCAATAAGTTTTTTTCTGTAAAGGGCCAAAGAGTAAATATTTTAGGCCTTGTGGACCATTTGATTCATCACAACTACTCACCTTTGCTGTGAGAGCATGAAAGCAACCATAGACAATGAGTAAACAAATGGGCATGGCTGCATTTCAGTAAAAATGTCTTTACAAAAAAAGACAGCAGGCCATAGTTTGCCAACCCCTGTTCTAGAGTCAGCAGTTGAAAGGGGGATCTTTTTTTTTTTTTTTTTAGGTGGAATTTCGCTCTTGTTACCCAGGCTGGAGTGCAATGGCACGATCTCGGCTCACCACAACCTCCGCCTCCCGGGTTCAAGCAATTCTCCTGCCTCAGCCTCCTGCGTAGCTGGGATTACAGGCATGCGCCACCATGCCCAGCTAATTTTTTGTATTTTTAGTAGAGACGGGGTTTCACCATGTTGACCAGGGTGGTCTTGATCTCTTGACCTCGTGATCCACCCGCCTCAGCCTCCGGAAGTGCTGGGATTACAGGCTTGAGCCACCGCGCCCGGCCGAAAGGGGGATCTTTAGTTGATGATAGCAGGAAGTAAGGTTGTCAGAGCTTCCCACTGTGTGTAGAAGATGTAGCGATGAAAACCAGATTCAGTGACTATAAACTGATGCCAGAACACTGCATTCTTTTTGGAGGGAGTTGTTAAACGAATATTTATTTACCCACACAGATATGAATACTGATTACCAGTGATGGCTGGGCCATATTAAGATAACTTCAACTTGTATGGTTTGTGTAAGATGGGTAACTGGGCCTGCAGTCTTCAATATTTAAAAACCTAACAACTTGATCTCAATTTTTTCTTAAGAACCTTTTTCTTGGAGAATAAAAAATACATTTTTTTTGCCAGGGGGGAGGGGGAATGGAGTTTCGCTCTTGTTGCCCATTGGAGGGCAATGGAGTGATCTTGGCTCACTGCAACCTCTGCCTCCCGGGTTCAAGTGAGTCTCCTGTCTCAACCTGCTGAGTAGCTGGGATTACAGGTACATGCCACAACACCCGGCTAATTTTTGTATTTTTAGTAGAGACAGGGTTTCATCATATTGGTCAGGCTGGTCTTGAACTCCTGATCTCAGGTGATCCGCCTGCCTCAGCCTCCCAAAGTGCTGGGATTACAGTGTGAACCACCACACCTGACCTAAGAAATACTTTAAATATATTTTCATTAGCTAGAATTGTCCAGTCTGTGTAGGTATAAATTACCTGGTATAGGGAGAGAGAAAGCCTATCTTACCTGTTCCTTTCTTATTTGGTGGTAACTAACATCCAGCCGTTAACCTGTTTATAAAGTTACTTGTTCACATATGAACCATAAAATACTTAACTTTCTGCTCTATATTGTTTACTGCTGTATCTCCCACAGCTTGAAAAGTACACCAAGGCACATAGTAGGTGCTCAATAAATCACTATTAAATAAAAGAACATATCTAGCAAATTTTTTCAATGTAAAGTATCAGAGATGCCACATGTTCTGCTTGATGGGCCAGACCCTTCCACATGGGAAGGATTTGTACCACTGGATGTTCAGTAACTGCTTCTAGGGAAAGGGAGAGTCCTATCACTAGGCTGCAGTTATTTGTGTGTGGCTAGAAAGGGATGTTTGTTTTGAGTCTTCTGTTACAACCTTGGGAATGAGGTGGGATTTACTGTTACTTCAGTTTATGAGTCAGAGCTTTTCACATCCCGAAACTACAAAAAAGAAAGAAAGTCTTGTTAAGTCTTATGCTTTCCCAAGACTACCTTCAAAGAAATATGAATCAGAACAACCTGTGATCTAAATGATGTCATCTTAAAACTCAAGACTTGTTTCTCCCAACTATTCTGCTAAAAAAGGCTTAGGAAAAAATCTGCTTGTGGACATTTTAGAGAGAGAAAGGACAATAAAACTGACAGACCTCTGGGAAGCCAGCTACCACTGAATCTCACTATCAGATTTTTTTTAAAGTTTAGAGTTAGAAAGGGTGGTCCCTCCTTTCACAGATGTAGAGGCTAGGGACAAGCAAGGTGGGGTGCCCATGCTGCACAGCTAGTTCATGTCAGAATTGGGAATGGAAGGCACACGCCCCTCCAGTATAGCAATATATAACCTAGCAAAGGACTGAATACCTATCTCACTGTCAGGTTTTTTAGTATCTGATGATGATGACAACTTTTACTAGAAAATAATCTTCATTAAAATTATTAAAGATGGTCACACTTCTATCTCTGAGCCTTGTTTATAAAATGAGGGTATTTGGACTACATCATGGCTAAAGTCTCCTTCCTGCTCTTGAATTCTATAACTCATTAAAAAGACACCCAAAGAAGTCTACTGAGTTACCCAAGGGTTGCTCCTACCTGCCCAGCGTTCCACCAGCCTGGGTATAGTATTTGTTATAATCTAGTCGTAACAGAAGTTGAGCCAAATCTGAGTTGATCTGATGATTCCGAACACTGGAGAGAATCTTGAATAGGAGTGAAGACTGGCGGCTGAAGCCCTGCAGACAGAAGGATTCAGTTATCATTCCACTTCAACTCAACAACTCTCCATAAGGAGGAGGGGGCAGAGGGGGGAGTTTCTTGGAAAAGCCTTGTTCAAAATTATATAGAACCACCTGGCCTTCCCACATTCCTATTTCTATTAGTTCCTAAAATGACTTGTACCAAATCTATACTTGCATGACTTCCTATGAAAGTACGCTTTCATCAGGAGGAATTTAGTAGCTGGTTTCCAGTTAACATATTTTGTCAAGTACCGAGGTTGGGGAAAACCCGTTTTGATTATAAGCAGGTAATTATCTCAGTGAGATGGGGTTTAGTTAGTTCAAGGAAGTAAGGAGGGGTAGGATGTGAGGAAGTTAGAACAAAGCCAGTGCTTATTTGGTGGGCTGAATAAACTATTCAGGACTGAACTACTTTTGAGCACTATGAGGTGGCACAGTAATTACGTGCTTCAAAGGCAACTGATACCAACATTTTAATCTTTGTATCTTCTTTCTGTGCGTGTGTGTATTGAGGAAATGTCTTAATGATTCAGAGGAAAGATAATGAATTCTCCATTGGCAAAACCACCTCTATCCTTTCAGCAAGGCTGCATACTTCCAGGCAGACGCACCTTCACGAGAATGCTCAGCTGGGCGGCTCCACGCTCATCCAGTGGGCCTAGGTTCTGACTGACCAGCGAACAAAAACTGTGACAGAGATCTAGGATTTCATTCAGGCAGTGAAATACCTACCCAGGAAACAGAGTTGGCATTAGGAAAAGGAAGGAAGGTACCTTCATGAAATTAAAGATTTGGGAGAACAGTCTAATTAGTAGCTGACCTCCCAAATCTGAGAAGATAGACACTGCCACTTTGCAAGGCCTGCCAGCCCCTCAAATACACATAATGTGTAAAACAAACACATCCCTTCCTGGCTAAGCTGGTATTACTCTCTCAGCCCTGCAGCAAACCTCCACTCTGGCCACATTTAACTCTTCGTTTCTTAGACCCACAGAGTGTGTTCCTGCCTCTGAGCTGTGAGTGTTGTTCCCTTTGCCCCGGATGCTCTTCTTTTTAATACTAGTTCAGGTCCTACCCACTCTCTCAGTGAAGCACTCCCTTCCACACTGTAGCCTTTAGTGAACCCCCATTTCTTGCTTCTTTATTATCTGTACTGTTGTCCACTTGGCAATTGTTGAGGCCTCTGTGTTGTTAATGATTTTTGTATGTATATATGTCTTGTTTTTCCAACTAGATTGTGAGCTCCTTAAGGGCAGAGCCATGACTTATACCTCTTTGTATCCCCAGTGCCTTGCATACAGTAAGCACTCAATAAATAATTAACGATGATGATCTCTTCTGATAGTCTGCTTTTCCCTACAGATACATCTGTGCCACATAAAGACAGTGTCTACCCATCACAGTAGTTTTGGGTTATTTTCAGCCAGCCCTTTGGACTGGCATCTATTAATATATAACTTACCCTTCTTCGTACAGCAGAAATAGCCCTAAACACCAGAACAAAATGGTCCCTAACAGCTGTGCTACAGCACACTGAGGAATAACAACTAGCAGTGTTATGTCAGAGATGAAGCATAACCATTACATTAGAAACTACAAGAGATCATTTCAATCTTCCTGTTCTTTATCCTGGAATTGGAACTAGCTTGTGAGCTTTAAAAAATATTGGTACCTGGATCCCACTATTATAGGGACTCTAATTTAAGTGCCGTCACCTAGATATTTTTAAAGGGTCCTGATGATTCCAATGTAGTGCGATAAAGGAGATACATTATGTACTTAATAGAAACACGTACACACATCCAGAGAGAAACACTACTTGTCTATGAAAAGAACTCTCAAATGAATGATCCATCCTGGTCCAAAGACTTCTTAGAAGGTGGACTCCATATGCTTTTCATTGGTTTCTCTGTACTGTCAAGCAAGGTTTTTGAGTTTAACTCCTGAGCGTTTAAGCACAAATAATTCTTTCATCTATAGCTGCTTACCATGCCCTATAATTTCAGAAATTCAAAGACATCTTAGGTCCCTTTGAACATGCCCTTTTAGTTTTGCTTTATACATTCTTTAAAAATGTTTTAAAATGAGTAATTGCTTAATGATAGTTTCATTTCTTGTCAACTAAGAGTGCCTGAAGGAATGGTCAGTATTAGAAGCAGTTTAGGAACCAATGACTCTTACTTACAGGTTTCAATAGGATAAAGGATTGAGCCAGCAAATTGCTCAGGAAGTGGTCATGAGCCAATCGGATGCTTTCAAAGTCTCGGGTAGAATTGATTTGATGAAGCAGCTGGGAGAACTGAGACTCCAACACATCTACCTGACAGACATTACACAAAAATTTTAGCACCTTGCATATTCTAAGGACTAGTTGAAATGAAAATGCTTTGCCCCCACTCATCTTCCTTCTAACCAAGCCACTTTTAAGGCTAACCAAAGACACCCTTATATTGCCCACCCTTGTAGGAAGTTACTTGCATAATTCTTTACCCCCTCCAACGGCTGACCCCCTCCAATGGCTTTACCCCCTTTACCTTGGCTGACCACTCTCCCCTGTCCCATCTTTTTTTCTTTTTTTGAGATGGAATCTTGCTCTGTCTCCCAGGTTGGCGTGCAGCACAATCTTGGCTCATTGCAACCTCTGCATTCTAGGTTCAAGTGATTCTCCTGCCTCAGCCTCCTAAGTAGCTGGGATTACAGGTGCCCACCACCATACCTGGCTATTTTTTCTATTTTTTCGTGACCTCAGGCGATCCACCTGCCTTGGTCTCCCAAAGTGCTGGGATTACAGGTGTGAGCCACCGTGCCTAGACTCCCCTGCTCCATCCTAACCCACTCATGTCACATCCCCTCCACTGACTGATTTGGTCACCTATTGGATTCCAGAAGTGATAGCAAAGAATAAAAATAAGGGGCAAGTCAATAATAAATAACAGATTGCTGATAAGGAGCCTTTAAAATGCCTTTAAGAGGCTAATGTCAGTTCATGCCTATAATCACAACACTCTGGGAGGCAAACACGCAGGAGGATCACTTGAAGCCAGGAGTGAGGTGTTTTTTTTTTTTTTTGAGACAGAGTCTTGCTCTGTCGCCCAGGCTGGAGTGCAGTGGTGCAATCTTGGCTCACTGCAACCTCCACCACCTGGGGTCAAGCCATTCTTTTGACTCAGCCTCCCAGGTAGCTGGGTCTATAGGCATGTGCTACCACACCCAGCTAATTTTTCTGTATTTTTAGTAGAGATGGGTTTCACCATGCTGGCCAGGCTGGTCTTGAACTCCTGACCTCAAGTGATCTGGCCACCTCGGCCTCTTAAAAGTGCTGGGATTACAAACGTGAGCCACTGTGCGTGGCCGAAGCCAGGATTTTGCGACCAGCCTGAGCAATAAAGTGAGACTCCATCTCTACAAAAAAATTTAAAAACCTAGGCATGATGGCATGTATCTGTAGTCACAGCTACTTGAGAGGCTGAGGCAGGGGGATCACTTGAATCCAGGAGCTTGAGGCTTCAGTGAGCTATGACTGCACCACTGCACTCCAGCCTCGGCAATAGAGTAAGACCCTGTGTCTAAAAAGTAACAAAATAAAATGCTTTTTAAAGAAACATGCCTAGTGATATAACTCCTGAATTTTCTCAAACCCCACCATTTTATCAAATACAAAACTGTAGTCCCTCTTTGATACTCCCTGCCAACCTCCTAGGCTTGTTTCCGTATCCCTTCCTTCTACTCATCTCTCAGCACAGACCTGGAGATAGTACTGAAGATTATCCACCAAAAATGCCATGTGATTTCTTAGGCGCCACTTGATCGCATCAGTCTGGTTAGACTTGAGGTGCTTGCGCTGCATTTGTAGGGCCCAGCAGTGCTGCAGCTCAGCTTGCACCCGGCGCACGCTCAATAAGTATTTGAAAACAACGTTGTATCTAGGACAGAAACAACAGGATATTCAAGATGAAAATTTCACCCCCTGTACTTCCCCCACATTAGACTCTAGGACTTTGTGCTACCCACCCATCTCAGAAAAAAGCAGTAAGGAAAGAATGACTAGACATGTAGACAAATAAATTGTAATTTATCTATACAGTGGAATATCATATAGCAGCCAAAATGAATGAACTCCAGCTATATAACAAGGTGAAACCCCATCTCTGCAATTTTTAAGGTAACTAGAGAAATTCCAATATGGACTGGATATCAGATTATAAGGGAGAAATGTTAATTTTATTGGCTGTGACAATGGCATTATAGTTCTGTTGAAATATCCCTTTTTGAATAGTTGACTCATATTGCTTCTTAGCAATATGATTTTTGCATGAAAAAGGTAAATCACAAAAGATTACATAAAGCTTTTTTTATAATTCTTTAAACAGGCCAGATGTGGTGGGCTTATGCCTGTAATCCAAGCATTTTGGGAGGCCAAGGCAGAAGAATTGCTTAAGCCCAGGGGTTCAAGACCAGCCTGAGCAACATAGTGAGATGCCATCTCTACTAAAAATTTAAAAAATTAGCCAGGTATGGTGGTGCTCACCTACAGCCCAGCTACTCGGGAGGCTGAGGCAGGAATATCGCTTGAGCCCAGGGGTCAAGGCTGCAGTGTGCTGCCTGGGCAATGGAGCAAGATCCTGTCTCAAAAAAAAAAAAAAAAAATAGTGTGTTATGAATCAAGGATTATGACGAAGCTGATTCTCTGTCCCTGAAGCCCAAAGCTTCCCTCTAAGATAAACTCCTGCCTCCCTGCAAGCTCAGGAGCTAACTGCTTAATGCTGAAGCCCCATACTGAAACGACACATGGGAAGAACAGCTGATTCTTGGTAGAACTGGATTTATTTACCTGTTTGTAGGCAGGTTTGCAGAAGACAGTCCCATTCTGTTTGGTTTTAAAAATTATCTATTTCTAAAGGAACAAACATAATAAAATAATAGACCTTGTTTGGATACTGATTTGAACAAACCCAAACATAAAGATTTTTTTTGATAACTGGAGAAATTTCAATGTAGGCTGGATATCAGATTACAGGGATTATTGTTAATCTTATTGGATGTGATAATAGCATTCTAGTCCTGCTGAAATATGCCTTTTTCAATTGTTTATTGGCAGAATGAATGGATTATGATTTGCTTTATACAGCTCCAACAACAAAAGTGGGGGAGGGACAGATGAAACTAGTAGTAGAATGTTGATGGTTACTGAAGGTGAATAATGAGGACACAGGAGTTTGTTATAGTCTATATTTTTGTTTAGATTTATAAATTTTTATAATGAAAATGAAAAAAAAATACTTCTAAACTTGATTTCTTCAAGGGTGTTGAGAGCATATCCAGTTAGGAGGTAAGTAGGCTGTTGGCCTACAGGATCCTGGGAGCTGAAGATCTTTGGAAGTTCTTTGTACAGGGTCCATGCCACTTGCTTTTAGCTGGGCCATGGGCTCTGAATTTGCCATAGAATTTTCTCCCTGAACCAGCCTCATCTTTTCTAGTTTATGCCCAGTCTATTCTACCCTAAGCTTATCTACCTCAAAAACGTGGAGAGGGCTAGGAAGAAGAACAGGAAGGAATAAGAGTGGTGGCTGGAGGAAGAGATGGCCTTTTTGTTTGTTTCCCTTTTCTTCATTCCTCTGGTTTCACTGAGTATGACAGCTTCAAGTCTCCTTCCAGGCCAGGGGCCAGTTCTCTGACCAGTAATTGGGTTTGGGAAGTTCCTAGATACGGTGTGAGGGTAGATTTCAGAAGCCATGACCAGCCACATTTGCTTCTCTTTCCTCTTTTCTGTAGATCTCTGGTTTGGGGACATTAGGTCCTGACCAAGCCAAGCAGTAACACTTGGCAAGCTCTCATGATAAAGAGCAAGGGTGACCTGACAGAAAGAGACTCCAACTTGGTCAGCTCCTTTACTCCATCCCCAAGCTTGGCTGCCCCTGTTATCTCTCCCTGAGGGTAAGGAGGCAACCTTTTCCCCAGCGGCTGACATCCACAGCAAACATGCAGGGTGGAGGACTTTCCCAAGTAAATCAACAAAAAATATTACAAAATTGAGGGACAGAGACCTTGTCAGGCATGAGGGAATCATCAAGGGCAATTATCTCGACATGGTACCTGAGACCTTATTTTCCAGAGGTCACAAACTGGCAGCCTACAAACTGCTTGTTATTTGGCAATTAACAAAACAACGGTTTGAAGTAGGTATATGCCCTCCCGTGGATTTCAACACCCACCACTCCCTGTGTCTCATATCTGAGCTTCACTTACTAATGTGATCAGTTTACCCCGTGAAGGCATAGGCGTTTACAACTTTTGATTTACAGATTGTTAAAAACTAGTTGGGTAGCTATCTTGCTCCCATTCATTTTTTTTTTTTTAAGAGATGGGGTCTCACTATATTGCTCAGGACGAATTTGAAATCCTAGGCTTAAGGAATCCTCCTGCCTCAGGCTCTGGAGTAGCTGGGATTACAGACATGTGCTACCACAGCTTGTTCTCCCAGTAATTCTATTCCTGCTAGTTTTTTCCCTTGCAAGAAGGTGGGTTATATTTACCTGTGAGAGAAACTCAGAAATACTCACTTTTCCAGGACAGCTGGGGTGAAAAGAATATGTAGTGGCCACTGTACTTTGTAGGAAAGACCTAGGGCTGCCCAGCCAGATGCAGGGGCTTCCCGGGGAGAAGTTTCCCGAGAAGGACCTTCTCTTGCCTGAGTAGCATCTGCTGTGATAAAGAAAAGAAAAAAAGAAAAGATAACGACTTGGTTAATCAAGAACCAGAGACCCAGCAAGTAACATTCACAAAATGAGTCTGCAGGAGTTCAAGACCAGCCTGGGCAACAGAGTGAGACCCTCCTGTCTCTACTAAAAATAAAAAATTAGCTGGGTGTGGTGGTGTGTGCACCTGTAGTCCCAGCTACTCAGGGTGCTGAGGCACGAGAATTGTTTGAACCTGGAAGGCAGAGGTTGCAGTGAGCCAAAAATGCACCACTACACTCCAGCCTGGGTGACAGAGTGAGACTCCACCTCCAAAATAAAAGAAGTGAGAGCTCGCTGGAGTCTGCGATGTCAGAAGCTTACAGGTGACACAAAAAAAGGGCAAGGAAACTTCTTTGTAAGGTTTTCTTGGGAGGTCTTCTAGAAATTCTTTCCTCAGCCTTAAAATCTGGAGGCTGGAAATAAATAAAACAGGGACCATTCCAGCAGCATGACCAAAACCAAAACCCCAACCCCCCTAAAACATGGCCTGGACATCTCACATAGCCTTTCTGGACTTCCCTTTTCTTCTGTATAAAACTATAGTACAGTACTAGCTGATATCTAAGATCCAAAATTATATGGTTTCTATGGCAGGGGCTGGAAGCAGAGATGGGAAAATGGGTATGAGCAGTAGGAACTCTAAGGTGGCAGGAAAGAATGGCAAACCTTTGTGCTCCTTTCCGTGATACTCAATTGTCAAGTGCAACAGAGGGAGAAGGTTGTCATCATCTAGCAATACCTTGTGTGCTGACTGCTGAAAGGCCACATTCACATCTGCAAGAAAGAACACGCGGGCTGACAAGGATGCCTGCCTACGGAACAAGCCCAGACTCTGCAGCTTTCCACTTCCTCCCCAGCATGCCCAACACTAACAGTGGGACACAGTGGACATCTGTTGCATTTGCCTAACATCTATCCATCCTTCTCTTCTTGCTGGTAACAAACTGCCTCCTGATTTTCCTTGGAGAATCATCCCTACTCAGTACAGTTCACATATTTCCAGTGGGTTGGTGCTAGACAACACCCGATTCTAGGGGTAGCCAGGTGATGTAGGCATGATCAAATGGAATGTAATACTCTACTTTGTTATGCTATATTGTTTAGGGATAGTAACACAATCAAGCCAGGCCAATCCAGATGCTCTATTCAGACTCTTAAAAGAGTACAGCTTTGGGCCGGGCACGGTGGCTCAAGCCTGTATTCCCAGCACTTTGAGAGGCCAAGGCAGGTGGATCACGAGGTCAAGAGATCGAAACCATCCTGGTCAACATGGTGAAACCCCGTCTCTATTAAAAATACAAAAAATTAGCTGGGCATGGTGGTGCGTGCCTGTAATCCCAGCTACTCGGGAGGCTGAGGCAGGAGAAATGCCTGAACCCAGAAGGCAGAGGTTGCGGTGAGCCGAGATCGTGCCATTGCACTCCAGCCTGGGTAACAAGAGCAAAACTCCGTCTCAAAAAAAAAAAAAAAGAGTACAGCTTTTTTCAAGATAAACAGGGGCTTAATAGGATGTAACTTGGCTAGACTTTCTTGCTACCATAAAGAGCAGGCCTGTCTGAGAAGAAAGAGGTGAAAGATGGAAAGAGACCAAGTCCTAAAGGTGCCACACGCGTCACTGGATCAAGTTTTGCCAAAAACCATCACACTGCTGAGCTTTTCAGTTATGAGAAGCAATACATTCTTTCTTTCCTATTGCTTTAAATGAGTATGAACTGGATTTTCTGATATTTGCAACCACAAATACTTATATTTGTACTATTTAAGTACCATGGACATCTATGGTTTTACTGAGCTAGAAAAAAAAAATCAGCTTGAGTGTATGTATTTTCTTCCTCCCATTTTAGTTTTTTCGATCCTTACCCAACTATATTCATGCACTTTGAATGGGAATGGCCATCTTGGTCAAGGGTTGGCCACTTCACTGAACTATGCACAGCCTAGTGTTCTGACCTCTTTGACTGATACAAGGATAGGCATGTGATGTGGGTTGGGCCAATCAAAACATTGAGAATTCCGTAGAATTCTCTAACTTGCAACAAGAGGGACCAGGTTTGGTTCCTTCAGAAGAGGACACCGTGAGGCATGTTCCTGGGAGCTGCTGGTGGTCATGTTTCCAGAAGGTCATCAAAGAGTTTACAAGAGACATATACAAGATATGAACAAGAGACAGGGGGTGGGGGCGGAGAGAGAGAGAGAGAGAGAGAGAGAGAATGAATATGAATCCAAGTTGTCCCACTGGAGTTTTAGATACAATAGCAAATCAATTTCCCTTTCCTAACTAGGCTAGCTCGGGTGACGTTTCCATCATTTACACTTAAAGAATTCTACTACAACACCACAAGAGGCACTAAGTCCCAATATGCCCCGTGAAGTATATGTGGCTGTAGTCCAATGAGGAAAAAATACCTGGTTTGAAGGTCTGTACCAGCTCTTCTGGGAAGGGTCATGGGCCAAGACACTGTTCTCAATGACCCCAGCATGAAGCCTACCTGCAAAAGGGCCTTCCATCTCGGGAAGCCACTGCTCTGTAACTCACCAGGCTGCTCTTAGTGGAGCAAGCCTTAAAAGGGTCAGCAGCAGCCAAGAAATATCCTGCAATGTCCATCAGTTGATCATTCTCAGGGCCACAGACAATTACCATGCTCAGTTACTGCAGTGGGCGGTGTTTTTAACATGTGTTGAGCTGTGTCAATGAAGGCCTGAAATAGTTCTCCACGTCCCAGAAGGTAAAAGTCTTTAATGATCTGAGGAAAGAATTTTAACTTACAATTCAGTAAAGCAAGGCAGGAGCTCCTCACTGTCCTGAGGAACTACACGTATACAGTAATTTCCAATTTCATCAACTTGAGCCCAAACTACAAAAGGATATAGGCACTGGACATTTCAAAGAGGTATACTTAGTTCTGCAGAGCAGGATGACTGGTGTGTATTTGGCCTTATTTATTCAATAGCAACATAATTATATTATGCCAGAAGAAAGTACACTCCCAAATCTTTGTATGATAGTAGATTTGTAACATTAGGTATAGTTTGCTCACTTGGATAAGAACAAATGAGTCTAGGTATAGGCAACCAGTGCTCTCAGAAAACACCAGGGAATGGGAGTCACTGCCTACCAGCATCATTGTAAGAATTACAACAGCTCAGCCATTACCTTCAGCTGACCCAGTAAATCGGACTCTTCTACCATCAACTTCCAGAGATGCTGTGAAAACAACCACCAAACAGGGACAAATTTCATTACAGTGAGAAGTCCTGCCAAGAATGGTTCCATACAAGTCCAGCAATGTATTAAAAGAATGATATATACCTTGCCCCACATAGAAAAATTTACCCAAAAGGATTATTGTATTATTCCGTTCTTGCACGGTTGTAAAGAAATAACCTGAGACTCGGTAATTATAAAGAAAAAGAGGTTTAGTTGGCTCATAGTTCTGCAGGCTGTACAGGAAGCACAGTGGTTTCTGCTTGGCTTCTAGGGAGGCCTCAGGAAACTTACAATCATGGCAGAAGGCAAAGGCATATCACATGGCAGGAGTAGGAGCAAGAGAGAGCAAGTGGGAGTTGTTTTTTTTTTTTTTAAATTGCTACCTCAAATATTTTACTTGGTATGCTGAAAACATTTAAACCACCAGATCTCACAAGAACTTCCTATCATGAGAATAGTACCAAGGAGAATGGTGCTAAATCATTCATGAAAAACTGTCCCATGATCCAATCACCTCCCACTAAGCCCCACCTTGCCCCATCTCCAACACTGGGGATTACAACTCATGATGTTTTGGCAGGGACATAGATCCAAGTATATCAATCACAGACCTTGGTATAAAACTGAAAACTATAAAATTTCTGGAAGAAAACAGAAGAGAAAAATCTTTGTTACCTTTAGTTAGGCAGAGTTCTCAGACATAACACCAAAAACATGATACATAAAAGGAAAAAAAAAAGGTAAACTGGATTTCCTCAAAATTAACAACTTTTAGGACAAGTCATAAATTGTGAGAAAATATTTGTAAGTCACTTATCTGTTAAAGAACTTAAATCCAGAATATATAAAAGACTTTCAAAATTCAACAATAAGAAAACAAAAACCCAATACAAAATGGGCAAAGAGGCACATGAAAACATGTTCAACCTCATTAGTCATTACAGGCATGCAAATGAAAAGAATGGAGAAGCCACCAAATATCTATCAACAGATGAATGGATCAACACACTGGTATAAACAACAGACTACTACTAAGCAATATAAAGGAATAAACCATTGATAAATACAACATGGGTTTGTCTCAAAATAATTATGCTGAGTAAAAGAAGCCTAGTCTCTTCCTCCAAAAGAGTCCATACTGTATGATTCCATTTTTAGCAACTCAAGAAATTGCAAACAAACCTAGACTGACAGGGAGTAGATGAGATCAGTGGATGCCTGGGGACAGGGAGGGTAGCAAGGGTGGGATGAAAGTACACAGAAAGGTTGCAAATAAAGGATGGAAAAAGACATCAGGTAAATATAATCTGACAGGAAGCTGGATAGTGATCTTAGTAACTAATAAAATAGAATCTAAGTAAAGACTATATTAGGCTGGGTGTGGTGGCTGACACCTGTAATCCCAGCACTTTCAGAGGCCCAGGCAGGCAGATCACCTGAACTAAGAAGTTTGGGATCAGCCTGGGCAACATGGCGAAACCCCATCTCTACTAAAAATATAAAAATTAGCCAGGTGTGGTGGCACACGCCTTTAACTCCAACTACTCAGGAGGCTGAGATAGGAGAATTGCCTTAACCTGGGAGGCGGTTGTTGCAGTGACCCCAGATCATGCCATTGTACTCCAGCCTGGGTGACAGTGAGACTGTCTCAAAAAAAAAAAAATTATATATATGTATCAATTATATAATATATATATATCTCATAGGTGATACAGAGGACATTATGTATAAATAAAAGGAAAAACACAATAAATATATATGCACATGCTTCACATATATCCTAAAAATGTGCAATTAGAACATACACTCAGGCCAGGTGTTTGAGACCAGCCTGAACAATATGGTGAAACCCCGTCTCTACTAGAAATACAAAAAAATAGCTGGGCGTGGTGGCATGCACCTGTAGTCCCAGCTACTCAGGAGGCTGAGGAAGAATAATTGCTTGAACCCAGGAAGCGGAGGCTGCAATGAGCTGAGATCGTGCCACTGCACTCCAGCCTGGGCAATAGAGCGAGACTCTGTCTGAAAAAAAAAAAAAAAGAAAAAAGAACATACACTCAAGACAGAATATACATTCTCCAGACATACGCAGGACAGTTAAAAACAAAAACCAGACCCTGTATTAGTCCATTAAAAACCTGCAACCAATTCCAAAGAAAAAGTGTCATATCGACTATGTTCTCCTTGGTTAAAAAAATCATAAAATTAATTAGGATTATATAGAACATAGAACAATACATGCCAAATATTTGTGAGCCACAGTCAAAATAATATGTAAAGTTTTATATCTATTTCTCAGAAAACACAGTTTAAAAATAAAGAAGTCAAGCCTTTCAACCTGGGAAAGAGTAACTTAAAAAAAATACAAAGGAAGAAAATAAAGAAAAAGGCAGATATCAATGAAATAGAGAATTCAAAAAAAATTATCTATATCTATATCTTTTATTTTATTTTTTGAGATGGAGTCTTGTGCTATTGCCCAGGCTGGAGTGCAGTGGAGCTATCTCAGCTCACTGCAACCTCTGCCACCCAGGTTCAAGAAATTCTCCTGCCTCAGTCTCCCCAGTAGGCACCACCACACCTTGCTAATTTTTGTAGCTTATTTTAGCAGAGACAAGGTTTCACCATGTTGGCCAGGCTGGTCTTGAACTCCTGACCTCAAGTGATCTGCCTGCCTTGGCCCCCCAAAGTGCTGGAATTACAGGCATGAGCCACTGTGTCTGACCCAAAAATATATATTTTTAAAATAAAATTGGCCAGTTGCAGTGGTTCACACCTGCAATCCCAGCACTTTCGGAGGGCCAAGGCCGGCAGATCACCTGAGGTCAGGAGTTCAAGTCCAGCCTGGCCAACATGGTGAAACCCCATCTCCACTAAAATAGAAAAATTAGCTGGCCAAGATGGCAGGTACCTGTAATCCCAGCTATTTGGGAAGCTGAGATGGGAGAATCACTTGAATCCAGGAGAAGGTGGCTGCAATGAACTGAGATCCCGCCACTGCATTCCAGCCTGGGCAACTAAGTGAAACTCTGTCTCACAAAAAATAAAAATAAAATAAATAAAATAAAAAGCCTGGTGGGCACAGTGGCAGACACCTATAGGCCCAGTTACTTGGGAGGCTGAGGCAGAAGCTTCATTTGAGTCTAGGAATTCTGGGCTGTAGCGTGCTACACCAATCATGTGTCCACAATAAATTCGGCATCAATATGGTGACCATGTGGGAGCAGGGGACCACCAGGTTGCCTAAGAATGGGTGAACTGGCCCAGGTCAGAAATGAAGCAGGTCAAAAACGCAGTGCTGGGGTATGGTGACTCACATCTATAATCCCAGCACTTTAGGAGGCTGAGGTGGGATGACTGCTTGAGGCCAAGAGTTCTAGACCAGCCTGGGCAACATACTGAGATTCCATCTCTACAAAAAAATTTTAAAATTAGCGTGGCATGGTGTTTTGCCCTTGCCCTAGCTACTAAGGAGGCTGAGGCAGGAGGATTGCTTTACCTTAAAAGTTCAAGATTACAGTGAGCTATGATCACACCATTGCACTCCAGCCTGGAAGATAGAACAAGATCCAATCTCTGGGGAAAAAAAAGAAAAAAGAAAATGAAAGGCCAGGTGCTGTGGCTCATGCCTATAATCCTTGCACTCTGGCAGGCTGAGGCAGAAGGGAGGATTGCTTGAGCCCAGGAATTTGAGGCTATTGTGAGCAATAATTACACCACTGTACTCTAGCCTGGGTAACAGAGTAAGAAGAGTAAGACCCTGTCTCAAAAAAAAAAAAAAAGAATTAGCTAGGCGTGGTGCACTGTAGTATGCACCCCTAGTCCCAGCTACTTGGGAGGCTCAGATGGGAAAATTGATTGAGGCCGCAGGTCGAGCTGCAGTGATTTGTGATTGCACCACTGCTCTCCAGCCTGGGTGACAGAGCAAGAAGCTGTCGCTAAAAATTTTTTTTAATTAAAGAAAAAGCCAGGCCCAGTGGCTCACACCTGTAATCCCAGCACTTTGAGATGCTGAGGTGGGTGGATCATTTGAGGTCAGGAGTTCGAGACCACCCTGGCCAAAATGTTGAAACCCCAACTCTACTGAAAATACAAAAATTAGCTGGGTGTTGTGGTACATGTCTGTAATCCCAGCTACTCAGGAGGCTGAGATGGGAGAATCCCTTGAACCCAGCAGGTGGAGGCTGCAGTGAGCCAAGATCATGTCACTGCATTCCAGCCTGGGCCACAGTGAGACTCTGTCACAAAAAAAAAAGAAAAAGAAAAAAGAGAGAGACAGAAAAAAAGGTATAAAAACAAAAGCTTGTTCTTTGAAAAGACTAGTAAGACAACAATAAAATTCTAAATAAATAAAACATAAATGACTACAGTCAGATTTTCAAAAAAATGAAATCTAGATGAAATAGGTAAATTCCTAGAAAATACCAAAATTAGTACAAGAAATAATTGTTTTATGTCAATAGGTTTTAAATACACTCAACTAGTTAAGTCTTCCCTCCTAAAATATCTAGCTTAGATTAATTTTCAGGTAAATTCAAACTTTCAGTACCAATTCCTGTCTTATATAAACTGTTCTAAAAAACAGAAAAAGAACAAAACCTACCTAGCCCAGTTTATGAGGATTATAGAATCTCTGGTCCAAAACCACATAAGCAAAATACAGGACAAGAAAGGTATAGTCTTATTTCGTTACTGATATGGTTTGGCTGTGTGGCCACCCAAACCTCATCTTGAATTGTAGCTCCCATAATTCCTACACAGGGAGGGACCTGGTGGGACATAACTGAATCATGGGGGTGGGTCTTTCTCATGTTGTTCTTGAGATAGTGAATAAATCACATGAGATCTCATGATTTTATAAAGGGAAGTTCCCCTACACAAGCTCTCTTGCCTGTTGCTATGTATTACATGACTTTGTTCCTCATTCCCCTTCAGCCATGATTGTGAGGCCTCCCCAGCTATGTGGAACTGTGAGTCCATTAAACCACTTTCCTTTACAAATTACCCAGTCTTGGGTATGTCTTTATTAGCAGCATGAGAACAAACTAATACAACTAGTGAATACAGATGTCACAATCAAGCAGTGTTTATCTCAGAAAGAATCAACATCTCAAAATCTAACCAGAAATTTATCATATAAATAGACCAAAGGAGAAAAAGAACCCAGAGGAAGAAACTGAACCTTAATTGATACAGAAAGATAAAATTCAACATCTGCTTATGATAAAAATTGGACTGGGTATGGTGGCTCACAGAAGAAACTGAAACTCCTGAGCCAAGGAGTTCAAGATCAGCCTGGGTAACATAGCAAGACCCCATCTCAAAAAATTAAAATTGAAGCAAAGTTATCTAATTTGCAGATGGTATGATCATCTACTTAGAACAACTGATAGAATCAGACTATTAGAATATAAAAGAGTTCAACAAGTTGCAAGGTGTAAGATTAACCTACAAAAAGTAATACCACTATTTCTCTATCTAAGCAGTAAAAACTAAAGACATAATTAAAATAAGAACTATTAAGTACCTAAGAAATTTAAACGTTTTTGTTGAAGTACTAAAATACATACAGAAAAGAACAAGTCATAAGTTCACAGCTTGAACATTTTTACAAATTGAATACCTGTACTGCCAGCACCCAGATCAAGAAGTGGAACAAACCAAGTGTTACCAGCACCCTAAAAGCCCCACTCATGCCCCTTCCTTTGACTTAAAGGCAAATACAGTCCTAACATCAAGCACCAGATTCACTTTGCCTGTTTTTGAACTTTACAGAAATAGATTCACATAGTATATATACTTTAAAGAAAAAACATTTTTAAAGGAGAGAAAGTCCCAAAAGGGATAAGTATAACACATATTTACAAAACACTCCCCACTTTTCCTTCTGGGCACACAATTTATTTTCATTACTGTGGGCTGTTATTGTTCCAGTAACGCCTTCCAAAGTCTACTAGCTACAATTCTAAGAAACTTAAAAGAGTTTGCTTCAGTTTGCTTACCATTTTTACAAACTGGAAATATAATTCCTAACAAACTTTCACAAGAAAAAAAACAATTTTTCCTATTGTCTTTAATTCACTACGATTCTACTTTCCTCCATTAATTATATTTTCCAAAGATTTATAACAAAATGATAAAACAACAGAAATAGATTTTTAAAGATGAAAGGAATTGATACCTACCCCTTGAGACTAAACCTGCCTTGGCCTTTAGACGGGGGTGAGGCAATGTCTTAAAATTTTAAAAGGACAGAAACATGGGTCGTTTAGATATTTACTTGCCCGCAAAGAATCAAGTCAGATGATACTTCACAGCCATTTTAAGATCAAACACTCTGTGTCTACATCATAGCTCTATCTCTGAGGATCACGAGTTTTTGAGACAGTGACTAGAAAGGGAAACTGTATTTATAATACATTCCTGTGCTTCCAACCCATGGAGATTTGCTCTTAGCAGTTCCAAACACTGACATAAGTGCACTGCTTTTTAGTCCTGTCTATGTTTCAAAATCTCTAATAGAGGTTTGTCTTTAGTGGGTGGACTGGCTTGTTTAATTAGAAGTACCTGCCGGGTGTAGTGGCTCACCCTGTAATCTCAGCACTTTGAGAGGCCGAGGCAGAAGGATCACTTGAGCCCAAAAGTTCAAGACCAGCCTGGCCAATAGAGTGAACCCCCCATCTCTATTAAAATACAAAAAAGTTTGCCAGGAAGGCTGGCGCAGGCCTGTTGTCCCAGCTACTCAAAAGGCTGAGGCGCATGAATTACTTCAACCCGGGAGGCAGAGGTTGACTCCAGCCTGGATGAAAGGAAAGGGAAAGGGGAAGGGCAAGGGGAGAGAAAGTGGAAGGGAAAGAGAACAGAAAGGGAAGGAGAAGGTTAAGAGGAAGGAGAAAGGGAAGGTGAAGAGGAAGAGATGAGGAAGGGATGGGGACAGGGACAGGAATGGGAAAGGGAAGGGGAAGGGAAGGGGAAAGGGAAGGGGAAGGGAAGGGAAGGGGAAGATGAAGATGAAGGAGAAGGGAAGAAGGAAAAGATGAAGGGGAAGGAGAACAGGAAGGATTGGGAAGGGAACAAGAATGGGAGGGGAAGGGGAAGGAAAGGGGAAGGAAAAGGAAGGGGAAGAGAAAGGTGAAAGACAGGGGAAGGTGAAGGGGAGGAGAAGTGAAGGAGAAGTGGAAGGGAAAGGGAAGGGGAAGGGGAAGGTGAAGGAAAGGGGAAGGTAAAGGGGAAGGGAAGGAGAAGGGGAAGGGAAAAAGAGGAAGAGAAAAGGGGAAGGGAAGGGGAAGGTGAAGGGAAGTGAAAGGCAGAGGTGAAGGGAAAGGGAAGATGAAGGTGAAGTAAGGGGAAGAGGAAGGGGAAAGGGGAAGGGAAGGGGAAGGTGAGGGGAAGGGGTAAAGGAAGAGGAAGGAGAAGGTAAAAGTGAATGAGAGGGGAAGGTAAAGGTGAAAGGAAGGGGAACAAGAAGGGGAAGGGTGGGGGAAAAGGGAAGGGGAAGGAAAGGGGAGAGAAAGGTGAAGGGAAGGTAAAGGGAAGGTGAAGGGAAAGGAAAGGTGAAGGTGAAGGAAAGGGGAAGGTGAAGGAAAGGGGAAGGGAAAGTGCTGGAAAGGGAAAGGTGAAGGTGAAGGGAAGGGGAAGGAAAGCAAAGAGAAAGGGAAGGGAAGGGGAAGGAGAACGAAAGGGGAAGGGGAAGGTGACAGTGAAGGAAAGGGGAGCGGGAAGAAGGGAAGGGGAAGGTAAAGAGGAAGGGGAAGGGGTATGTAAAGGAGAGGGGTGGGGAAGGGAAGAAGGGGAAGGGGAGGAGAAGGGGAAGAGAAACAGAAGGGGAGGGGAAGGAGTATGGGAAGGGGAGGGTGGGGAAGGGGAAACTGAGGAGAAAGAGGAAGGGGAGGGAAAAGGTAGGGGAAGGAGAGGGGAAGGGGAAGGGAACGGGAGGGGAGGGGAAGGAGAGGGGAAGAAGTGAAGGGGAAGCGGAAAGCGGAGGAGGAGGAGAAGGGAAGGGGAAAGGAAAGGGGAGAGGGAGGAGAAGGGGGAGGTGAAGGGAAGGGGAAGGAACAGGGGAAGGGAAAAGGCAGGGAAGGGAAAGAGAGGAGAAGGGGAAGGGCAAGAGGAGGGGAAGAGGAGGGGAAAGGGAAGGAGCAGGGGAAGGAAAGGGAAGTAGAAGGGAAGGGGAGGGAAACAGGAAAGCAAGGGGAAGAGAAAGGGAAGGAAGGGGAAGCAGAACGGGGGAGAGGAAGGGGGAGGGGAAGAGGGGAGGGGGAGGGGGAGACACGGAGACGGAGACGGAGACGGAGACACAGAAAGGGATCTGCCTGCCTCAGCCCCCAAAATGCTGGGATTACAGGTGTGAACCACTACACCTGGCCCACATGAGGAAATTTTAAAACATGCACTTGCACCAAGTTCTTAGTTCCAGGGCTTCTGATTCGTAGGTCAGGAGAGGGTAGGTTCTTATACAGTTTAGTATGGCTTTATAACTTGTACTTTTATTTATGTACATAATCATCTTATGAATCCCTCCCCTCTCCTCCCCTCCCCTTCCCTTTCCTTCCTGGGAGGCAGAGATTGTAGTGTGCAGAGATCACGCCACTGCACTCCAACCTGAGTAACAGAGTGAGACCCCATAAAGAAAATAAATAAATAATAAAATTTTCTCATGCAATTCTATGCTTAGCCAACACTGAAAGCCATGAATACAGCTAACAACACAGCTGCCTAATGTCTCATTTCAGGTTATCACATATCCATGAGACAACGGTTAATATAAGCCACAGAACATATATGCTCATTGAAAAATTACTGGTCACAATTGAAGTTGGTGGCACCAGCACAATTCAAAATGAACACTGTGCTCCAGGAGTTGGAGGCCTGGCACTGACCTCACTATGGCTACTTACTGTGCCACACCAGACAAGTCAGCTGGCTGAGTAGTTGTTTCATTTATAAGAATGAGAAAATAATATTTGTTCTGCTTTCCTCTTGATTATTATCTATATAAATGAAAGTACAAGTTATAAAGCCATATTAAACTATAAGAAAGACACTACATTTCATTGGAATTAGTTGATTCCTTAGAGTTACTGCAAATGATAGAGACAGATCCAAATGCTGATTTTCAGAATCGAAACCAAGACCCCCCCTTATTCAACTAACCAACTAACTAAAAACCACCTGTCTTTTAGTTAGATGAGAAAAGAGGAAGGCAGTTCTGCCTCTGTTACTGAAAACAAAGTCTTTTCTTTTCTATTTTCTACCTTCAACTCCCTCCAACAGTTCTTTCCAAGCTTGGCTCTTACCACATCAAGAAAAAAACAAAAGTCAAGTAACTCAATTTCCTTTCTTTTTTTTTTTTTGAGACAGAGTTTGGCTCTGTTGTCCAGGCAGGAGTGCAATGCTGTGATCTCAGCTCACTGCAACCTCCACCTCCCAGGTTCAGGTGATTCTCCTGCCTCAGCCTACTCAGTAGCTGGGGCTATAGATGCAAGCCACCACATCTGACTAATTTTATGTTTTTAGTAGAGATGGGCTTTCACCACACTGGCCAGGCTGATCTTGAACTCCTAACCTCAGGTGATCCACCTGCCTTGGCCTCCCAAAGTGTTGGGATTACAGGAGTGAGATACTGCACCCAGCCAAATAACTCAATTTCTAGGGAGCTAGTCCATTTTCTCCCTTAAAAAAAAAAAAAAAAGATGAAATGCAAACCTCAGCCACGGTGCTGCGAATGCGATCCACCACCTGTTCAAAGTCCACCAAGCTGAAGAGCGGCTGCTGCTTGAGACGATGCAGCTCTGCAGCAAAAGTGTCCTCCTGGTTTTTCAAAATGGATCCTGCAAAATAGGAAGGCACCGTCAAAAGAAGACAGAGAGCACCCAGGACAGGCAGGGTTTTCTGGAGAGGGCTAATCTCGGTGGGGCAGCAACTTCACCTGATTCTTAGACAAACATCATGATTCTGCTACAATCTCAGGACAGGAATATTACCAGCCACTTGCTCTGACCAGGCATACTGTGGGGCCACATAGTATTAAGGCAGAAGAACGTGTGAGGATGTGGTACATTGGACAAGGAGCTTTCTACCTTTTCTAGTCAAGTTCACATTCTGATTCTCAAACATCTGGACAGATTCTCCAACAAACAGGATTTTTTCAGCAACCCTCACTGGAATGTAGGATGGCAAAATCTCCACTCTCAGGGAAAACTGCTTCAGAGATGGTGCCAGCATGTTCTCTTCCTCTATCAGGCGCTAATCAAGGAAAGAGTACACATTGAGATGCAGTATGAAACAAGAAAAAAAAAAAAGAAAGAAAATATCTAGGTGCTCTCCCAACCCATCATTTAAAGTAAAGATGCAGGGACTTAAAATCTGGTGTTGTTCTCAAATCACCAGTTTTGGATAGATGTATTTCATCTTCAGGCAGCAGAGTGACATGGTGGAAATAAGAGTGGCTTTTTAAATACTGGGGTTTGGGCCCTTATGCTACCTTTACTATTGCATAAAAACTTGCACAGTTGATCACCTTCCTTACTTATACAATGAAAGAGGTGGTCTTTTTTGTTTTCCAGGTCTTGCCTCTACGTCTGCTCTGCTGGTATGCCTCAGGGCACTGTCCCAGACTGTCTTTTACTCTCATCCTACACTTCTTATACCATCGCATCATCTTCTGTGACTGTTCAGTATAACAGAGAGTTTTAAAGTTTAGGTTACAGATCTCTCTCCAATCATAAAAGCTATGAACCTTCCAGACAAATGTACAGAAATACAACATTTCATGAACCTCCGCCACCCATGGGCCCCATATTAAAAACCTCTGAGCTCCATGCTGATGACTCCATGTATAGATTTAGAGCAAGCTGGAGTGCTCTCATGAGCCTCAGGCTCAGCCCACTGAACATTTCCCACAAGTTCCTCAAACTCAACATGCCCCCAAATTAGACCCATCTTCTTCCCCACATACCAGGAGTATCCACCCTTATCATCACTACTTGCCTGCTGCTGAAGGCAGAAACCTGGGTATAATCAATGATTCTTCCCTCTTGACTGATTTCCAAACACTCACTAGGCCTATTGATTCCACCCTCTAAGCATCTCTCACACCTCTTTATTCTTAATTTAGTGTTACCATCTTTCGTTTAGGGCACTATTATTTTCACCTACATCTCCCTAGCACTCTCTTAACTGTTCGACCTACCTCTAATCTTGATTTTTAAAAAATGATTCCCCATACAGCATCCAGAGCGATTTATCATGAAGTCTGGCTGTCGTACCCACTTGGTTAAAATTCAGTAGCCCCCAACTCTTCAGATTCAAGTACAAATTCATTTCCACTGTTTACATGTACCTTTGTGATCTTGCCTCTGCTTAACTCAAGTTTCATCAAGTTGGACCAATTTAACAGTTTCAAAGGCCACCTCTCCCTCATACCATCTCTTGTAACATTTTATGTCAGCCTTTATTTGACCATTTCAATTGAATTACTAGTTTCCCCAAATGAACCATGTCCTTAATGGTCCCTGTACCTTTACCCACATTATTCCTTCTGCCTGGATATTTCTTGACCTCTTCTCCCAAACTCTTTGCAATTTAGACATAACTTCCACTGAAAAGCCTTCTCTAGTTACTCCAAGATCGTACCCCATGACTATGTTCCAAGAATGCCCATATTTAGTCTTTTCAGAGCACTTAGAATAATATAACTGTTTACTTTTCTATATCTCTTTCCTTAAACTAAGCTCCTTACAGACAGAGACTACTACTACAGTTGTAGCACCTAGAACAATGCCTGGCACATAACAGGCATTCAATGAAATATTGCCACAGAATAAATGAATGGATGGATAGATGGATGAATATGGACAATGTAGGATTTTGAGGAGTCTAATCAAAACAGCAAACAGGCTGGGCGTGGTGGCTCACACCTGTAATCCCTGCACTTTGGGAGGGCGAGGCAGTTGGATCATCTGAGGTCAGGAGTTCGAGACCAGCCTGGCCAACATGACAAAACCCTGTCTCTACTAAAAATATGAAAATTAGCCGGGTTTGGTGGCGTGCGCCTTTAGCCCCAGCTACTCGAGAGGCTGAGGCAGGAGAATTGCTTGAACCTGGGAGGTGGCGGTTGCAGTGAGCCAAGACTGTGCCATTGCACTCCAGCCTGGGCAACAGAGAAGACTCCCTCCCTCTCAAGTGCAAACAAACAAACAAAATGACAAAACTTCAAACTGTATTTAAAATCTAAAATGTAGCTAGCTACTCCTTTAGGGGTAAGACTTATAATCTCTCAAATGCATATATTGGGAAAGGGGGAAACAAAAATAAACCTCGGAAACATATTTTCTATTTCATAGTCTCACACTAGTTAAGATAAAGCCAAAAGTTTACATCCAAAGAACTGATGGAAGGTGCTCAGCTTGAGCTGAGAAGGGATCACCAGAAGATCATTATGGCTGCGCACTTTTCTGACTCCTGGCAGGAGGGTGCTAGGCTGCTTTCTGGGCTCTCACCAAGTCCTGGAGTTCTCTCAGTTGTTTTCCTGTCAGTCCCCCAATGCCCAGATCCTCCTCGTCCTCTTCTGGCTGGGCACTGACATTACCAGAAGATGGACCCTGTTTGATAAAGAATTCTTCATGCTGGTCCAAGAGGAGTCCATGAAGCATCCAGGCTGAGAGCTGTTTATACATGACCCCATGACAAACGGCCAGGATTCTGAGCAGAGTGGAAAGTAAAAGGCTTAGAAATCTACTTAGAGAATACTAAACCCCATAAATGCCACAGAAGTCATGCTTTAAATTGTCAGAGGATAAACAGAGGCCTGGGAGTTTAATGAGTCATAAGGGAAATAACCAATTAAGTTAAAAATAATTGTGCTATTTTAATTTAAATGTGGGTGAACTAAGTCACTGAATTTCCGTATTTGCAGCCTACATAATGAAATCTAAAATGTTCCGTATACATGCTGATATTACTTTAGGGAAGAAATTCTTTTCCTTCTTTTATGTAATTTTCAAAACTGATGAGTCCTAAATATGTACAACTGTTTCACAGCAATAAAAAATAAAAATAATTAAAAAATTTAAAAAGGGACTTAATGGAGTCTCTTTTTGGCTAACAGTATTAAATTTGTTTTATTTTTGTTGAAGTCACATAGGGAGAGAAGATTCAATTATGTGAGTGCCAGGCATACATGAAAAACTATTATCTAGCAAAATCCAGAAACTAAAACAAAACGCAGAATGGTTGTTGGGGAATAGGATATTCAGATGGTCTCAAAGGATCACCCACCAGATAGCATATTAATTAAAAAGGGGGAAATGGACCTCTACAGTGGAGCAGCACCTAAGCCAAGTGATCCATCTTCACAACATCAGTAATGGGATGAACTTACTTTCTGTGTCTTCTAATATGATGTAATGGGAAATAACGTCACCTATGTAGTATTCTTGCCAAAAATGTTTAATCTGAATCTAATCATAGGGAAATAAATAAATAAAGATTGTAAAACATTATACAGGACAGCTGGTCAGAACTCTTAAAATGTCAGCCTCATCAAAAACAGCAAGAACAACAAAAGGCAAGGTGGATGGTTCTAAATTAAAGAAGACTAAAAAGACATGAGAACCAGTGCAGTATGAACACTGATTGGATCCTGGATTGCAAAAACAGAACAGCTATCAAGAAATTTTGGGGGACAAATAGAAAAATTTAGATACAGTATTACTGAATTAATGTTAACTTTCTCGAATGTGATATGGAATTGACATTATGTAAGATAATCCCTTCTTCTTTTCTTTCTTTTTTCTTCCTTTTATTTTGAGACAAGGTCTTACTCTGCCACCCAGGCTAGAGTGCAGTACCACAATCATGGCTCACTGCAGTTTTGATCTCCTGGACTCACACTATCCACCCATCTCAGCCTCCTAAGTAACTTGTACCACAGGTGCATGTACCATGCCTAATTTTTTGGTATTTGTAGAGATGGGGTCCCATTATGTTGCCTGGGCTGGTCTCCTAGGCTGAAGCTATCCACCCACCTTGGCTTCTCAAAGCACTAGGAATACAGGTGTGTGCCACCATGCTCAGCCAAGAATGCCTTTTTTCTAAAGTCATACAAGTTGAAGTATTTAGGGGTTAAGTGTTAGGATATCTGTGACTAGTTTCAAATGATGTGGCAAAAAAAAAATTGTGGTTTGTGTATGTATATTTCACATATACATAGAGAAGTAGAAAGAAAGACATCGAATGTGGCAAATGTTAACAAATGGTGAAACTAAAGGATATACTAGTGTTTTTTTTTTTTTTATTTTTGAGACAGGATCTCATTCTGTTATCCAGGCTGGAGTACAGTTGCAAGATCTCAGCTTACTGCAGCATCAACATCCTGGCCTAAAGCGATCCTTCTGCCTCAGCTTCCCGTAGCTGGGACTACAGGCAGGCACCACACCTGGCTATTTTTTTTTTATTTTTAGTACAGACAGAGTCTTGCTATGTTGCCTAGGCTGGACTTGAACTCCTGGGCTCAAGTGATCCCCATGCCTCAGCTTCCCAAAATGCTGGGGTTATAAGTGTGAGCCACTAAGCCTGAGCTACAAGTGTTTTATTACACAATTCTTTCAACTTTTTTATAGGTTTAAAATTTTTCAAAATAAAAAGTTGGGGAGAAAAAGAAATTACAAGAGCTTGAGCTTGTTATTTGTAGTATGCCAACTGAATGGAATCTCTCTTTAAAAAGATCAAATGTGAAGCTATTTACATTTATGCATTTCTGAGTATGTGGTCTGTAAAGTCTGATCCCTGCAAACACAGAACAAATATGTATATATAACATCATCTACATAAGATTTTGTATTCTATACATAAACATATAATAGAGAATTAAGTCCCTAAGGCATGTTCTAGGAAGTTTCCCACTTTAATAAGAATTTATTCATGCAGTGGTCAGAGTGGAGATTAAGTGGCCTGGCCAGGTGCAGTGGCTCACACCTGCAATCCTAACACATTGGGAGGCCAAGGTGGGAGGATCGCTTGAACCCAGGAGTTCAAGACCAGCCTGGGAAACATAGCCAGACCTCATCTCTACAAAAAATTAAAATTTAAAAAAAGAAAAAACAAAGAGTTGTGAGTGGCCTCATGGACCATCTATTATAATTTTTCAATGAATGTCACACTTTTTTAAAATAAGGAAAATGGAGAAATGGAAAGATCAAACATGCAGTCTTTGATCATAGTCTACATATATTTTTATTTGGTTGTAATCACAAGAAAAATACAGTTTTGTATCATTCGTCAGTACATATTTATATAAAATATTTTACGTGTTATAGTACCTATACTTTTAATGGCTTTATAGTCTAGCAAGTGAATATATCTTCATTTAAATTTTCTTCTAGTGTTGGTTATTTTATAATTTTCTGATTAGTAGACAACATTGCAATCAACATGTTTGTGCATATAGTTATTTTCTTCTATTAAATAATTTTGTTAGGATAAAATTCCTACAGGTGGCATTATGGGACTGTAAAGCATGAACATTTTTAAGGACCTTCAATATGAAAATACCAGATACTCAAATACATGTTTAGACATAGCAAGCAACACCTGGCACATGTAATGGAATTCCTGCAAGGATAACAGAGTCTAAACATTTAAAAAGGTTGCCTCACCTAAAATGCAATAAAAATTAAAAAAAAAAAAAAGGTTGCCTCAAGGTCATCCAGGCAGCTAAATCCTGGCTTTGACACTCAACACGCTATAGTCCTTATTGCAATGTCTGAGCCATCATAAGAGTTACATAGGCTCCTCTCTGCTCATGGGGCTTTTTCTTTTCTGGTCATAACCTTCCCAAGAGGGAAACCTGAAATGACCTGAAAATAAAACATGTGAGAAGTCAAATAACTTGACCACCCCCCTCCATCATCAATTCCCAGTTAAGCCATGACTTACTTTTCCAGAGCACTTCGAACAGGAGGCAACCCCCCACAGCTGTGTTTGTAGACCGTTTCCAGGATTTGACAACCATGAATCTGTGGAACATACAGCCTTGTCAAACTGGATTTCTTTCTAATAGTCCATGCAAGACAAATTCATATTCCATATTCAACCAAGAGGGCCCAATCTAGGAGAGACTGAGGATAAACTTTCTCCTAAGATTCACACATAGTGGTTCTCAAAGAGGGACCTCTCCCATCAGCAGCAGTATCACCTGGGGACTTATTAGCTATGCAAACTCTTGGTTAGAGCCCAGCACTCAAGTGTTTTTACAAGCCCTCCAGGTCATTCTAATGCAAAGTGTGAGAACCACCACACTGAAAGAAACCAGAATCATTTAAGAGTTGTAACACCAAAGCCAAGGAAAGCTCTTTATTTCAAGGTAAGGCCTAATGCACCTACTTCTAAGGTATATACTTTTTCAAAAATCCTCTGCCTCTAGGTTCTTCAGGCTTTTATTTTTACCACTTTGAGGTATAATTTACCACGAAATTCACCTGTTTTAATACTAATCAATAATTTTTTATAAATTTCAAACACGGTGCAACCATTACCACAACCCAGTTTTATAACATTCCCATTACTCCACAATGCCCCTTTGGACCTGTTTGCAATCAATATCAATTCTTACCTTCAGCCTAGACTCTTGACCGCCTGATTTTTGCTTTTTGTTTTTTTTTTTTTTGAGACGGAATTTCGCTGTTGTTACCCAGGCTGGAGTGCAATGGCGCGAACTCGGCTCACCGCAACCTCCGCCTCCTGGGTTCAGGCAATTCTCCTGCCTCAGCCTCCTGAGTAGCTGGGATTACAGGCAAACATCACCATGCCCAGCTAATTTTTTGTATTTCAGTAGAGACAGGCTTTCACCATGTTGACCAGGATGGTCTCGATCTCTTGACCTTGTGATCCACCCACCTCGGCCTCCCAAAGTGCTGGGATTACAGGCTTGAGCCACCGCGCCCGGCCTTGACCGCCTGATTTTTAAAAACTCTGTAGAGCCTTGGTATACTAGTTTCTCTACCACCATCCTGGCAGGAAGATTCACTCATCTGCAATCCCCCTATTTTCCACTCTCCTTCCTGTAGCGGGTTGGCTCTAGGCCAACTGAGACATGCAGCTAGGCCTGGCTCCCTTATGCTGTCCTTGCTAACTCTACTTGCCTAGAAGATCCTATTTTATTTTGGGAGATAGTTTAATCTAGTGATTAACAGCACACTGTTTGGAGTCAGATAGAGCTGGGATATAAACCCATTTACTACTATCTATGTGACCCTGAACACACCCCTTAACCTACTTAGCCCTTTAGAGGATTGCGTGTGATAATGTATTTGAAGCACTCAGCACAGTGTCTAGTACACAGAAAGTGCATAGTAAAAGCCGAATGTTGTTATTTGATCAGGGCAATCAGCTTTGAAGGGCCAATGAGCACCCACTACTGGCCTTGCTGGCACAGCATGAATGTAGCAGAGCACTTGTTTCCTACACTTACACAGTAAAAAATGATATAGCAATGTGGCAGATTAACTGGGTTTCCTAGTTATATTAATCAAAATGACACCCCTAATAAGCTAGGCACAAATAAGGAGCTTAAAAAATGAAGACTTGAGCTAAAGATGTTTAATCCATTTGTCCACTTGGGTCCAACTATGGACCAATTCACTAGGACAGCAGATTTGTTCTTCTAATATGAAATCTCAAAGCATTTATTCCTCAGAATTATTAACTCTGCCCAGAAAGACATTCTCCTGACATTGGAAGCCCTAATTTCTCAATACACCAGATAAAAACTTGTGATAAGAATAGACATATTTAATAAACATCTGGCTTTCACTCACTGATTTCATAATTCTCAGAAAACTGCCAGCACACCAACCATATTACCTTCTTACTAAGAATTAACTTTCTGCCGCTCATCAAGATCCACACCCAACAGTTCCAAGCCCTTACTGCAGGTTCCTCTCACCTGCAAACATCCACAGCACTTTTTTCCTTACCTCAACAACATTCTTGGGTACATCTATTAACATTTCCTTTACCTTCTGGACCAGGAGGTGTTTAAGGACAGAGTCATATTTTTGCATTCCTGACACTTACCATGATATCCAAGCAGTTATTGTTAAATGAATAAAAACTACTAAAAACTAGGGTCTTCGAAAAAGAATGTAAGGCAAAATTAGTAATATACCCTCAGTGCTTAGCAGAGCAAAAAGAATAAGTAAAGTTCTCACCTTTTGACTTTTAATTTGTTCTACTACAACCATCACAGAGGGAAAAAGAAGCTGGAACTGCAAAGTAGAGAATAATTAGAAGGGTATGTAATCAAATGTAAGGGGAAAAAAATCAACTCGGGAAATACTTTTGTTTCTAAATAGTTGAACTTAAGAGAAAATGGCAATACCACAGAACAGTCAAGATCCAGTATCCTATGGCAATTTGATGTCGAAGTTCACTGCAGATAGGAAGAGGATGGGAGAGAAAAGCAGTTTCTTCTCTTTTTTTTGTTTTTCTTTTGAGGCACAGCTCACTCTGTCACCCAGACTGGAGCATAGTGGTGGGATCCCAGCTCACTGCAACCTCCACCCCCAGGTTCAGGCGATTCTCATGCCTCAGCCTCCTGAGTAGCTGAGATTACAGGCACATGCTACCACACCTGGCTATGTTTAGTAGAGATGGGGTTTCGTCATGTTGGCCAGCCTGGTCTCAAACTCCTGACCTAAAGTGATCCAACTGCCTCAGCTTCCCAAAGCGCTGGGATTACAGGTGGGCCCTGCCATGCCCAGCCAGGAAGCAGTTTTTCTATTTCTGAGGCTGGGATGCTTGTTAATACTGATGTCAACATAGAGGATTAACATTAGCATATAATATCAGACATTAAGTTTTAACTACATTTGGAAATCTTTAAACAGTTTTGATCTAGTAAAGCATATAAAACATAAAATGTTGGGCTCTGAATCCAAAAGAAAAAAAGTTCTCAAAAACAGTGTCATAAATTAGATTATTCTGACACTATCAACAGATTCCAAGGCATTTGGTTACTTGGGCAGCATACCTGGTCTAGGGAGTAGTTGACATGTGATATGGAGAGATGGGGATCACCCAGGAACTGCAATAAAAAAACGCTGTGATTAGGGCTCCACACAAAGTATATCTCAAATCTATTTGATCTACGAAAATGAGAAGAGAATCTGATAATGGGCTAAGTGTTAGTTTTAGGCTATCGAGAACTGATAATTTAATCAGGTTATTAATCCTGATTTTCAGGCCATAAAGAAACAAAGCCAGGGCTCTTATAAACTCACTAAAGAGTCTGTCATGATCTGTGAGCCACTCCAACCACAGGTTGGGCAATCAGAGAGAGACCACTGTACACTCGAGCCATGCAAGAAACTGTTCACTCTTAACTATCTGACCTTACCAAAGGGCATTTCAGATTCAAGAACATACTCCATTGTCCCAGAAGTGTTTCCTGTATCTCCTCCTTCTTACCTCTTGTTCCAAATCAAGTATTGCTTGGCGGTAAGGCTGCAAAACAGAATCCAGTCCTGTGCAGAAGGCCCTCAGGTAGATTCCATGTAACCCACCTTGGCCCTGCTGAGATGGATGGTGATCCTGAAATCAAACAAACAGAAGCCAACTTGTCAGCTCAGGCCCTGAAACCTGAGAAAGAAATTATGAGGCTTGTATCTTTTAAGAGTTATACAAACAAACCAACTACAGATCTTGCCTTCACTTGAAAATTTCCAGTGATAAGAAATCCATAACTTATTTCACATGAATTACCGATAAATTGACGGAAAGCTTGATATAGCTCCTGCCCTCTAGAGGTGTACACTCCCTGAGAACAGGACCCACCTGTTGTTGCACATGGCCGGTGTACTGTTCAATGAACTCAGTGAAGCGAATATAGTCTGTGCCAAGCCGGCAGAGTCGATTCAGGACACTGGTCTCACTGGGGTGAAGGAAAGGGAAGTCCTGCGAAACCTGCAGGAAGAGGAACACTGCCGAAAACACACTGATGCCTGCCAGTCACTGCTCCAACTTCCAGGTGCTTCAAATGCTTGATACTATGCATTTATCTTTTTCTTTCTCAAGATGTCCACTTAAAAAGGTGTTAAGTTCTGGATAACAATGTATTTCCAAACCACTTCTACGGGGTTCCCTATCCCTGACCCAATTATTAGCTTTTTAAAATAGGTAACACATGCTAAATAATTTAAACAATACAAAATGGTGTACATTAAAAATAAGTCAACCTCCCAGAACGAGCCACTGTTACCTGCTTCTTATGCAATCTTCCAGTGATTGTCTATAAGGATATGGGGATATCCTTATAGGATAAGGATATTAACCTGGTTGCAACAAAGTCTCTTTAGCAATATTGCTTAAACGGGTCTGCAGGTTCCATGGGTTTATCTGACATATCTTAGGATTTACAAATTCTCTATAAAAGTTTTAATTGTTTTCTTTCCATTAAAAGTCTAAAATTAAGCATACTATTATCTGTAAAAGTACCTTATAACTGGCCATATAAATTTAGAGTGCATATTTGCATTTGTATTTTTAATTTAAATGAAAGCCAAATATGCTATATATAAAGATTTCACAGCAGTTTAGGTAGAAAAAAGTAGTGGGAAATATATTCATTCAACCAACTTTTAAAATTTTGTGATAAAATATATATAACAAAATCTATCATTTTTTTTTTTTGGGGGGGCGGGGAGGAAGGCAGGAAGGAAGGGAATAAGGACGGTAGGGAGGAGGGAAGGGATGAAGGAAGGAAGGAAGGAAGGAAGGGAGGAAGCGGGGAGGGAGGGAGGGAGGGGAAGAAAGGAAATCAAGCAATGAAAGAGACATTGCCGACCTGGATCTAGAGGTTTACAAGTTGATTTCTTTTTTTTTGAGAGAAGGAAAGAAAAAAATTAAAAAATAAGTAAAGGAGAGGAAGAAAGAGGAAGAGAAAGAGGGAGAGTAAATGGAAATATTGCTTTATTTTGAAAAAAAATTGGGTATTAATAATGGCCAATCAATGTTTCATTTAAACTTATGGGTAGGTGTGATGTGGTATTGACAAGAATGTATATTTTGTGTATTTGAAGTGGAGAGCTCTATAAATATTTATTAAGTTTACTTGTTCTGGATCTGAGTTCGAGTCCTTGATATCCTTATTAATTTTCTCTCTCATTGAATCTAAGTCTCCTATCTGGGTGTTAGGATCGTTAGCTCTTGTTGTTGCATTGATCCTTTTACCACTATATCTTTGTTGCTTTAAAATCTATTTATACAATACAAGAATTGCAACTCCTGCTTTTTATTTATTTATTATTTATTTTTGCTCTCCATTTGGTTGGTAAATCTTTCTCCATCCCTTTGTTTTGAGTCTTTGTGTATCCTTGCATGTGAAACAGGTCTGGATGTAACATGCCGTTGGGTTTTGGCTGTGTCTTTTGATTGGAAATTTAGTCAATTTAAATTTAGGGTTACTGCCATTTGATGTTGACTGGCTGTTTTATCCATTTGTTGGTGTAAATTCTTCTTTATGTTGGTGCTCTTTACTTTTTGGTGTATTTTTAGAAAGGCTAATACTGGTTGTTTCTTTCTGTGTGTAATGCTTCTTTCAGAAGCTCTTGTAAAGCAGGCCTGGTGGTAATAAAATCTCTGAGTTCTTGCTTGTTCATAAAAGATTTTATTTTTCCTTCAGTTGTGAAGCTTAGTTTGGCTGGATATGAAATTCTGGGCTGAAGGTTCTGTTCTTTGAGGATGTTGAATATTGGCCCCCACTCTCTTCTGGCCTGTAGAGTTTCTGCCGAGAGATCTGCTGTAAGTCTGATAGGCTTGCCTTTGTGGGTAATCTGACCTTTCTCTCTGGCTGCCCTTAGTATTTTCTCCTTCGTTTCAACCCTGGTGAATCTAATGATTATGTGCCTTGGGGTTGCTCTTCTTGAGGAATATCTTTGTGGTGTTCTTTGTATTACCTGGGGTTGAATGTTGACCTGCTTTGCTAGTTTAGGAAGATTTTCCTGAATAATATTCTGAAGGGTATTTTCCAGCTTGGATTCCTTCTCTCCGTCGCATTCAGGTACACCTATCAAACGTAAATTTGGTCTTTTCACATAGTCCCACATTTCTTGGAGACTTTGCTCATTCCTTTTTATCCTTTTTTCTCTAATCTTTTCTTCACGTTTTATTTCATTAAGTTGGACTTTGACCTCTGATATCCCTTCTTCTGCTTGAACAATTCGAGTGTTTAAACCTGTGCATAGTTCTCGGAGTTCCTGTATTGTATTCTTCAGTTCCATTAATTCACTCATACTCCTCTCTAAGTTGTCTATTCTCAATAGGATTTCATCAAACCTTTTTTCAAAGTTCCTAGTTTCTTTACGTTGGGCTACAACATGTTCTTTTAACTCACCGAAGTTTGTTATTATTCATTCCTTGAAGAGTGATTCTGTCATCAGGAGGTGCTCGTTCTCCATCAAGCCTTGTTCCATTGTTGATGTGGAACTGTGATCATCTTTAGAGGGAGAGGCCTTCTGATTTTGAGTGTTCTCAGCTTTTTTATAATGGTTTCTTCCCATCATTGTAAATTTATCCTCCTGCCGTCTTTGAATTTACCAACTTTCAGATTAGGTCTCTTGAGTGGACGTCCAGGCTGTTAGTTCCCAGGGCCAGAGCAGCGGCGTTAAAACTGATGGTGCTTTTCTGCCCAGGATTCTCCTGTCGGGCTTCCTTCTGGGCCTCCTTCTTGTTTCCGTAGTAAGCGACTCTGCCTTCCCGGGGCTCCAAACCTCGGTCAGAAGGGGAACCGGTCCTGTTTACTCTGCGCCGAGCGCTGCCGCGTCCAGGTGCCAGTGGAACCGCTGCGCCGACCACGAGAGTTGCGCTGGCGACTCATGTGTTTCCTCCACTGGGGGATCTTCTGCTTCGTGAGCGACCAGACTTTGTCTGAAAGTGTGGCGTCCTCTAGTTCTCCGCGCCTTCCCTGAGAGCTGCAATCCCGGGATGTTAGCGATCGGCCATCTTGGATCATTCTCCTCTTTTTTTTTTTTTTGAGACGGAGTTTCGCTCTCTTACCCAGGCTGAAGTGCAATGGCGCGATCTCGGCTCACCGCAACCTCCGCCTCCTGGGTTCAAGCAATTCTCCTGCCTCAGCCTCCCGAGTAGCTAGGACTACAGGCACACGCCACCATGCCCAGCTAATTTTTGTATTTTTAGTAGAGACGGGATTTCACCATGTTGACCAGGATGGTCTCGATCTCTTGACCTTGTGATCCACCCACCTCGGCAAAATCTATCATTTTAACTATTTTAAGTATATAGTTCAGTGGTATCAAATACATCCACACTATTGTGCAACCATCACCACCATCCATCTCCAGAACTTTCTTCTTTGCCCCAACTGAAACTCCATATCCAGTTCCTGCCAAACACCATGCTACTGCCTCTGAATTTTGTTAGGGGCAGCTGACCCCCCAGTCTGATTGCTCTGCAGCTGCATTCCTATCTAGGCACCACAGCAAGGCCGCCAGACACACTACAATTGAGCAAAGCCTGATTACAGCCATCTGGGCAGCATGGGGGAGGTCACAGAAAACAAATCTTTGTTTAAATTCTGTTTTATGCATACTGGTAAAATCCTGTTTCTTTAAAACTGCCACCACAAAAGTCACAGGATGATGTATTATAAGTCTGTCACAAGCTGACAAACTATCTTTGCGCTTGTTAGAAGCTGATAGATTATCTCAATCCTGAAACTCCCTTATGCCCCTCTCACCCCATATAAATCCCAAAAAAGCCTTGCTATATAGGCTTAGGGCTGCCTCCTCTAATTGTCATGGAGCAGCCCAGGAGATTAATAAAACTTGCTTGCTTGACATTGGGTCTACTCTCCTTTCTCGAGGTTAACCTTACATTTTGATTCAGAAATCTACATTTTTGGTGCCAAAATCTGGGAAAGGGTAGGCTTTGGCGCACGTTCGCGTGCTCTCTCATCTCTCTCTCTCTCTCTCTCGTCTCTCTCTCTCATCTCTGGTCTCTCTCTCGCTGTCTCTTGCTCACACTCTCGCTGTCTCTCGCTCGCTCGCTCGCTCTCTCTCTTGTCTCTCTCGCTCTCTCTCTCGTCTCTCTCCCTCTCTCCCTGTCTCTCTCTCTCACTCCCTCTGCTTCTATCCCTCCCTCTCTCTCCTATCACCCCACTCCTGCCCACCCTCCTCTTCCTGAACCTGCAGAAGACCCGGAGGATTTCCCAGACTCTCCCATTGCTGGTAACCTCATTTGCCATCAGAGCCTCCACCAAGATAAGTAAGAGAGACTCCTGCTGATTACCCAGAACCCTTGACCGTCTCTGCCTTCCCCAAATGCAGTGCTTGGGTCAAGGGCTTCCTTTGGCCTCCAGGCCTCCGGTTCCTCTGTTTCAGGGATTCCCGCCTTGGCAGCTACCTCTTCTATTCCAGACAAGGCCTGAAGGATAGGGGAAACCCTCTCCTGCTGTCTTTGTCATCAGTAGTCTCTTCTTCCTCTACCTCCCTCCCCCATTTCCTTTGGAAGCCTCTCAGTCCACCCCTCCCAAAACTATCCCCCTTGGGTGTCTCCTGCATAATCTCAATGCTCTCAGCCTCCGTTCAGAGGTCCATCCTAAGAAGCTTATCTTTTACTGCAATATCGCTTGGTCTCAATACAAATTAGACAATGGCTCCCAATGGCCCAAATATGGCACTTTTAATTTCAATATACTTACAGACCTAGACAACTTTTGCCATGGCAATGGGAAATAGTCTGAGATTCCTTATGTTCAGGCTTTCTTCACTCTCTGTAGCAGTCCTTCCGTCTGCCAGTCCTGTACTACTTTCCAAATCCTCACATGCTCCAAACCCAACTTGCTCCCTGTCATCCTCCCCAGAGCCCTGGCCAACAACTCATCTCCTGCCACACTCCCCACAGCCCCAGCTGACGACTCCTCTTCCTTGGGTCACTGATTTTCCTCC